CATTACTATAGACCTTATCGCTATTAATATTATCTCTAGCTTAATGCTAATCGCTAGTAAAAGCCGTCTTCTAACCGTCGGCTCTAGCACAGATAACGACTCGATTAAACGCCGCCGAGAGACTATTTAACTTCGCTATCTTCGCCGCCTACGCGTGTCCGTTCTATACTTCTTGCTTGTTAGCCGATAAGAACTTTACTAGCTTCGTTCCTATAGTCCGCGCCGTACCCTTCTTCGTCGTATTAAACAGCGTCTACTGGCCTTTATAATAGAAGGTGTCGTCCGAGAAAGAGCTAGGTTAAGTAATAGGAGCGGCGCCTATAGCGAGAGCGGCTTAGCTGCTAGTAGTAGTAGCCGCCTCCTATGCGGCATTAAAAGAGGAGGATACAGAGGTCGAAGCGGAGGAAGAAACAGCCGATTTTGGTAGTTCTATACCGCTAGTCTCCTCTGCCGGCGCCGCTACGGTCTCCTTGCTTAGTAGATTAATAATTAGGTCGGCAGTCGCTTTGCTCTTCTTGCCGCTAGAAGACCTACTCTTCGAGCTACCCTTTGCCTGCTAAGCCGTGTTAGTATTCCTTCTTATTAGCGGTGGACTAATAGTCTAGCAAATGCTAATCGGCAAGTGCCTCGCGGCTATTTAGTAAGTAATCTATTATATACTAAGCCTAGAAAGGTTAAGCACCTGTTCCCTTTAGAATCCCTTGTTTTGTATATAAATCGCGCTCTTCTTTAGGCATTAGTGCTTCGCGTCTACCGGACGCGTACTTTAGAAAGCATGTTTATAAAAATTTAATAGTATAGCGATTTCGAGGTATTATTCTTATAGCTATGTCTTCTTAAGTGCTATACGAGTCTTCTATTCTCGGCGATTTCTTCTAAGATATCGATAAACCTAACTCTCTAGGGGATAGCGGTATTAGTAAGGATAATAAGGATAATAAGGAGGTAGATTTAGAGGGTTTAAACGACGAGGAACGCCGCGAATATAAGCTCGAGAGATAGGCGCAGAGGGAGGGTAGTAAGGATAGTCGTAAGGAGGGTAGTAAAGAGCTAAATCTCGAGGAATTAGCGACTTAGGCACTCGAGGAAGAAGAAGGTAAAGCTAATAAGGATAAGGATAATATTCCTATACTATTATTAGCTCCGCCGAAGGACACTTATCGCTCGCTAGATAGTGCTATTTAAGCCGTTTAAGAACACGCCTTTAGCGCTAGATACTACTAGCGTATTAAGTCCGGAAACAAGTCGAAATCGGCTTAAAACTACGGTCTCTAGGTTTCTCGCTATCTTATATATACGTAAGGTAATAAGCCGCCGGATAGAGAGAATTTCGTACGTAAAGGAGCTAGCTCGGTACGAGGTAGTTATCCGGTATCGCTATAGCTCCGTGCCTACGACTCGAAGAATCTACTCGGTCGCTAGAAGGTCGAGAATACTACTAGAGTCTATAACTATAAGGCTGTCTATAGCGCTTAATTCGCGCCGCATCGCCGCTACTAGCGTAATAAGGTTATACGGAAGGCTATCGTCGATAACCTAAATGCTAACGCTTCCGTTTACACTACGCTTAGTCGATTAATAAACAAGACAGACTATAAGTACGAGAAGCTATATTTGAAAGCTCTCGGCCGAGACTCGGCCGGAGCTAAATTCTACTAAAATTCTACCTACTTTCGTACTTCTTCCTTCCTTTAATACGTTGCTAATAATAATATAGGTATATAGGTTGTTAAGGACCTTCTAAACGTACGCTAGGCTGCTCGGAAGGCTATATAAGGTAACTTAACTGCATTAGAAGCCCTTTTCTAGCTACTAGACTAGCTAGGTTTCTACTAGAAGAAGGAGGTCGATTCGGAGGGCAAGTTAGACAAACTGCTCGTTCTTAACCTACAAATAGCCGAGTTATATAAGCAGTATCCGGACTATCTTATTATCGACAATACTTACAAAACAAATAAGTACAACCGTCTACTTTTGAATGTCGTATCTAGTACTAGAGCTAGCGATACAATACCTCTTAGATACTGTATTATAGGCAACGAAGACGAAGCCGCGTTTACGTAGTTTGGTGAGGCCTTTAAAGAGCTATATTCCGACTATAATCTACCTCCGCTAGGCCTATAGGTTACTAATCGAGACCGTAGTTATATAAACGCACTTAACAAGGTTTATCTACGTATACCGGCTCTTATCTACGCCTAGTACGTATTTAAGAATGTATAGGCGCAGGCTCGGAAGCTAATGCTATAGAAACAAGTACTTAATAAAGAGACTAGTAAGAACAAGTAGCAAGACGACCTAGAATGTACTATATTCGTAGACAACTTCCGTGCCTGCGTCTACGCTAAAACTATAGAAGAATACAATACTAAGGACTAGTAGATAGCTAACTACGACAACCCTTACTTTATTACGCTCCGAGAGTATATCTAGCGTAAATACTAGACCTATAAGGAGAAGCTAGTCTACTGTTTCTAGTAGAAGAAGTTTCCCTTTTATAGGCAATTAGTTACTTCGAGGGCAGAAGGCGCTTATTTAATAATAAAGAAGTAGCTTGCTAGCAGGCGCTATAACATCCTTACTCTCTTCCTTAAACTCCGCCCTTAGTAGGCTATTCGTTACTTAGAGATTATACGGCGGATAGGATAAGAACGTATAGTAGTGCCTATTACACTCCGCCGACCTAAGTTTACTAAGGTAAATAAGAAGATCTACCGTAAGGCGTTATAGAAGGGCCTTAATTAGCTTAAATTAGCGCACGAAGAGATAACTAAGCTTGCTAAGGAGCCTAGCAAATAGCGGTTAACCTACTTAGGTTACTTCCGTAAGGCATAGAGTATAGTCTGCAAGTATACGATTATTAATACTATTAAGTCGGTTAGATCCTTCGAATTCGACCTATATACGCACTTCGACAGACACTAGTATATCGACAAAGCCGCGGCTCTAGTAAGGGCTATTATTAAGCTAGAACGGACGGTTTAAGAGCTATCTACGTTGCCTAATAATCGCCGTAGCAGAGGTAGAGGCAGAGGCAGAGCGGTACCTACGAGAAGGCACGTACGTACTAACTAGCGAGAGCCTTCTAGCTTCGAATACGTAGATTAGTTAAACTAGGCCTCTTAAAGAGGCCGTAGTAGGCGTACGAGGGCATTAACTTAACGTACGGCAACATAACAACTACGGCCTTTAGCACCGCTAGTTTATATACCTACTAAGCGCTATAGCTATATTAGCAACGATCTAGCTAGTATTTAAAGAGCCGCACTTAGTAGATACCGTCTAATAGCGCTAGTAGTACCTTACTCTAAGTAACAGTTTATCTAGTTCTATAGCAGTTAACCTATATAGCCGCAGGCTATAGGACTACTAGTAGCGACTTAATCGACGATATTTAGATACGCTCCGCCGCTATTAAATTAATAGGTATTTACTTAGCAACAGCATATGCTAGGCTCTATAGCTCCGCTAGTATCTACCGCTCTATTACGTAGTTAGTAGTAAGGTCTATAGTAGTAAGAGCCGCGCCTTTATCCTCGTAGTTATTAGTATGCCGGCTATAGCAACTAGTTCTAGCAGTCTTATATATCTACGAAGCTAAGGGCCTTTAGAATTGCCTCCTTCTTAACCTTAATCGTTACTATATACGTATAGTTCCTACGAGGAGCGCTTTAGTCGATTTGTACGGCTAAATACGTCCGTGCGTGCTTATAACCCAAACCGGACGTATATAATAGATTACTTGCCAAATAGCCGCGAGGCACTTGCCGATTAGCATTTGCCTAATAGTCTTCTCGAGAGTGCGGATCACCTTCTTCTTTAGCGCAGAGTCATTCATCTCGTCGTCCAATCGCACTAGCGGCTTGCTAGCATTCGCACGTGTCTCTCTTGGCGGCATTATTGCAGTGATAGCACTCGGAAACGGTCAGAATATGCGTACGGGGCTCGAACACACGATTATCCTCTACTCGACGACGACAATTGGGAAGAAACACGATAAAAACCACGTAAAAGTGCCCCTTTTGCCCACCCCTGTGCGGCTCAAGAGAGGAGGCGGCTCTGCGGACCGTACTGACAGGTTTTGGGCAAACGATAGTATAGAGTCATTAAGTTCTCAACATATGCTTGGCAGTGCTGCTCAGGGGCCAGTAGCTCCGAAAAGCATGATTCCGATCACTTTGTGCTATCCTATAGTGCTGCAAAAGTCACTTTGAAGGCCCGTTATAGACTTTGGAGGCGTGCAACGGCTGCGAGAAGGCTGCGAACGGACCAATTTCTGCTCGTAGCGCCTTGCTGTGCAAGCAAAAGTCCCCGGGCGCCACAAAAGTCAAGAACTGCCCATGAAATCTGCAACCACAAAGGGATGGGATATGGATGATCTCTCTATTGCCTCCGTCGCCGGATCAAGGAGTCCTTTTTTAGTCTACTCCAATGAACCGTACTTCGTCCTGACTATCACAGTCGTCTTCCTCAGAATCGTTTGAGTCACTTGAGTCGCTGGAAGCACTGGAGCTGCTGTCTCCGTATCTGCGTTTCGTCTGGGGATGGTCATGGCTCTCGTGTCGTTGCTGCTTGTCGAAGTGCCGTCGGCTCGTGCTTTGTATTTCATAAGTTGTGGAAAGACCTGGCGGAGGAGGTAAGGCGCGCGGCTGCGTCGTTGTGCTTGGCAAGGCACGATCCATCGTTGTGCCTGGTGGAGGGAAAGGTGGTTTGGTATGCCGTCATGCCTGTAATGTCAAGATTCCTTGTTGAGCCTGGTGGAGGATGAATAGCAGTTGGCTGTGCCGTCATGCCCTCGATGCATCACAGAGTATCATCGTTATCGTTCCTCTCCTCCCCCTTGGAGACCGGCGGATGTTTAAGATTTGCGGGAGCAGCCTAGCTTTCTGGTCCTAGCGTTGGTGGACCCTTCAAGTTGCTGGAGGGAGCGAGCTTTGAAAGTCGAAAAGCCAAAAAGACCAGTGCAAAGCTACTTCCACTGCTACTACTTCACCACAACACCACTGCACTACACCTTCGCTTAATCAATACCATCACCAGTTTCGCGAGCGGCTCTCTGACGTGGAGAATGCTCTACGACGCGTCGTGATACTCTTTCGTGCTGAGATTCATTGGTCCACGGGCAGATCGAGCAAAGGCGCACTCGTTCCGCCACGCCAGGCGGTGTGAGGAGCACAACGACCGAGATATACGACCATCGCACGTTCTCTACATACCGACGATCGACTATCACGCGCGAAAATGGCTCTGAAGGCGCGCCATCCAGAACTGAGCCTACCATCGCCCACGAAAATCAGAAACACCCCACCACCGCATAAAGGGTACAGCATAGCGGAGGGCGCTGTGTGCGCCAGTCCAGGAGCTTTCACAGCGTCTTCGCCCAAGAGGAGAACCACATGGCCGCCTAGCGACCAGCAGAGTATTGGCGAAGCGCTTCGTCTCGCCGTTGAGCGACACCAGCTCGGCCTCTCGCTAAACTATGTGCTTTTGCTTGGCATGACTTTCGCGCTCTTTCCTTCACTGAGACACAACATCAAGGCCTGCTTCCTGCTGTCCTACCCGACGACTGATGTACCAGGTCAGTATGGTATCGGACCAAGGGATATATATCTGGTGGCTAGCTTCATCATATACTTCACGGGATTCCGTGCATTTATGATGGACTGTGCCTTGATACCTCTGGCAGGATACTGTGGTCTGCGGAGGAAAGCTAAAACCAGATTCGCAGAGCAAGCATACATGCTGGTCTATTATGTCATCTACTGGTTCTGGGGCCTGGCACTATTTGTTCGAGACACGCCTGCCGATGTCCATAGCCTCGAGGATTTGTTAGTGTCTCTCTGGACTAACTTCCCACGTCTTCTTATGCCTGGAGGCATCAAAATGTACTACTTGACCCAATCTGCTTTCTGGTTCCAGCAGATTCTTGTAATTCATCTGGAGGAAAGACGGAGGGACCACTACCAGATGCTTACGCATCACTTCGTCACCGTTGGCCTTATGGTCGGCAGTTACTGCTACCGACAATACCGAGTTGGATGTGCTATTCTGGTATGCATGGACATCGTTGACCTTGTCCTCCCGCTTGCCAAGATCCTGCGTTACCTGGGCATGCAGACCGCTTGCGACTGCGCATTCGGCGTGTTTGTTCTCACCTGGATAGTCGCCCGGCATGTGGCGTATAATACAATCTGCTGGAGCATTTACGCACATGTCAACTCGAAAGCGATGCCTTATGGCGTATACTCCACCGTAACCGGTCAAAGATTATCTGCAGATGGCGGCAGTAAGATCCTTCAAAGTCTGCTCCAGCCTATGTTGGATCCGGGCGCCACGACGATTGCTTTCAATGCCAACATTAGATGGTCGTTCTTGAGCTTGCTCTCAGCTCTGCAAGTCATCACCATTGGCTGGCTTATAATGATAATTCGCGTAGTGGCGAGAGTGCTTAGCGGTCAAGGCGCGGACGACTCACGAAGTGACGATGAAGACGAAGATGAGGACGAAGAGATCGAAAATGGCCCATCACAGCCTTCTGAGCCTATCAGAGCACCAGAAGAGGTGGAGAAGCCTCAATTTATCGAGGTCGAGACAACGAGTGAGGAGCTGTCTTGGTCAACACGCAAGGCCAGCTCAGTCAACAGTCATCGCAAGAAGCCAAAAGGTATTTCTAGCGGTCTGAACCTTGGCGAGCACAAGGAGATTCTTAATAGGATAGGGTGCTTGAGCGAGGAGCAATTGGCTCGAGAGCGGGAGAAGCGCGAAGACAGTGCCAGCCCGCGCCCTCACAGTGCTAGCCTTAGATGAGGCCTTTCTAGACATTCACTGAGTGGGTGGTCGCCAGGCGTTACTCGGATACCTGTACGATTGATCAACAGACTGCTGTGATGAGCCGCAGTGTCGACCTAGAATATACCCAAGAAAGCGCATCGGTATTGAAAAGTGAAAAGTATTTCGGAGCAGAATGAACAATTCTGTTTGTTTCATAATATTTCTCATTTATCCCATCCTCCCAATCTCGTCTGATACCATGACGATATTCATATCAGGACAAATATCCACCCGTACCTTACTCCTCCCTCTTTTCATTGCAAAGCACATATCTATACCTCGGCTTCCCATCTTCAAAATCAACCACAGCCTGATTAGCCTCACTCATCGGCCTCTTCTGAATCCAAGGCTTAACCTTCATCTTCGCCGCCAACTCAAACATCTCCCGAATTTCCTTGGGACTTCCAATCAAAGAACCAGTAATCTTCACCTTCTTCATAATGAGAGCAAATGCCAAAAACCCTGGAATCGGGTCATCAGGAGCTCCGACTTGAACGAAAGTGCCACCGACGTCTAAGAGGTCGAGGTAGCCCATGAGTGGAAGTTTGGGAGAAGAGACGGTCGAGACGATTACGTCGAGGGAGTTCTTGTGTTTCTCATTCCAGCCTTCTTCGCCAGTTGCGATGAGGTCGTCGGCTCCCATTTTGATGGCGTCTTCTTTCTTCTCGGAAGTTCGGGAAATGGCGACGACTTTGTCTGCGCCGAGGGCGCGGGCGAACATGAGACCCATGTGGCCTAGTCCTCCGATACCGATGATGCCGACACGTTTGCCGGGTCCGACTCCGTTTTGCTTCAGTGGTGCGTATACTGTTACACCGCCGCACAGCATAGGAGCAGCTTCTTCGGATGGGATCTCGTCTGGAATGGCGAAGACGAAGTGGCCGTCACCTCTCCAGTATTTCGCGTAGCCACCCATTGCTTTGTGACCTGATGGCCATTTGGCTCCGTAAGTCATGACGAAGTTGTTCTTGCAGTATTGCTCGTCGTCGTTCTGGCATTCGTCGCAGTCTCCTCGGTGGCAAGATCCAGATTGAGCACCGACACCGACACGGTCTCCGACCTTGATGCCGCTCTTGACGTCCTTACCGACACGGATGGCCTTGCCGACGATCTCGTGACCAACGACGACTGGGTAATCTGTTGCGCCCCAACCTGAGCGGAGAACATGGACGTCACTGCCGCAGATACCACAGCAGTCGATCTGCGATATGGTAAGCTTGAATATTCGAAAGATGCTTGTGAGCTGGTACTTACCTCAATATCGACGTCCTGGTCCTCGAAAGGCTTGGGCTCGTAGCCCTGCCAAACCATCTTGCCTTGGGCGGCATCTGGTGCAAGGCCGCACCATCCTTCGAAAACCTGATCGGATGCCATGTCCGCAATTAATAGATCCCGTTCTGGTGTTGAATGATACCAAGTAATGTGAGTCCAAGGCAGATGTGTGTAGAAATGAGGCCTTCAGAAGTCGTTCATCGCAGATATATATTGTACGCGAGACTGGTCTGTGACCAGGGATGCCGAACTTGTCCCATTACCTGATGCGAATTTCTGCGATGGCGAGGTCGGTGTCCAGAGCTTGCTGTCATGCCAACGTAAAGTCCTACATAGGTGCTAGGATTGTTAAGCAGTGAGGTCAATCGTGGACGCGGCGTTCTCGATCTGGTGGGTTCCAAGGTGGAACTTTGTTCTGATCAGAACATTTTCGGTGTGAGCTCTCGGGATTCGCTCGGCATCAAGTGCTGTCGTCACCATCCTGGTCGAAATATCGCATCTTTCGCTGCTCCGATTTTGCAAAGAAAGTAACAGCTTTTGCGTCTAGAGGTCAATGTAGCATTTGATATGGAAGTCATAATGTATATGTAGACTTCTCCTGTCCATCCAGGTGCTGAACAGCACGACTTGACACGATGAAGTGTCGTGTTGAAGGGACCCACCAAGCATGAGCGATAACCTGGTTAGTTGCAAATTGGTAGCGGTGACACGCGACTCGGCCGTGTGCTTAAGTGCGAGCCTATTCATAGCGTGCATATTTTGATTCTGGAATGACGGCATTGTCCTGTTGAAACACCACCAGACGCTCGTGGAAACTCTCCGAAATTCCAGGCCAGTCCTTTCGGAGCGTGTGGCAATGTGCCTTCATGCGTATGCGGACCTGATTCCGCTGCATGTAAAAGCCTTCAACGCGAGGTCGTACGAGAGTGTTGTCCAAGAGGTCCCCGGTGCTTATACAAGTGGTTCAATATTCTCCAGAATGCGGGTGTACACACCGATCAAGTCCGAGACAAGAGACAGATCTTCTCGCGAATCCAGTGATCTGGATGCTCGGTATTGGTATACCAGCCACCATTAATGAGGTCGGACTCAACTTTTCTCCAACGCGCGAGCTTTTCTGGCTGCTTCAGGTCCAGATCCCCAAGCCGAGCTTCCACGCTGTCGCCGGACCTTCTCAGAAATAAAGTGCAGTCTCGTAAAGTCATGGCTTTGCACAGCGACATGACTTGATCTGCTCCTGACGATCGTAAAACGCCATATGGGTCGAAGACGGTTTGGCATGATCTTAGCTGATGGAGCAGTGGCTGAGCTTGGCTAAACAGATATTCCTGGAGTCGGCAATCTGGGGTTATTGCATGTACTGCTCGCTTCCGCTCTTCGATGTTGATGTTGAGCAAATCTAGCGGACAGCTCTCCTGAGCATCGGTAGCAGTCCGTATACGTTCAGAGGCCCGGTGCGAGCGGACAGCACAAGTTCGGCATCTCTTGGAGCCTGGAGGCGCATTTGGTGACTGCGCTAGCCATTTGGGCTTGAGTTGCAACAACAGCTCTCCAGAAATCGGTGTCATGTCTGTTACCAGCAAGCCCGACATTTCCCCAGCGGGCAGACGGTCGCCAGATCGGTGTCGCGGGCGAACCAAGTCCTGCAGACTTCTGTTGAGAAGGTCGAGCACACCATGGTCGAGTCCAATCAGTTCGTGCAGTACGAGGTTGTCTGGTGGGAAGAGGGCACGGAAATTGGTGTCGAGTGCTTCAAGTTGTTCTTCTGCCGTCTGTACATGTGAGAGATCCTTTCGCAGTCGTAGTAGTTTGCCTTGTAGCCTTGGCGGAAGCTCCTCATCCTCGGCCAAAGCCAATATCTGATACACGAAGTTGGCGCCGCCTTCATTTAGATATTGCAAGATGCATTTCGAAGCGACTGTCGTCGGCGGTTCAAAGCCACAGAATCTTGGCGAACCTTCACGTTCTACAAACCATACAGGGATGCTCATTCTGGTAGCCGGGTGTCATCGAGTCGGGGAGGTGCGCGCATGTGCGAAGATATGAGTTCTTCTGGAGAGAAGCGCCTGGAGAACAAGGTTTGATGACAGAAAGCCAAATGTGAAGAAGCATTCCCTTGGCTCTTTCACATGTCACGCCCGCATCCTCAGTCAGCAGCGTCCGGAGTGTCCACCGAGTCACCGACCTGCTAATGTCGGTCGTTGAGAGGCTGATCGCAGTCGTTGCGACAGACGGGAGAGCGTGTTGCATCTCTCGCAGCCGGGGCAAAAGCGCCACGTACGGAACACATCACGAGGAATGCGAGTACCTCGCTTGATGATGAAGTACACGGCATAGCTTAGAGACGGGTTGTTGGTCGAGGTTGCACATCGCGTCGCCAGGATCTCAAACTCAAATTGCCCGCTTGGGCCTTCTTCCATCCCCAACTTCACACGCCGCGAGCATGGAAACTTGCCCACAATTGAAAGAACTGTTGGGAGAGATGGCCGACAGCGAACCAACCAAGCTACCCACACCTGCATCCTGCACGGCAGGTAGGCATATCCCATTTTCGTCGGGCTCGTGGAATGGTGTCGCTGATATTTGGTTGAGATTTCTGCCTGATCCCACTAGGTAAATCCATGGACTTCTACAGTCTACATGCCGGGATAATGTCGTCCTAAGGCTAGTGCCTATTTACAGGAACACCAACCGCTTCGGTATCGAAAGAGGTCGCCGAGGTGCAGAGACTGCTTAAGAAGAGTGGAGTGAAATATAGCATGCACTCTGCTGGCACAACTCTCGGTTCGTGAAAGCTTTCTGGCAGCCGACACTTCTGCTGATATCGTCCCGCAGAAGGAAGCTGGGATCAGTGCATGCACATCATCGGCCAATGCCACTCGATGCTGCATGCGAGAGGCGTGGTCAGAATACAATCCGACATTCGGGTCGGAAGCCGCACAGACAAGAAACAGTCGATCGAAGACAAAGTGACTGCAGTGGAGAAGCTGCTCGCAGCAGACAAGCAGGACGTTGAGGATGAAGATGCTGGAGAGATCACTTACAAGAGGTAAATTACCTCGCTGTGGAGGATCTATGAATATAATCTGTACAATCAAGCTCGAGGCTTGGTGTTCTACCACCAGGTATTGTCGTTACAAAGAGGTGCGATATCCACACTGAGGTCCGCCTTCAATATTGGCCCAAACATGCTGCATAGCTCGCTCAAACGAGTCTCGTGAGGGCATCTCATCGTAACATCCTTTCCTGTTTAAAGTCCCCGACGCCGCGCTCAGAATGAAAGATCGCAAATAACACAAGCTTCATGAAACATATGCAGGCGGCGCTTCTTCGCCATCGCGCAAGCCGTCCTCGGAGGACGCTCGCCAGGCCTTCTGCTTCGCCCGTTCCTGCTCGACCTTCTTAGCAATCTCGGAAGCCATTTTCTGCATCCAAGCTTGTTCAAGAATACCACCAGAGCTGCCTTCGCTAAACGCAGAGAGGAGACTTTGCAATTTGACGTCCGATGATGTACGACTATTATCGCTCGAGCTTCGTCGCAGCTCTGGAGAAGGCGATCGTGATGGGAATGATCGCATTTCTGGGAATTGATTTCTAGTTGAGGTAGATGGCTTCTCGGCTTTGACTGTCTTCTGCGGCAGCACAGTTGATGCTCGAGGGGTGCGGTCAAGATCCTCCTCGACAGGTGGCCTGAGAGACTGTTTCGGCGTCTCTGGTCGTGATTGTGGCACTTGCCGGCTATTCATCGACGCAGTGCGATCCGTCGTGCGCGAGTCGATTCTCTTCCCTGGACTCTTCGGTGGTGTCGTGATTTCTCCCTCTCGCAGCTTGCTTGATGGCGCAGTGGTGGCCTCTGTGCTCGATTTGACAGCGTTTGATCGGCCAGACTCACTGAGACTTCGACTTGCGCTATCATCGTAACCACTGGACAAGCTGAAAGTATCAACGGTATCCTTGTCATCCTTGTTCTTCCTGAGGTTGACAACGCGGTGTTTCCTCTTCTTGCCCGGCCTCGTGCGTGATATTCCACTTCCAAGGCTGTATACTGTTCCGGTAGAGTGCATGCTGGCAAGACTTGGCCTAGTAGCCTCTGAGCCTGCTCCGGAAGCCTGCGAAGCAGCTGAGGATACTGTGCTGTGCAAGGCGATCGAGGATTGCAGTCTAGACAAAGTGACGGGTCGTGTTGGCGAGTTTGTCCCGCTGAAGTCATCGCGATGTGCACTTGCCCAAGCTCGATAGACGCAATCTCTTATACTAGGTGTGAACAGGCTCAGAGTCTTCTGGCTCTCGGTGAGAGCTGCTAAACGCACCATGTTCTTCTGGGAGAATGAGGCGTAAGTTTCTGCGGGTGGGTCGAGGGAAAATGATTCGCTTTCGACTTCGTCGTCAAGTAATGCTGGGTTCACGAAACGATCCACTGGATTGCTATTCGAACTCTTCTTTGGCTCCTGGTTCTCGGCCGTTTGATATTCCGGGCTGAACTTCTGCAAAGAGAGTCGATGGATGATGGCAGGCAAGTCTTCCATGAATAGAGTCCGTAGCTGGTTCTCGATCGTCTTCTGCAGATAATCTCGCACAAATGGGATTGAGTCGAAAGTTGAGGATACTTTCAGCTTTTCGAGAGGATCATTTCGGAAGACAATCGTGATGCCTTTCTGCTTCGAAAACACCAATATGACGAAACCAGACAGACGAATCTCCGACAACGAGATCTGTATAGGTATTGTCAAGCTGCTGCTTGCCGCCAAAGGTTGCGGACTCGCGAAGCTCGGTTTTGTTGATAGATAGGTATTCAGCGGATTCGCTTGCACTCGCGTCTTCAGCGTGAGGTACGCGTCTCCGGTATAGCTCATCTTGAATATTCCCCGAAATCGATCTTCTGCCAAATCGCCTATCTCCAATATCTCGAGCTCCGGCGGCGTAGATCCAAGATTCAGCTCATTCACAATGATATCGTCAACAATGATGGGCGGCTTCGGCGATTTATTGAGCGCATTGGTGAGCATATCGCGCACTCGCTCGGTGTCCGCGATGAGCGGCGACCAGTTGAAGTTGAACGCCATGCTTGTGAGAGCGCTGCGGCCTGTTGCTGTTACTGTTGCAGGGCCTGGATTCGTTGCTGATCAAAGTCCTGCAAATGCAAGACAAACAGTCGCGTGCATTGAAGCGACACAGCGCGCGGAGTCAGGCAGCGCAAAGCCTTCGTCCGTGAATGTGGTAGGTGTGCGTAAGTACTCGAGCGCTTTGTCTTGATAAAATTTCGCCAGGCATCAGCAATAAGAGTCTCAGGAAATTGTATCTTACTTCTTCTCGTCCTGTTCCTTTCTTGCCGGGTGGACCCGCGCCGACGACGTCGATTTGCTTCCGAGGTCCGGCGGCGACCTCAGCTTTGAGTGCAGTGCCTCACAACACTCTTCTCACGCTATCCGCCCCCTCCACACTTCGACTTCTACTGCTGCTTTCGCTGTGAACCGCTCGAATCGCGATTTGATGTGTCACCTGCAACGACCATTTTGAAGCTGGCTAGAAGTGCTTACACTGCGAAGCAGGTCGAAAGCCTAGCGGCAGACGCGAAGTCGTAAATGTCCACCGGACCATTTCTCGATGATCCTCCGCCGTCAAGACTCAGGACGATGCTCGACTCCTCAGCTCTACCGTACTAGACATCATAAATCAGCAGACTGTGCAAGGAGGAAGAGCCTGGTTTCATCGTCATTTTGCAATAGCCCCGCCATGAAGGCAAACAGGCGGCCTCACAAAGCTCGCCCTACACGTGCATCTCTCTCGTACAAAGGAGGGAAAATCACCGAAGTCCTCAGGCAACTTCCAGAGCATGGCTATGATATACCACGTGGACCATCAACCTGATGATCATGTTACCCCTAGGCCTAGCTCCGCCAAGGGACCGAATACCAGGTCGCTTTCTGCGAAACTCCGAATTACATCTGGCCTGCAGCGAGGCTCGCCTTACTCGTGGCGCCGATGCTGATGATCTGGGCTCATGGGTGGCTGATCATTGCACCGCCCTCTGCAAATTGCAGTTTTTAGCTCCTTGATGTTTTCATCAGTCCAGTTGAAAGACGTTCCCGGGCAATTTGGATCGCGATGCCTCACTCGTGGCAACAGTGCCACCTCATAAGATCGACCGTCACCGTACGATGAGGTTACCTGGGTGGTGCGTCTGTCGTGACGCACAACAGATCTCAAACTCGTGAAGACTTCAAGCCAGAAGGCCTGGCAAGCAACGTACCGAGCTCAGCACACTGCCACCGTGCGCGTTTTTTGCGGAAGCTTAGCCAATGATAGATTGAAGTAGCCGCGCCTCGAAATCGCCGCTAAGCATTGCGAGGCCTTGCGTTTGACCTTGGGCACACGCTTCAGGATGATCGTTCACCCAGGCTCCGTGAGAAATGCAAAGGCGGTGCTCTTTCCGTGGATCCAAACCACAGCGCGCTTTCGAAGAGAACTTCTCATTTCACACCGGACATCAACAGTCACGCACAACTTACTCCTGATGAGATGCGTCTATGGCGGTGGTGGGCGGCGTGCTGCCGACAATGTCCTGGCCTGGGATTGTCATTCATAAAAAAGAATATTCATCCCTATCCCAGCATTACGAGCGGATCCACCAAGATGCTCGAGCCGTGGGCATTTCAGGTGCAACGATTTTCCACGCCTCTAGCTGCGTACTGGCAGGCACTCTTGATTGCGGTGCCCGAATTTGCTTCTACTTCAGTACAACGGCAGCGAAACGAAACCAATGATGATTTACGAATGGCAAGACCAGTGGGCATTGATCTAGATGGCGTGAGATTTTAGAGGTGCTACGGGTGTAGGATAGATTAGCGTAGCGAGTTCAAGGTTGTGTATTTTGCTCAAGGTATATCAAACCTGCAAATTTTCGGAACCTTACGCGAATGCGTAAGTTGCAAACAAGGTCTACAAGTTCCTTGCAAGCGAATTCTCACATTTCGACTTTCGGATGAAGGGCGGTAGGGTCAGCAGAGGGCGAGGAACGCGAACCGCTCCACCTCGCGTTAGCCAAAAGTCAATGTAGAACTACAACCACGAAGGCAAAAGAGGCAAACAAGGATGACCTCATATATAGCCGCCTCACTCAGATTGAAACACCACGAGGACAATTTCAGATATTGTGGCTGATGTTTAGCTGTCATCAATGATCTACCCATCTGCCGGGCCGCCAGTTGACAATACCCACACACTCTCTCGCCCCAGTTAAGTGATTGATGAAGAAGACGATGCTTGTTCTCCACTCCTCAGCACTCTTGACCTCCCTCCACTATTCACCTCTCACCTTCATCTTCCGTCTCTTGCTCTGCCACCAAACCAAACGTCGTAGGAACCAACCAAACTCAGGGGCGTCGTGGTTGTATAGCCCTTGAGGCAAAGCACGTGCTGCGTTTTATATGCGCTACGACATCAGTCGTAACTTTCCCGTACCCAATTCCACCACAGAAGCCTGCACAGAAGTAGTCCTTGGAAAACTGGGCGTGGCTCAGATAGATTCCGGCATGAAGCATCATACCACCAGGCATGGCCCTACGGCATACCGGAAATTGGGTCCGTGCACGTTAGCACGCTACCCAGTGTTCTTTGATGTGTAGACGTGCACTTGCTAGACCAGCAAGTGGTCATTCGTGAAGTTGTTCCCGCAAGAGTAGCCGCTGTTCCAGTCACGCCGAACCTCCAGCGCCGGTTAGCGTTCCACCGCCTCCTGAAAGCCTCCTGGTTGAGCGGGTACTCTAAATCCAGGGCGGCGCTGGTTCAACTATCGGCTTCACCGCGAGTTGCTGTCCAAATACGCCTCCTTCGCACGACTCATGACCTTTAGCGGCATCGCAACATCGTCTTGCACCAGCGCGAATCTGCTAATGTCCTGCCACCCGCTGCACTTCCTGAACGAACAGGTCATATGCGCCGACATGTTACGATTGCTCCGCCTCTCGAGTGTCCATTCGCAAATTTCGCTCATTATCTCGAATGCCCAGTTCGCGGTGGTGTGCGCTCGAAACATGGCGGCTTCTACCCTGCTTACCACTTCCCAGTTGCACCCTCATGATCAACTGCCACCTCGTCGCCCTACCTCCGGGCACTGCGTACGATGACGAAGCCTCCTAGCCCTCACCTCAGGCATATGGATCATGTCGCCGTGCGACCTGCGCCTGGAAGATAAAAGCCAGTAGGGAAGTCATAGCAACTTCGATCATCAACAACGACAGTAGCATCAGCACCCCGAAGCAGAAGCCTATCCAGGAATCACCAGGAAGTATCAGACCAGGAGACCCACATTCTACACCTTGGTCACTTATCGACAGTGGTGCAAGTCATCATGAAGGGCCAGACACAAGTTATCAACAACATGGCTTCCGCTGCCGATCGACGTAGCACTACCGCTGCAGTTCCCCAGCAGCAGGTCCACGACGTTGATCAGGCTCGTCAGGACGGAAGAGTTTGGATGGCTCGTCAAAACATGCGAGGGTGGTGGTAAGTGGCAGGATACCTCTCCAGATATTAGGGTGCTGATCGTGACAAGGATCTGTTCGAACTGCCAAAATACCATGAATCCAGCGGTGGTTGGATATAGATGCTCGATCTGTGGCCATACCAAGTGCGCCTACTGCAAGGTCTACTCAGAATAAAGCCACATCTTTCTTCGAGCTTATGGTAGGTTACCGTATCACAATATGATTTCTGGCCTGTGCTAATGCTTCTGGGCAGACCATGTTGTAGAGATAGATGATGTTGATGTCGAAGGGTGTTGTCTTGGCGGCTCGACTTAGCGTTCGTTTCAGATCTTGGCTTTGGCGTGACGGAGGTCACTTCCAATTCTGTCGCCTGAGGTCTCTGGTTGTTGCAAGGCGTAGGAATAGATAGTTAACAGTACATGGCGTTCTTCTTTTCCGTTCTCCCGGCACTTCACTGCGCGCGGTAGGGCAAAGGCGTCAATTGCATATTGCGCACATGCTTAGTGGGATAGTTAGGTCCAACCGTTCGCATCCAGATCCATATCTGTAGCACTTCGGAACATCCAGCAAATTCTGAGGTCAGTTTTAAGGCACTTGGTCATCTCTACTCTGCTTCTGTCTTCTTCGCCACTCGTTTCTGATGCGACGAGCCTCCTTTTCACTCACCCAGCCATCTGGTCTCTCGCCGTCCTGCCATCCAGCGTCGAGCCTTCGCTTCTTCCTCCGGCTCGGGGTGTTACTAGGCCGTCGCTCTCGTCTCGGGGTCGGCGGTCGGACTAGGCCGGCATCGCTCAATAGAACTTCGAATTCCGGTCCCAGCGGAAATTCGGATATCTGTGATGTGTGATCGCAGCAAGGCGAGTGCCTGAACGGCAGCACCCATTCGTGTGGCTCGGATCCGAAGACTGCTTTGAAGTTGAGCCATGCGCTGCCAAGATTCCATGGATTCAAGCCTCGGGGCGCTTCCAGAATAGCAAATGTTCGAGGAACGGGTGCAGGTATCGGTGGCCTGTCTGTTGGAAGGTGCAGCGGGTATGTGATAGTGCCTTTGTATAGCTTCGATGCTGGAGATGCTGATTCATGCCTTGACGGCTTTCGTTGTCGCTTGAAGTAGTTTACATGGGAAGGATCATCGATTTCTGAAGTTAGTGGTCGTTCGCTGTCACCATCCGCGTCATCGCTCTCTCGAGGGGATAGATGTGCTGGTGGCGGTGGTGCGAGAGGATCCCTTTGCATCTCTGGAGGCAGTATCACTGCCAGGTACCTAGAGGGCATCAGCGAATATTGCCCTATCATAGGTACCGTGGCAGGAATGACTAACATTCTGCCCCTGATCATCTCGATCGTTGTTGTGTTCTTGAAAACCATGTTCATACTATTCATGACCATACCGGCGGAGAAGAGGCAAAAGAAGCCAGCCAGCCCCAGAACAACGAACCAGTGGACATTATGCTTGGACTTGGAGACATAGAATCCAAAGACGCCTGTGAGGTATCCGGTCAAGATCATTGTATAGAACAAGAACTGGATGAAGAACTTGAAGGACCGTTCTCCCACGACACCTGAGGCGCAGTTAGTAAATGCACGCTTGCAATCGGCTTAAAGGGCCTCTGATGAGCCATGCTGGTGAGGAACAGTGCTTTTTATTGTGGCCGCAATGGGACGGGAAGGACTCACCACCAACCCATGGACAGAAGTGATCCATCTTTCGCGTGCACCTTCCAACATCTTGATTGTGATGAGCACGGTCGGGCTTCCAAGTGTGGCAATAATCGCACCAGATCGGCAGTCCATTAGGGTCGCATACAAAGACATCCCGCATCCAGAACGCCTCAAGTCCAGGCTGAGGCTGAAGAATACTTGGGCGTTCGATCTTCTCCTCGGCGCCTAGAGGTACATATCCAGGATCGCGCAACACGGTGACAAGTAGTCTGAGCCATGCTATCGCGACTGGAATAAGTAGCACAAAATAGACGATCGGTATGGCCAATCCAGCTGTCAGTCGTTGTTTCCGATCAATGTCGGCGTCGTTTGGATCGTTGATTAGATAGTCGATGCTGAGGGGTCCAACCACCGTGTAAGATGCGTAAACGACGATTGCCACGAGAAATACTGGTATGAATCTGGCCGTGGCAACCGAGACCCGATTCCTCGATGGAGGCATCTCTCGAGATGCCGGTGTCTCACGAGAGAATGCATATCATGTTTTGTGATGATGTTGTCGATTGTACCAAAGATGGCGGAGGCTGGGCTGGGAAGGAACCAGGTTCCAGCTTGGAGGAAACTTTCGGTACATCGGCAGAGGAGAAAACATGGCGCTGTTAAGCCGATTGACTAATGGCGCATAGCAACGCACATTTTGAGTACTAAGTTATGGCGTCAACCTGAAGGGTAACTTATGGCAGAATGGTAGTGACTATTGTTGGGGTGCAACAAACTATCCTAACCGCGAGGGAAAAGCCGAAAAAAAAGAAGAAAAAGAAAAAGAAAGCGCAGCCATCTGCGAACGCGAGTTACCTCCTTCAGTTCCTCCCAAGAGCGTCACGCTGTTCTCAACACTTGGCTACGACAGAGATATGTGCTTCTGGCGATGTTCGCGTAGGCTTCGAGGCCGACATATGTTACACACGGATCTATTCTTTTCGATGATATGCTCGAGCGGAACCTCTGCCAAAGCATAGATTACAATTGTTTCCGACCGTCTGTCGCCCAGACGAAGGTGGCACAGCGATGCAGTCGTCCATGAAAGCGCTCTGAGAACGCTTCACCTAAACACCAGAAGCGCCAGGTGCCTTCTCATCTTTTCTTAAGCTGATCAAAAGCTCCCTCATCTTCGCCTTCCCGCTTCCGGCAGCACCGCCAGTCGTACCCTTTCCACTGAGATCAACAAGCTTGGCAATACGCTCCCAGCTTGTGCCACCAGCAGTGGTGTCTTCTCGGGACTTCAAGAACTCCTCTGCCTCTCTCCGCGTCTGAGCAATCTGCTTCTCTTTCTTGTTGTTGTAGTTCTCATAAAATTCATCGATCGCCTCTTGAGCAGCCTTGACGGTCTCAGCCTTCTTCGATGCAGAAACCTCGTCCCGGTGCTGAATCTGTAGATCACGGCGTTCCCTCCACTCTCTCACGACATCTGGCTCGGCTTCGTACTCGTGATATGATGGTGCTTGGAAAGGTGCAGTCGAGCCGGTGATTGTTCCACCTGGTGCGACAGCTCCGTTGGATGTGTCTACAGCTGGGAAGGAGGATTCGAAGTCGCCCATCATGTCGCCATTTGCAGGAGCACTTCCTCCACCGCCTCCTCCGAGCAAATCATCGTCGTCTTCGGCTACGTTTGCGACTGTTGCAGCGTTGTCTGCGGAGGTTGTAAACATTTCAGCGTCATCTCCCAGAGCTGCGCGTTCTCTAGCCAAGAAATCGGAGGGCTCGTCAACGCCATCGAGAGCTGATGCGCCAGTCGCTTCTGTCTTGCCTGTCATATATCAGTCATGCGACCGCTGTGGACGAAGTCAGATCATCTCACCCTCGTCAAAATCCTCGAGAGAAGGGAATCGGTCAGCCATGGTCGCTGGTGCCTGTTGAGACAGCTGTCTCCTTTCCAAATCGTTGTGCTTCTATCCGATTGATTGCAATACCAGTGAGTGGTAGTACCGAGTGAGTGACCGGATTTATGACAACACAAGTCGATAGTTTCGCAGACTGTTGGTGAAGGGGGAATTATTATTGTTGGCAGCTGTATTGTCGGATTGGCTGTCTCTCTCACAATGGGATTCCCCAGGAACAGCAACCGCAGTTTAGCCGCACGCGCACGTGCTTCTTAAAGAGCGAGCTCCGCTCCGCTGCCAGCTACTAGCTGCGGCGCTTCTCGTCCTACGCTTGCACAAACCCAAGACGAGGCAAAGTTGAATTTGTGCAACGACAACACAACAGCGCAGTAGTCGCAGTCGCAATAGCTCCCACAGCCTTGTAGCATAGCATACACCATGGCGTATTCCGACGATGCCGTCAAGGCAAAGCTGGCAGCTCTCAACGAGACGCAGGATAGCATTGTGACAGTCGCGCAGTGGATAATGTTTCATCGCCGACATGCCAACCGCACTGCAGATCTGTGGAAAGGCCGTCTGCAAGAGTCGTCGAGCGCCAGTAAGCGACTGACTCTCCTCTATCTTGCAAATGAAGTCGTGCAGCAGTCACGCGCACGCCAGAAGCAGGACTTCCTCCTCGCATTCGAACCACTTATCGCAGACGCGACGGCGCAAGCCTACAAGGGAGCCAGCCAAGACATTCAAGCCAAGATCAGACGAGTGGTGGAAGTATGGCGAGCACGGAATATCTTCGACCAGCGCATTCAGGAGCAGACAGAGAGCAAGCTTGACGAGCTCGACAAGACCAAAAGCACCAGCAAGCTCGGGGGACTGGGTGGTGGCAGGCTAGGTGGCAGCTTGTTTGGAGGGGGTGGCAGTGGAGTTGCGTCGGAGCTTGAAGGAGTCAACAAGAGCCAAATCGCGCTCACCAAGGCAGATGCAGCGAGCAGAGGACCACTCACTTACGCCAATGCCGAGTGGGCCAAGATCAATGATCCAAATACGCCTGTGCCTAGTGCTCCAGTGCGAGCTGCCAAACTGCGAGGCTTGGTGAAAACGCTCATGGCTGCGCATAATGCAGTCGACGCGGGCATTAAGGCGAGGCAAGAAGTCCTTGCCGGTCTAGAGAAGCTAGTAGAGAGCCATCGCGCTAAGATCGCAGAAGAGGAAACGACAGCACGAGATCTGAGGTCGAAGATCGATACTATGGAGGGCACCATTAGGGAGGTTGAGGACAGTATCATGCGAGGTGCAGACTCTCCTACGAATGGCAATGGCACAGGCTACGGCCCACCAGAGCCGCAGCGTCCAGAGATGGAACGCTTCACACCGCCACCTCCAGACGTCGAGGCTCTCACACCACCTGCGCAGGATATCGACGCAACCATTGGCGACATCGCGCCTCTTGACAAGGGCTTCAGCAATCCCACGGGCGCAGATCCAGTGCAGGAACAGCTGCCCAACCTCAATGAACCTCCACCATCGTTTGTGCCTCCGCCCGCCTTGCCGAATGACGACTCCATTTCGGCAGCAACGACCGCAAAACAGCTTCTCGAGACCCTGAGTTCTGCGCAAGGCCTCACTCGATCACCTTCAGGAGAGCTTCCAGCGGGTAATCCCGCTGACCCACGGCTGAAGCGTCGCAAATTAAGCCATAAGTCCAGTAACGATGTCGACGATGAGATCTTCGGTAGCGGAGGTGTGGATGAGGATAGCATCAGCGCGATGCTGGGACAGTAGCATAGGAAATGCCTTCCTTCGGCCTCGGGATGATTCAGCAAGCGACGAGTGCGCTCACATATTGCTTCTGCTGTAAGAATGTATCATAACACATCATCAATCAAATTTCTGGACTCAAGCTGCTCGGGAGTAAAGCATTACTAGTTTTGCATGTACTTTCTAGCTTCCGATTCGCAGCATGAGAACGAGTGTATCGTCTGAGGACATCGAATTCCAACTTGAAAAGAATCCCACATCGTCTTCAACGAGCTTGCTAGCCAGGGAAACTCATCTCCCGCATTCCGCTTGATCACTTCCTCATCTCGTCGATAGTAATGACCCCATCACAAGACGTTTCACAACGAGCGAAAGAGGCGTGAGCAGAATGATAGGTATTATCTTGCACCTGCAGAGCTCAGGCCGATGATCCAAGCGTGTGAATACAAACATGTAGTTGTCGGACGCTACATTTCGATGCTTATATGCGCACGGAAAGAGTTCGTCGAGCGTGGAAGCCTCACATTCTAGGCCGGTGAGAAAATGTTGATGTGATGTCCCACGAGTTGCTCGGGTGGCGAGGGTGGCGAGGGTGGCGAAGTCGCTCCTTCCGTGTTCGGCCTCGGGCCAAAATTAAGCTCTCGGTACTTTCATGGGTCGATCTGAGCTGCGAGAAACAAGTGATGTTGTCTCGACTTTCACTTCATCGCGCCAACAACTTTCACGACGCCTGCCACTGCCATCACCAACGCCATCGCCAACGCCAACGTCACGCCGCCAAACGAACCCACTGGAGCTGGACCTGGATTGATTGCTGGAGTGTTGTTGGACCGTCGCTAACATCATTCTGGACGCAGGCTGTTTGCTTTCCGCAAGAGCGGCCGTTTCCATTCGCCTCGTCATAGACCGCGCCATGTCGCCAAAGCAAGTGAGCATACGGTAGTGAGCCAGGACGTTTTGGAGCCATCGTAGGAGAGAAACGAGACGCGATAGCCATGGCCATGCGCGGGCCAAGTGTGGTTGCGCAGAGGGCGTGGAGCAGTTTGGGCAATGGAGCACTCTTCACCCACAGAATACACCAGTCGCCAGCCCAGCAACTTCTCTCGCGGCTGTCACAACTGAACACCGCACGGCCTTCCTCGCCTAGAATATTAGGCCTCTGCCAAGCACGATGCATCTCGAGCGCTACCCAGCAACGACCAACAACTGCTCTGGTCAAGCAGTCGGCTTCCTCAATACTCGCGCAGAAACGTGTGCTGCAAACATCTCAATCTCAGCAGGAGAGCCTCAACGTGGTGCAGCATGGCGATAAAGCTACGGCATACAAGAATGAGGTCAAGAGCGGCGATCCCGCAGACGCTGAAGAGGAAGAGCTGGATTTCAAGAAGACTGAAAAGGCCAGCCAGGCTTCCCAGGTGAACTTGAGCGCGAAGTTGTCGAGCACGGGAAAGGACGGGCAGAAAAAGACCAAAGGAGGCTGGCGTGAGGTGACGAGACTGCTGAGGATTGCCCGACCAGAAGTCAAGACTCTGGCTCTGGCCTTCGTCTTTCTTCTCATTAGCAGCAGTGTCACAATGTCCGTTCCCTTTAGCATCGGACGAATTCTGGATATGGCCACGAAAGAGGAAGGAACACTTTTTGGGCTCACTTTGTCGCAATTCTGCATCGCGTTGGGAACTTTGCTGTCTTTGGGCGCCTTGGCCAATTACGGGCGTATCATTCTTCTTCGAATTGTTGGCGAGCGTATCGTCACAAAGCTGCGAAGCACATTGTTCAAACGGACGTACATCCAGAACGCCGAATTTTTCGATGCCAACCGGACTGGAGACTTGATCAGCAGGCTGGGAAGTGATACAATCATCGTTGGCAAGTCGATCACTCAAAACTTATCGGATGGTCTGCGATCAATGGTCTCTGCAGGTGCTGCGATGGGCATGATGAGCTATGTCAGCTTCAAGCTGATTGGTGTCCTTGCTTTTGCCTTTCCGCCTATTGCTGTAGGTGCCTTTCTCTACGGACGAGCAGTCAGAGATCTATCGCGTCGAATCCAGAAGAATTTGGGAACGTTGACGAAGATTGCTGAAGAGCGACTGGGCAATGTACGCACCAGTCAAGCCTTTGCTGGCGAATTACAAGAAGTACACCGGTACAACAACCAAGTGCGCAAGATTTTTGGACTGGGCAAGCGAGAGGCCTTCATCTCAGCGACTTTCTTCTCCTTTTCTGGATTCATGGGCAATGCTACCTTCATCACCCTACTTTACGTCGGCAGCGGCATGGTTAGATCGGGCGCCATGACCATTGGTGACTTGACAACATTTCTCATGTACACGGGCTATGCAGGTAGCAGCATCTTCGGTCTGTCAAGCTTCTACTCAGAGCTCATGAAGGGTGTGGGTGCAGCTACGAGACTATTTGAGCTTCAGGACCGTGATCCAACCATCAGTCCGACAAAGGGAGACATGGTCAAGAGTGCTCGCGGCATGATCGAGTTTAAGGACGTTGCATTTTCATACCCTACGCGACCGGCTGTGACAATCTTCGATGGTCTGAACTTCAGAATCCCGCAAGGCAGTAATGTTGCCATTGTTGCACCCTCTGGAGCCGGCAAGTCCACAGTTGCAAGCTTACTCATGCGATTTTACACTCCGACGAGAGGCGAAATCACGATCGGCGGCAAGAACATCAACGAGATGAACGCAAAGCAGCTACGCAGAAGAATCGGCTATGTCGGCCAAGAGCCAGTCCTGTTTTCAGGCACCATCGCTGAGAACATTGCGTATGGTAAGCCACTGGCTTCCAGGAGTGAGATTGTCGGTGCCGCTCGTCGTGCGAACTGTCAGTTTATTAGTGATTTTGTAAGTGCTCTCTGCTCTGCTTCCTGCGCAAGCGCTAATCTACTCGCAGCCTGATGGTCTCGAGACGTTCGTTGGCGCCCGTGGTGCTCAGCTGTCGGGTGGCCAAAAGCAGCGCATTGCAATTGCACGCGCGCTGCTGAAGAATCCCGATATCCTCATCCTGGACGAAGCGACATCGGCGCTCGATGCTGAGTCCGAGACACTTGTCAACCAGGCACTACAAGCTCTCCTTCGTGGTGATAATACTACCATATCGATTGCTCATCGTTTGTCCACGATTCAGCGGAGTGACACCATCATCGTGATCGGCACTGATGGCAAAGTGGCTCAGATGGGCCCATACCGTGATCTGGCAGCGGACAAAGAAGGCGCATTCGCAAAGTTGATGGAGTGGCAGATGAGCGGCGGTCATGCGGCACAACAGCCGCCGAGGAAGCAAGAGGAGGAGGAAAAGGAGCTCACTGAAGAGGAGCGCATGAGAGCACGAATGAAGGAACATGCGCGAGAACGAGGCGAACAGGACGGTGAAGATGGAGAGCATGATGGACATGATGACTTGGTTGATGAGCCCGAGTGGGAGGGTGTCAAGGTGAAGAAAGATGAGCAGTCTGCCTCAGAGGACCCGGTGATGAGAGCCGGACTGCGAGATGGAGGATACTCCAGAAAAGGATACTAGACTCACCTCACTTGTATTGCATAACACTTCTGTAGCATGAAACGGCCATGCTACCAGATAATTTTTGGGTTGTCGCTGCGATCGATGAGATCGTGGAAGCGACACATACTTAATAATTGTACAGCATCGGCAGACTCACATAGAGAAGCAATGTATAGTTCTCAGCTCAGTAATAAATGATGGACTCTGCCACCTTTTGGATTTCTCTGCCCCCTTGTACTGGAATGTTTCGCCGAAGCCGGTGCGAGGCTGCCCACCTTCTGCGGACTTCAAGTCGTCACGTTCACATTTCGATCTCAAGAACACACCCAGCACTGCACACGATCTCCATTTGCGTGCCATCCATCGCTTCTAACTTCACGGAAGCGGCACAAGATCTCATACGTTCGCGTGCGATTACCAACATCATGTCTGAAACATTCGATTTCACAAGTCTTTCGAAACAAGAAATCCTAGATTTCGCGAAACCCACGAAAGAATATGAAGAAGCAAGTCAATCGCAAATCATCTCAGCCAATTTCTTCCTAACACAAATCAGATGATGTCCATCTGGCCACCCCTCAAAATCGACTGGACCGACCGCAAAGTAGCAATCACAACCCTCAGAACCCAGACAGAATTCGCAGACGAAATGGACGAACCTGATCCAGCTGTCAAAGAAACTCTGAAAAACTTCTCGGCTCGGGATGGGTATGAGCTGTCTCTTCGAATTTTCACTTCAGCCAACTCTCCCCGTGGTGGGCCTCTAATAGTTCTCTATCATGGTGGAGGCTGGTGTATGGGCTCAACAACAATGGTCGCAGACATTGCACGAAATCTCGTCAAGAAATTGAAAGCGGTAGTCATCGCACCAAAGTACCGTTTGGCGCCTGAATATCCTTGGCCGAAGAGTTTGGAGGATGGATGGGATGCTTTTCAATTTGTGAGGGAGAATCATGCTGAGTTTATGGGAGGAGCTGGAAAGCCGTTTTTGATTGGAGGGATTTCGGCTGGTGCAAGTATGAGTCTGGTTTATGCTCACTTGGCGAGAGATCAAGGCTTGGAGCCCAAGATTACTGGCATTTGGAGTGCGTGTGGGTCGGTGAGGGCGAAGGATTTAGGGGATCTGGAAGATAGATATAGAGAGAGGTTGCTGAGTCGGAGTCAGGAGGATTGTGTAAAGAATCCGGTGTTGAGTCCGGAGATGCAGAAATTGTTGCGGGAGTGCGTCAAGGCGGACGAGAATAGTCAGTGGTACAATTGTTTGGTGTGGAGAGATGGTTCTGATGGGAGAAGTGGGTACGGTCATCACGGCCTTCCAAGGATGTATCAACAGCTCTGTGGAAGGGATGTCAGTCGAGATGAAGGCCTGATCCTGGATGATATGCTCAAGAAGGAAGGAACGGAGACAAGGCTCGATCTGTACAAAGGTCTGCCCCATTGCTTTTGGATCGCGTTACCGCATGTCCCTGAGTTCAAGAAGTGGGAGAAGAACACCATTGATGGGTTTGGTTGGCTTTTGGAAGCTTCTTGATGGATACTGGCCAAGCCATTTGCTTTCTGAGCGCAGAACCTTGACTCCAGGCTCAGAGTGCCATATCAAATTCTTATTGCTGGCGCTCCGTCTCAGACATTCAACGCGGGTAGATTTACAGACTTTCGACACAGACCTGCATCCAAAGTCTGAGACAGTACGTCAGTGAACGTAAATATGCCTGTCCGCTAGCAGAAGGCTTGGCTCCATTGGTAGTTCATCGCCAGAAGATTCGCGCCGGTCAAACAATCTGTTGTTAAATTCGTCTGCTCAAGCAAAGCAACCAGAAAGTGACCACTCAGATCAGCTTCTTGGAGGCCGTATCATCATCACTATCTTGGACTTCACCCAGCTATACTTTCTGAGGGATCCGACAAGGCAGCTCAACGCATGCAAAGTCACTAACCAGCGTCGTATCCCGCTGCATACCTCCGGCAATGGCTGTGACCGCCAAGCCACGATCGATCTGGGAAAACGCAAGAATTGCCTTATCTGGCTGTCCGTTGTCGATGCGAATGGCGTCTCAAGCGTTGCTAAGACTGTTCAGATCATGCTCGAGCAGCGTTCGGAGGAAATACACCACAATGTGGCTGCATACCTTAACTCCTCCCGTACGCTTCGAGTGCAGCCTGTAGCAGCAAGTTGTAGCTCGATAGTATAACCGTCTTCCAAATCAATTGGATTTGTCTCCACATGGATTGTGCCACTGTGGAGATATCAGGCACAATAATGTCGTAACGCATGTGAGAGTCCGAGGTAAGTTCTGTCCGAGACTTCGACCAAAGAAACAAGATCCGCACCCGGAGCGGAGACCGAGCTTACCATTATCGGTAGTAGAGCCTAACGCTTATGCACAACGTCATCTCTAGCAGCAAGTTCGTATATGCGATTTTGTGCCGCGAAGTTCGCATCGACTCGACTGCTCGTTTACCAGAGCTTCAACCTTTTTCTTGTTGACGTACCTCGTCAATTGACGGCGTCGATCAGCTCGTGTAAAGTTGCATCCATCTTGCTCAATGTGGTCCCCGAAAGCATGGTCAGCTACTGACTTGAGACGGTGCCTTAATAGAGAGTCTACACTGCATGGCAGCAGCTTGTGCTGGAGTGACGATTTCGACAAAGGGCCAGAAAGGAAGCTAGACATCCCAAACAAGCCATCTGGGTCCACTTCAAACCGGAGTGAAGGATTAATTGGGTGTACTCGCGTGCTGCATCTCGCACATTGTTGACTGTGGTGTAGTGGAAAAGAGACTAGGACTTCTCCTACTCACCATGATCGATGATGTCTGCAATCATTCAATGGCGTTGTAGATGATGGCTGGCGGCATGTTCTTCAGCGTATGCGCGTGTCCTTGTCTGTCTGGAGGATCCGTTTTCAAGCCACGCGTCCCTTGACTCCCTTCGATAAGAAACGAACTCGGCATGAACCACGGCGGCGTGAACGCTATATTGATGACGATCTCAATGCGCAGGAACGTTCATTCGGAATCGGTGTGCAGCTCTATATACCTAACAGAAGCTTTCTGTTGCAACTGAAGCGTGCCCACCAGCTCCTCAAGTTTCGAACGATCGCACCCAGCCTGGCAGCTGCACTTCCATCCCATACCGTTTTCGAATAGGACCTCAGCCCCGTTGCAAGCCACTGCAAAGCAAGTCAGCAATCATGAGACTCTTCGCCGTTCTTCCATTTCTCGCCGTCGTTAGTGTGCAGGCTGCACCAACTGCAACTGGGGACAACGTGCTCGACAACCGGGGTGAGCAGGACTTCCAGAGGCGTTGGTGGCACCCAACACGAACCCACGGAGAAGGCTGGGGAAAACACAGCCCACATCCATCGATGCCAGTCGCATCAGCTATTCCATCTCACATTCCAAAGGGATGGGGAGGAAAGGGTGGCAACCCTTGGAAGGGTAGCACAGCACCACCTAAGCCAGAGGAGTGGTACGAGAAGCACGAATGGGCATAAGTCATGAAGCAGGAATTCATTATTGCGACCACCACGGTCGCACAGGCTCCAGCCCACCGCCTCGACGGCGCAACTTGTCCCGACGATGGCCGATAGCCTTACAACTTGGATTTTAATGGGCGTATGGTGGTATGTTCACTCTCTCCTTGGAGGGTATGCCAAACTGTGCTAACCGGAATGCAGATAGAGGAATCAGGAATTTCGTATGTGGCAGATACAGCAGCGCATGTCGCTCGCCCGGGCTTCGCTTCGGTCGCTCCTTGAGGTCTCGGGACAGGTCGTTCGCACTGAATCTAGACCGTGCATCCAAATCATTAAACCACTTCCTGTGTTCGCACGCGTGCTTGCACATCATTCTTTCCTCTCCTGCCGGTTCTGAGACTCGGGGCAATGAGGTGCTAAGTCATTGGTGATCCATCGAACGTATCTCCATTGTCCGCTTCGAGTCCATTCTGTCGTATGCAGGTATCGTTACCGCCCGAGAAACTCCTATAATGGCGTCTTCATGGCTTTCAGTCCTGGTTTGGAGCTTCTGTAACGAGAAAATCCGGCTTTGACCTTGACAGCCTCGACGGTGCAATTCTTGAGCCCGCCGCCAGCATTCAGATCAGTCGTAGGATTGTACACATCATGTCCCAAGATCATTACTATTTTTTGAGGTAGGCGTGTGGTCTGAGAAGACGTGGCCAACGACGCAAGCGCAAGCCTCCTCGACGCCACATTCTCGGTAGGTCTAGATCCGCGGAAGCAAAGCTTCCCCAGAGCTTCTTGACCTCACAATGCTTCTTGCTTCTTCATGCACAACAACCACGGACGAAGCGCATCATGGCATCGCTGTCTCTGAGTCGCCATATAATGGTATTGCCACCCCATATACGCGCTCTAGCAATGAAAGAAGCCTTTCTCGCAACCTCAGCTCGCACATTCACCAGAACCCACGCAACCTACAACACAAACATCCACCCCGAACCATCCTCCCAATCCTCCGTGAACGCAACCGAAGTCTCCCACTTCAACACCCTCGCCTCATCATGGTGGGACTCACACGGTCCAAGCAGACTCCTCCACCTCATGAATCCTCTCCGACACAAATTCATAAAAAGCTGCCTCAACGGAACTCCACATCAGAAACTACGCTTTCTCGACATAGGCTGCGGAGGCGGCATTTTCGCAGAAAGTGCGGCACGACTGCCCTACGCCAAAAGTGTCACGGCAATCGACCCAACACCCGAAGTCATCACCGTAGCAAAAAGACATGCGAGACAAGACCCATTACTCTTGCCTGAAAACGGGAGACTCGAATATAATAATATCCCAATCGAAAATCTCCCGCCTGAGGAACAGTACGATATCATAACACTATTCGAAGTCATCGAACACATTCAACAACCATCTCCATTCCTCAAAACGGTACTCCGACATTTGAAGCCTGGGGGTTGGTTGATTGGTTCTACGATCGCAAGAACGGGGACCAGTTGGTTCACGACGAAATTCATGGCTGAGGAGGTTTTAAAGATGGTTCCGAGAGGGACGCATGAGTGGAGTCAATATATACAACCTCATGAGATGAGGGAGTGGGCGAGGAGTCAGCAAGAATTGCTGGATGTGAGTGTGGGTGGAGATGGGTGGAGGCAGATGGGAGTAGTTTATGTGCCTGGATTGGGGTGGAAGGAGATTAGTGGGAGCGAGGATTGGGGGAATTATTTCTTTGGGGTGAGGAGGAGAGATGATTGAGAGATGAGGCCAGGACGTATTTCGTCGTAAATACTAACCATGCTCTACATACGTATCGCTTGCCGCACGCGTAACCCTCACCTCTACCACCTCCAAGATCTAACGACCGAGCCATGAGCCACCAACCCCAACCCATTCATTATTCCACAAGCCACCCCATCTTCACGATGGTGACGACATCCCAGGAACCGACAATAAGCCGTGCCCGATGGGGAGGTTTGGAAGACGAACGAAGCGACCGGTGCCGAAGCATGGCAAACTGTTGTTTGTCTTAGACTCTTCTCACACCTTCTGCAACGTGAAAGACATAGCAAACAAGAGGAAATACTAATAGTAGCCTCCTAGTTAGTGTTAGATAGATCATCCATTTTCATTAGAGTTCACACTTATAAGCAGTTTTAACGCAAACCTAGTCCGCCATCAAACTTCCACGGGAGGAACGTGTGGGATGAAACTTTACTTTGCATTTAGCGTTTCATGAACAGTGAACGCATATCGAGATTAGAAGATTCTAAAGTAAAGTCGAGACCAACCAGGTCGTTATATACGAGCCGTCCTATTGGAGAGAGAGTTCAGTTGCAACTGGTGGCTTGAGCGTCATGATGGCGGAATGTCATCATCGACCGATGGAGTTATCATGTCAATGGTCTCGTGCTCTGAGCAGAAGTCAGTGGTAGTCGGTCGATCAGTCGATATCAAGTATCTTAGATCATGTGGAGATGTGATTGTCAGATCTTGACTTTCTTCAAGATATCTCGTCGCAGACAGGCAAGCAGCAGCTACATAACAGAAGCTACAGTAACTTTGGTATCTCTCGATCAAACAATCAATCAACCTCAATTCGTCAAACATCGCGCAATGACTGCTGCGCAAATTCGCCATCATTGCAAGTGACTACCGCCAGGCCCATCGTCCTTGTTGGTGGTAATGCTTCCGAGCTTCTAAACGAAGTTGAAGTCTCTCCTCTTCAGGTCATGTAGCCTTCGCAAAGGCTTCTAGCAGAATAGCAATAGAAGGTCGTTTCCTTCATTCGTGGACGGAGCTTGCTCTCGAATCACGAAACGGCGTGCCACATCCCTTAGCTAAGATGGCGTAGAGATCTGTTCTGGAGTAGATGCATTTCATATGGATGCATCGAGCTGCTTAGCCCGGTCATTGCGTCGTGGTCATCGTGGGAGGTAGAGAACGCTCGTGACGTGCCGGGCGCGGAGTGGCATGTGGCGGAGCCGATGCGGGCTGGCTGGCTCGTTCTACGCCATATTGCTTGGTGGAAGCAGAATCTATGCCTCGTGGTGGTCGAGGTCGGTAATGCGATCGGTTCGCGTGCCTTTCTATTGGTCCGGAGATTCGTGACTGCTAGGTATGGGGGTACCAGAGCTACTGCACTCAATGTTTATGTCGCATGAAGATGCGACCATCCGAGATGAGGGTTGTATATCCAAAATGGTGGTTGCTCATTTTTGGCAATAGAGCTCGATCTCTCCCATCCCTCCTATTCCTTCTCCGTGTTGTTCTTTCCAGGTTTCGAAGGCTGTTTGCACGTCTTCGTCAGACTGGATACTAACAAAATCATCCTCGTCAAGATACTTCAGCTTCACGTGTGCTTCTTTCGGGCCCCTGTCTCCAAGGCTCAAGTTTGTAGATCGTTGAAGTTTCGCATCTATTCGGTCCTTCAAGGTCTGATATGTTATGTTTGTTGACACGACCAGTGTCAGGGTTTGACCCGCAGCGGGACAATGAACCCGCACCTTGAGTTGTGCTGGAGTTGTCTTTTGAGTCGGCGGTCCTTCTTCGCCCGGCGCTGCAAACGGCATTCCCGACGAGGGCGTAGGAGGCGGATATGCCACTCGTGAAGACGATGGGGTGATCGTCCTCGAGCTACCAAACTGAGTAAGCATGCCTGGTCTCCCTGGATACGCATAGTCAGTGGGTGACGCCTCAGCATTGGAATATTGTCGATCTCGTAGCATCTGTGGAGATGTTCGATCGATCCCATTTGGCAAGCTTGGTGAGTTGTTTTGACTCCTGTTTGCATAAGAGGCGGGCATTTCTGGCACGGGTGGTTGGGCACCATTCCGTACAGGGACTCTCTGTCCATTGTGGATGTCCGGGCTACTAGCGGATCGATTCCTGGACGGTGGTAATTGCATTGAACTGTGCATCGCAGTACCGGGCGGATATCTTTGCTGCCCCGAAGGGACTCGGTTTGTAGGCGTGTAGCTACTTGACATGGTTCCATTCATCGGCTGGCGTGCCGGTGCTGGCGCAGTAAATCGTGTCGCGCCGTGACCCTCTTCATAGTATCCGTTCTGTGGAAGCCCTTGCCTTGGGAAGGGGTAAATGCCAGAACTTGTGCTTGTCCGTGATGACATTGCCGACATGGGAGAGTCGGTGGTAGGCGAAAAGTAGCTGTCTATCTGTCTGTCGCCGGGTGATTGTGCGAGTTGTTGCAATTCTCGCGTCCGCAACGATAGTCCTTGCGGCATAACTGCAGTGGGTATTCGAGGTGGGTGTGACCGCGTAGCCGATGTCTCCGAAATAGAGCCCAAAGTGCTGTCGCCCGTTGTGCTTCTCGATCGTAATGAGCTAGAGCTGCCATTGCGGCTTTGTGAGAAACTGCTGAAGCCATTCGGACCTGACCAGCTGCCACTACCAGCCAGTGTGTCAACGTCGTCCTCATCATCGTCTTCTTCGATCTCCTTGTATGGATTCTCGAGGGGTTGATTCTGCATGAACGAGAACTCGGTTGCGCTCGTGCCTTTGTGACTGCTGCTGTCACTGCTTCTTGCGCCAACGATTCTCTCCCGGTATTTTCGTCGTTGGATCTCAATCTGTTGTGCCCATTTCTTGAGGGTATCTTCAGTGGTGAACCTAATGATGAAGTTTTCGATGCTAGGATCGCCTTTCCAGAAAATCTGACATGTGTATGAGCCTAAATCCCATCATTAGCTTCCGTCAAACATACCCTGCCATTGGTCCTAATTGACAACTCCACATCCGGGATGAGCATACCTGGTTTCGCTAGAGATACCAAGTCAGTAACATTTTGCATGAAGATTCGACCCTTGAGCTGAAGCTTCGGCTTGCCCTTGTTGTCGACCAGATTCTTATTCGATAGTTTGTTCTTGGGCTTGCTGAGGTCAATGTTCTTGCAACAAAGCAAGATGGTCTCAAATAAGTAGACGTGGTACTGTTGTCATGCGTCAGTGAAGGTCTCCAAGTATTTGCTCTTGCCCGTCTTACCTGTCGCTCGCCGTCTTTGCCGTTTGCGAGATTCTCGCTCTTCAAGACAGTGAAGGTGCCGTAGAGCAGAAGCTCTCCGAAGCCTTCCACTCGGTGACCTTTCCAATCCTCGACTCGCAATTTCAATTCTTGGACTGCTTCTGCCTTCTCTTCTCTGTCAACAGCCTTATTTGTTCGCGTCAGGACGGATGTTGAAGCTTCCATGCCATTGACCAAGTCTTGCTTTCTCGCCTCATCTAGATCGCCCTTCTTATGAAGTTGCTCCAGTAAAAGCGGATACTTGGTCAATCTCTGAAATGGCTTCATCAAGAAAGAGTGGAGCGCGGTTGGAGACTCGACCATCTGCTGCATTTCGATGCTCCCTCCCGCCTCGCGTAATTTGGCAAATTCGGCGATGACAGTCTTTTCGCACTTCCGCTGGTTGGCAATGTATGGTTCGTACACTTTGAATGCTTCGCAGTAAAGCAAAAAGAGTTTACCCCAATTCTGCTCTTCTTCCGGGAGGGCGTTGGTTTGTTCCACTCGGATCAGAAAGCGGCGCTGAAAGTCCAAGAGCGCGTTGAGGTTCAGGAATATGTCATGGACGGCATCACCAGCGATGATGCCCTTCTCCTCTACGAGATGCTTGAAAGCCTGCAATAGTTCCAGATGCTGCACATATGTTCTTTCTGACCTGACCAACTCTGAGATAATGTGTTGCCGTTGGGTTCGTTTCATGCCTTTTTCGGCTTGCTCAAAGTCGGAGGCGGTGGGTCGCACATCCTCCACCAATCCACGCTGAACCAATACATCCAACACTCGATTCACCACGCGGGCGACCTTGACGAATCCGGTGGTGTCGTCGCCGTAAAGATCGGTGATGATGAACAACTCTTCTTGTGGAATCTTCAGGTCGGCGTTGCAAGCCTGGATGAATTTGAACGTGGCAGCTTTCGCTTTCTTGTCTTCCTTGACGCCTTGCGGCATATTTAAAGGCTGAGACGGTCGCAAGGCATTGTACAGCAGCATGAGGGGATAGCCTCGCCGGAAGGTCCTCCACAGTAAAGTTACCGGGTCTGTATCTTCATCGGCCTCCGCTTCCTCCTCCAGCAATGCATCGTGAAAGCCAGGCACGCCGAGCAGACGTTGACGCAGGGCAACGCATATCTGGAACAAAGAGCTGCTCGCGTCGGCGACGCTGTTCATGATATTGTTGGTTGGCGTGACGACATCGCTGTTCGCCATTCCACCACCGCCCGCGGCAGTGGCCGAGCTGTTCGGCAAGGGCGGTGGGGGAAAGAGTGTGCTGTGCGAGGTGCCTTGGGTGGTATCGCTGCTGCGACTCGAGGGCTGGGACTGAATGCTGTAGTTGGAGGAAGTGTGGCCCTGAGAATGGATCAAAGGGTTCTGGGACATGTTCGGTTGGTGGTGGTGGTGGTGGAGTTTGGCGCTATGGTAGGGGCCGCTGGCGTGGTCGACAGGGCCAGGGCCAGCAGCTTGCGTAGTCAACGGCGCAGTCAGAGCTCGGATAAAGTGCGGATTTCCATGCGACGCGATCTCCATAGTCGCCGGCGCTCTACGCGGAGGGCGGCATGGAGACTATGCCGGACGGAGGGTGCACAGTCGGTGAGCAGAGCAGAGCAGAGCAGGGCAACTGCGGGATGCGACTGGAGTGGTGGCGTGGAGTGGAGCGTGGAGTGAGCAGCGACGGCAGAGTGAGTTGAGTTGTTGCGGGCGTGGTGGCAGTGGCAGTGGCAGTGGCAGTGGCAGGCGAGGTCGCGGTCGAGGGCGTGTGCAGGTGCGTGCGGTGGCAGCGGCGGTGGGTATGGCAGCGAAGTATGTAAGAGGTTCTCCTGGCGCGGCGGGGGCCTGGGGCCTGCTGGGCCTGCTGGGCCTGGCCTGGGGGTGTTTGGGCAGTTGCAGCGAAGCAGGCTGCGGGTAGGTCCGCCGTTGGACTCTGCGCACGAGTCGTGGTCGTGGTCGTGAGCGTGAGCGGGAGCGGGAGCGGGAGCGGGAGCGTGAGACGAGACGCTGCAGGCTCCTGAGTCCTGAGCGGCGCTGCTCTGCGCGATGCGATGCGATGTGATGCGATGCGATGCGATGCGATGCGATGCGATGCCACTTGCTGTGTACGCGCCGGGCCACCGGTGCAAATCACACTCACGACGTCGGCTGGGCTGGTCTGGTCTGGTCTGCAGTCTACGTGGGTGGTGATCTATCTTGCGCCCGCGCCCTCGCTCTGTGCCTCTCTGTGCCGGCGCTGGTGTCGGGACTCTGCGACTCTGCGGTGTCTGCGGTGTCTACGGTGTCTGCGGTGCTTGGGGGTGGCGTTGTCTACTTTCCACCCACCGAAGACAGGCGACGCGCGCTTCACACTGCATCAACGAGCTTTGTTCTCTGATCCACGCCCCAGCGACCAATCACAGCCCGGTCTCTGTTCTTGTGCGACAGGAGGACCGTTGTTGGTCACTGGGTGATGATCAAGCACACTGCACACATATCACTGCGCTGCGTGCTGGCCGCGAGCAGAGCGTGCGAAGTCGTGTGCTCTGTCTCGTCACATCACCACTGATCGCGATCGCTGACTTTGCAGCTGGCAATCAGGCAATCAATCTGCCATCATCGGCGTGCGTGTGTAAGAGTCGTGAAAGTTTCTCCGAGCCCTGATCGTTGGCCTGTACGTATACCACTACCCCCAGTGGCTTATTCCGTTCCAGTGCACCGGCTGCTAGCGCCAAACGGGCTCACAAGCCGACCGGTCGAACTGAGCACAGACTGTGGCTAAAGTATGTACTGCCCCAGGCCCGACATCAACACCTGCGACCTGCAATCGGCCTCGTGCAGTAGGAGTGGCGAGCCTCGACGAGAACATATCGCTGTCGCAGCGTCGCGCAGCACACTACTCTATCTCTTATTACTGCACCGCACCGCACCGCCCCGACCCACGCTGCCTGCCGCTGGCCACATCTGATCTGCGCCTTTCCAGAGCCTCACGCCATTGCCTGCCCGCCCGCCCGCTGCACACGCTCACTACTACTTCCACCTCGACGCATTCGCTGCCGCCAATATCCGCGACGCTGCGCATGAAACATCAACATCCTCGCCGTATTGCTCCAGACTGCAGCGCGTATGCCATCATGGACCGCACAATGCCGCCCTTCGACGAGGGCTTCTCAGAAGAAACAAACAGCCAGCCCGGCTGCGATAGCATCTCCAAACAAAAGACATATGATCCGCTGCTGGAGCAACTTTTGCCCGAGGCCTACTCCCTACGTGAAGGCTCACGAAGTGGTGAGTAGTCGTGGCGATGGCTCGGCCATATCTCGCACAGAATGTTATACTGACACTCGCGCACAGAATTCATACAAAGGCTACTGCACACCCTTTCCACAAAATCCCTCTATGAGCTCATTGAAAAGATCAGCTCGCTGGTCTACTTCGATCCAGTCGCGCGCCTACCCCACGAAATCATCCTCGAGGTCTTCTCACATCTGACCGCCCAGGAACTTCTGACTGCTTCCGTGGTCTCGCGGCCCTGGAGAGAGGTCGCCAAGGATGAACAGTTGTGGCATGACAATTTTGGACGCGAAGGATGGCGCGTCGACCGAGCTAGGATACGAGAAATGGGGGACTTGGCCACGAAGAAGGGTGTACAGGTGGCGGAGCGGATTCTCAAGACAGGCCACACACGACCAACACACTCCCTAGAGCGAAAGAGCAGCCGTAAGAGGGCGCGAGATGAAGCTTTCAGCGAGGGTGAAGCCACCCAGGCCGCCGGCAGTGGCAACACCGCCGACGTGGACCCGGTAGATGGAGATCAGAGTGACGCGTCCGGAAGCATGGAAGGAGTTGAGCCCACGGCAAACACGATACGCTCCACGAATGGCAATATACCAGGAACCACCATTTCCGCCAAGGACGCTCTCATGGATTTCGATACTCGACCAACAACTCCTGCAGTGCATTCGGCAGTTGACTTCCCCACGGAACCTAGCTCAGTCCTTGTCCAGCTTAGGCCTACCGTTTTCAACACCCAGAAGAACCAGAGCAGTACTGTAACCAAGATCAGTTGGCCATGGCTTTATAAGCAGCGTCGACGATTGGAACGCAATTGGGATACCGGCACTTACACCATGTTCCGCCTGCCACATCCGGAACATGAAGCCGAAGGCCATACCGAATGTGTCTACACTATCCAGCATTCGGGTAATCACCTTGTCTCGGGCTCACGTGACAAGACCATTCGCATTTGGGATCTCAATACTCAGCGCATGCGAGGTACCCCGCTGATCGGACATGCGGCCAGCGTGCTGTGTCTGCAGTTCGACCCGAGACCAGACGAAAAGCATGATATCATTGTGAGTGGTGGTAGTGACAACTATATCATCATCTGGAAGTTCTCGACGGGAGAGATGATCCGCACGATCCAGAATGGCCACACGGAAAGCGTGCTCAATTTGAGATTCGACGATCGCTATTTGGTCACCTGCTCCAAAGATAAGACGATCAAGATCTGGAACAGACATGATATACCTCAAAATGATCCGATCATTCCCACTCGGGTCATCGAAACCCTTGGTGCTGATCTCAACTTGAGAGAATATGACCTTATTCCTGCATATACCCAGCTGGACACCCTCGTGGGCCACCAAGCCGCAGTCAATGCTGTTCAGATCAACGGAGATGTTATTGTGTCCGCATCTGGAGACCGCACCATCAAGTCCTGGAACATACACACCAAGAAGCCGGGACCGAATCATCGTAAGTCGTATACTGGGCACACCAAAGGCATCGCATGTGTGCAGTTCGATGGTCGCCGCATTGTCAGTGGTTCATCGGACAATTCGGTCAGAATCTTCGACTTCGAGACTACAGCTGAAGTCGCATGCTTGGACGGCCACAGTAATCTTGTGCGCACCGTCCAGGCTCGTTTTGGCGATATGGACACTGTCACCGATGAGGAACTACTCGACGAGGCAAAGATGGCTGACCGAAACTTCTTGATGGCATTGGACAATGGCATGCAACCAGCTGATGTCTCTCGCCGCCGCCGACCACGCAACGCCGGCTCGAGCCGTCCTCAGGATATGCTCAGCTATGGGACTAAGATTCCACCTGGTGGAGGCGGCAGCAAGTGGGCCAAGATTGTCTCTGGTTCCTACGACGAGACCATTATCATCTGGAAGCGCGATCCCAGCAAGCGCAATACGTGGAAGCCAAATCAACGCCTGCATCAAGGACAATTCGGTGTGCAGGGACGTGTAAGAGCAAACGCCGCACGCATTCCGCACGCGCTGCACCATGGCAATGCTCAAGCCGCTCCTCAACATGGTCAGCAGCAGAACGCCCCGACACAGCTCCTGCAACAGGCTCACGGCCACCTTGCAATCTCCAATGCACTCCTCGCCCAGCCCGCTGTTGGTCCAGGTCACGGTCTGCCGCACTCGCAGCTCACCGCCATGGCAGCGGCCCAAGTGAACCTCAATCAGCATATTCAGGTGATCGCCGGTCAGCAGCAACATTCGCAGGCATTGAATGCCTTAAATACCGCTGCCGCTCACAACAATGCTCATGCTGCAATTGCTACTCAGGCCGTCGCAAATCAAGCAGCCAATGCACAGCAAGCGCAGGCCGGACCTGCACAACCTCATGGGCAGCAGCCTCAACCAGGTCAGGCTGCACAGAATGCAGCGCAACCCGCACCTCAAGCGGCGCAAGGCCAAGTTCAAGCAGCTGCTCAGCCTGTTGGCCCAGCTCAGCCGCAAGCTCCTCCACAACCAGGTCAACCGCATCATCATCACCACCACCACCACCACCATCACCATGTCCACGGCCAAGTACAGCGGGGAGAATCCAATCGTGTCTTCAAGCTGCAATTCGACACCCGACGTATCATTGCTTGTAGCCAGAACAAGGTCATCGTCGGATGGGACTTTGCAGCTGGCGACAAGGATCTGGAGTGGGTCGGCGATTGGAGCATTGAGACCGATTGAGAGGTTCAACCAACATCTCGATTTATAAAGTGAATGCATACAAGCGAAGGCGTTGAAGGGTCCTAGTCTGTTTCTGTATTATCGCAGCCGTGACATGCAACAGTGACGGCACTCCCAAGCGGAAGGTGCAATGAGACAAATGCTTCTTGTAGAAAGTACGTGTAGAGAGTCTGTCTCGCTCAGACTCTCATACAAGGAGTTCTCTTCGGACTCTCCAATGGCTTTCGTTTCGCTATTATTGCTTGCTGTGCATTCTGATTCCTGAATCTTGCACTGATGTTGATCAGACTGGCAGGAGGCGGCCAAATCCGCGGTTGCCTCGGTTGCTGATCCGTGATCAAACTCAAATGTCTCGATGTGTCAGTGTCAACGCTCTCACACCTGCACAATGTACAAGAATAGACACCTTCACCATCAATAAATCATCAACTGAATCTAGATTGGTCTGCTAAGCGCAGCTTGCTGCAGTCCGAATGGGAATAAATTATCCATTCGTTCGGGCAACGCAACAGAAGAGAGCTGGAGTACACTAATATCTACGCAACAGATTCGATACATCAGCTATAGACTGAGACTTTTCACGGCTTCAGAAACAAATCAAAAGAAACAGCATCGATCAATATCTCCAATTCATCAGATCTCGATACAATGGCCAAACCTGCTCCCTCGTCAATCCTCTTCGACCTTCCCATCCGAGGCGAGAAAGACATTGGTATCGGCGGCAAAGGCCAGATTATCTGCACCGAACCACAACCAAAGGTCTACCTCCTCACTTTCACCAACGCCCCGGACAACCGTCTCGTTACAGCGTTCTGCAAGACGTTACATCTTGCCCTCGATATCATCCAACATCGCTATCCTCCAGGCGTCGTCATGACAACCTCCTCAATCCCAAAATTCTACTCCAATGGCATGGACATCGAGCACGCGACTTTTAGCGGAGGTTACATGCCGGATCGACTTTATGCTTTGTGGAAAAGGTTCTTAACGTATCCCATGCCTACGGTCGCGGTCATTAATGGTCATGCGTTTGCTGGGGGATTGATGTTGGCTATGATGCATGATTATAGGATTATGAATCCTCATAAAGGGTACTTGTGTCTGAATGAGATTGAGTTGGGAGCTCCTTTGAGGCCGCCTATGACTGCTGTGTTTCGGATGAAATTGAACGGGACGGTTTTGAGGAAGATGGTTTTGGAGGCGTATCGGTTTAAGGCTCTTGAGGCTTTGGAGGCGGGGATTGTGGATTCGCTTGGGGGTGTTGAGGAGGGGTTGAAATTGGTGGATGAGTTTATGTTGGTGAAGAAGGCGCAGCCTGGGGCGACGGGGAGGAGTGTTTATGGAGAGTTGAAGAGAGAGATGTGGCGGGAGACGGTGGAGTTGTTGGAACGTGAGAATTGGGGGGATGAACATGGTAGGGAAGCAAAGATCCAGGAGCGGGTTAGGAGGGAGGATGAGGGGAGCTTGAGGAGGGTCGTGGAGTGGGAGAAGGAGAAGGGGAATGCTAAGGGCAAGGCGAAGTTGTGAGGTCGAAGTCAGAGGAGTGTCTCGTGAATAATCATTCCATAATGGAAGGCGAGTAGGCAATTTTTGGATGTCGGGCACATGCCAAGGATCAGATAGGAGCCCGTGGAAAGGCAAAATGCTGCTTATGTCCGTCGTGCCACGACACCACTGCCCGTACAGCTATGCTGTGTCCACGTTCCTTACACGGCAGCTTTTGACCCTTGCCGACGGGCCGAGGCCTCAATCTTTCAAGCTTCCAAACTCCATCATCCCCATGCCCGTCAACTCTCTGCCACCATTCATTCTCCGTGTTTCCATCCACTTGTCGTCGGAGATCAGTTTGAGCAGAATCGTCCCACCGAGTGCGCTGCCTACGATGTGAATTTTTGGGCTCCAAATGAGCCGCCATGGAGTCATTTCGAGATGTATATAATACACCATCCGCTCTGCCAATTAGACATATACTTCCGTTGGACATGGTATGCCTTGCGTCAATCTACATGAGCATGGAGTACCACTGGACCACCTTGGAGCCGAGCCTTCAATCGAGTCAGATTCTCAGCATATCGTTTCTAACTTCCTGTCCGCTCCTCTAGGCTCTAGATGAGATTCAACCGAGTCTCCACCTCCCGCTGCGCGGTCCTCTCTCAATGAAGTGTCACCATGGCGCTCAGCAGACTCCTGTTTGGTAACGGCGGCGACGTACTACTGGCCGTCACTTGGACATGGGCCGGAATCGCCACGACGCTCTATATCTTGAGAGCTTGCTACGCCTCGCGTGAGCATTCAAGAGAGCATTCTGCCGTCTTTGGAGGAATCAGATGGGACTTCTTCTGGGTGACTGTAGCACTCGTAAGTCTTCTACTCTACACGGAGAAACACTGCTTACCTTGATCAGACTGCCGCATTCACAGCTCAAATTGCGATCACGGTTGGCTATTGCCAAGCAGATACTTTCCATCCGGAATCTGGCGACATTATTCCAGGTCTGAGGGCCCTCATTCTGCCTACAGTGTAAGTGTTTGGGTCTGAACGCGGGCGCAGTGACTTACAGTAGCACCATCCCAGAATTTCGGGGTTGACCGCCTTAATAAGCATGATCTTCGGACGATTCGCTGTTATAGCTCTCCTCCTTACCCTGCAGGGGCAGATACATCGGCCATGGAAGATATTGCTGTACGCTATTGGAGCCATTCAAGCACTAATCCTGGCCGCGCACTTGATAATCATGTTGAATCAATGCTCGCCGGTCAGGAAACTCTGGGATATTACAGTGCCTGGAACATGCAATTTGATGTTCTTCAACCGCAAGTTCGGATATATCTCCGGGAGCGTAGGCGCAGCCTCAGACTTCTCACTCGCTATCTATCCAGCAATATTCATCATTCGTCCACTTCTAAAGCTATCTCTGCCGCTCCGAATCGGCGTCTGCTGCATCTTGGGCGGAGGCATTATCGCTGGTATGGCCGGGATCCTCAAAATGGTGTCGCTAGGTGCAGTGTTGGAGCTTTACGGTCATTATGCTAGATACGTAATCTGGGTTTTGTGCGTTGTCTCTACAATCGACATGCCCATGTGCTAACCGTGAACAGGACTGAGACTTGGTTCATCATCATTTTCGGCACCATCCCTACCGTGAAGCCCGTTTTCAAGGCATGTGGCAAAAGCGTCAACCGCATGTGCGGCCGTCCTACGAACAACGTTAGTTCGAGTTTGCCCCGATTAGACAGGATCTATGTCCCGAGCGATCCAGTCACATTAGCCACTTTGGACCCATGTTCTGCCTCGACAACAAGCAAGTCCCGAACGGGTATCAGCGAAGATAAGGTCGTTTGGACCGAGTGCCCACGGCCGCGACAGTTCAAGCCTTGGTCAATGGACTTCGATCTTGAGACTAATCGTGAGGCATATCGCTCAAGATATGGACCAGTCGTGTAGACTTCACTTGCGAGATCCTCATGCACCCCTCCATGATCGGAGCACCACAACACATACACACACTGAACAGATTAAGCTCCAGCGTCTGATCTACGACCTCCAATTGCAGACGGGAGTCGGGGCTGATTGGGTGTGATACTCTTTCAACCTCTCCTCGCCGTGCAATGGCTTATTCTGGATCGATCATCCCAGGCAATGGATTGGTATGCATTGCCCAGCACTATCTGGCGCCGGGGCCATACCCGGAAGCTACTTGTAGTGCGATTAAATGGTAGCAATGATCGATACCACAATCGCGTTGCCCCTCGCGTCTAGTGCCGGAACGCACTGGAGACCGGCAAGCTCCCTGCTTTTGCTAGTATTGAAGCTTATACATTCTCCGCCAAGGCCAGATCTCACCTTGCCGTTGCGTCTAGGCCTGCTCGACGCTGGGGCATGAGACGCGGACTGTGGACCGAGTTTCAACGATTGGTCCTCCCATGCAACAGGCTGGAATCTATAGGCAGGAGACAGGTCTGAACGATCTGGTGCAGTCATGGATACCAACGTGAGCCGGTCTCAGACATAAAGAGGACATGAATGCCAAGAGACGGGTCGCGGGAGAGCAATTTGGGATCATGGCATTCATGGCACGGCACAGTCCTCGCCTGATGTAAGGAGGAGAGTGTAGATCTCGCCACAACGAGGTTATCGAGGGGCGAAGCTTAGAGGGCGAGGCCTTTCTCATGCTCGAGGACAAGGCAAACTTTATGCAACATTCCTTCACAGCCAACATGCAAGTTCTATCGCTCGTGGCTGTGGCTGCATCACTGGCTACAGATTTCGCGTCAGGAGTCGACGCCGCCGCGAAAGGAGAACTGATCGAACGACAATCTAATCTTTGCGGCGTCAAGGGAACACGAATATTGCCGACTATCTTTGGCTCCTCGCAGAAAAGCCTTGAAGTTCTAGCGCAATGCGGCGCTCTTAGCGAGTCGACCAGCTTGTGTAAAAGCTTCGCAGTCGATTCCACTTCCTGCTACTTGTATCCTGCTGCTCTCACGAAAGAGATCAAGCAGGATCCGAGCGAATCATTCACGTATTACGACATATCATGCATAACGGCCATCGACCTATGCTGCGTGACTGCCCAGGTGGGAAACCCAAGCCGGGTATCGCCGTCTTGAAGTCCTCGACCTACTTTAAAGATAATAATAGCTGAACGGGATGCTCTGGTTTGTGCAAGAAGACTGCTGGATGCAAAAGCAACGCTCTCGGAACAGGATCCTGCATCTTGTACCGCCATACGGTCGTGAAGAATCTTCTCGTTTACTAAAAGAGTACTCGAGCTTTCTGAAGTTTCAACTGTGTGCTGTCCTCTGGTGAGTAGTTTCGCTCGCCCAATGTATGGCCTAGCTGACATTCTCTGGCTGTTACAGTCTCCTCCTCCCGCGGGCCCATCGCATGACCATTCGCAGGCAAACGACGGATCTGTCCAGCCTGATGCACCTTCTTTCACCTCGCCTTCTGCGTTCACGGTCTTCGTGACGACTAGCCCGCCTCTTTTACATATGGTACCAACTCAATTTCAACGCGATCTACTGGAGGAACAGGTTTGCTTGATCTACCACAGTAGGATGTGAGTTTGGCCAAGTATAATAGCAGTAGATGTTAGCATTGAGGTCATATCATTGGCAGTGTACAAGATTTGGTACAATGGACAATCGTTGTGTATGGCACACGTTCGACCAGGATTAGATCTTTCGGCAGCACTGAGAATGTAGATGCGCAGAGTAAGACACGATTCATCATTGGATGACGGTAATTCGTCCGCATGCTCACTAGAGCCATGCAATGCTCGACGCCTCATTCCGGGGCCTGCTGGTCGGACGCTTCCTCGGAGGACGTTCATCAGCGCCATTATGAGCAATGCTCCGGCCGTCGCGGCAACGTGGTGGCACTCTTTGTTTTGACTAGTTTCGCCGGACCAGCTTGTGGTCCAGTGAGCTCGGGATTTGTTGAGCTGACGAAAGGCTGGCGATGGACAGTAAGCCATCTTGTCTTGCGATCTCAAGATCCAAGCTCATGACGCTTGGCAGTATACTGTAGTGAAGCCAAGGTGATGATCATGACTCCACCTCAGATCCTGCTTCTGGCAAAGCGTGGTTTCCTGCCACGTGCTCTGCGTCAGATGCTGCCTTCCTCAAACGTCACGTACGGACTTTCCCTTGCGGCATTCCCCCACGTATTGGTAGTTGCTTGCTCGCTCGCTCGCACTCTTCACAATGCAGAGCGTATTCACCTGAGCTTCCCTATCGCGTAGGTATCACGCTCGTCATTTTGCGCCATTCTACGGAATTTGCAGACTCGGGGAGCAGGCAGCAGGCAGCAGGCAGCAGGCAGCAGGCAGCAGGCGATATGAGGCACAGTGAGGACGACGAAGAGTCGCTGACCGATCTCAAGGCAAGGCTGCTGGCAGAAGAATCAAAGAGGAAAGGACAGGACAGGAACAGGACATCGGTGGTTGATGGATCGGCGCCATACGAAGTTACCACGTCACCGCGCGGGGAGGAGAAACAACTTTTGATCAACCAAGTCAACAATCGCTGGCGGAGTGAGAAGGACACCGGCGACCACGACGCAGATTTATATGGTGCAGACGACGAGCGACATCTTGGCTTTTGCGACTTGGACGACGACAAGAGCTGCCCGAACAGCCTCCGCCACCTCTCTGCCTCGCGCCGCTTCCGCAGAATGATCGCATTGCTCATACTGCTGGCTACAGCTTCCTACTATATATGGTCCCGATTCATTCAGCCTCGCTTAGCCGAGGAATGGGCCTATAAGCAAGGCTTTGTCTCTCAAGAAGGTGGCACCTACGGCATCGCGAAAGGCGGTCATGGCGAGAAGGACATGGTTAGGATCCAATATCTTGAGTCGAGCTTGCTACCTGGGGGTGACTGCGATCCAAACGGAGAGAGAAGGCTGGTCTTCATTGGCGATATTCATGGCTGCAAGAAGGAGTTATTAGAGCTTCTCCAAAAGGCCGGCTACAATGAGGAGACAGACCATCTGATACTGGTTGGAGACGTGGTCACCAAAGGACCAGACAATGTCGGCGTGCTGGACGAACTCATTCGCTTGAATGCTACCAGTGTTCGCGGCAACCATGAGGACAGACTGCTTCACGTGGCCAAAAAGCTTCACATGGCAGGAGCTCACGACATAGAGGCCACTGGAAGCAAAGGGAAGGCAAAGGATATTGCACTCGTCAAGCAGCTGCAACCTCACCACCTCCAATACTTACAAGCAATGCCCCTAATGCTGCACATCCCGGCTCTACCTATGGCATCTGGCTCTACGAGGAAATCGAATTCGCCCATTACCGAGCATATGCTGGTCGTGCATGCAGGACTTGTGCCTGGAGTACGCCTCAACAAGCAAGATCCCTACTTTGTGATGAACATGCGATCGATTAATAGACGAACGCACGTCCCATCCGCGTTGCGAGCGCCATCCAAGAACGCAAAGCCCTGGTATGATATTTGGTGCTGGTACAATGATCGCATCTTCAAGAAGCTGTCATTGACCGGCTTTGAGGCACCCGATTCCGACATGCTTGCTCAAACTGAGCCCGATACTTGGTTCACTGGCTTTTGGAAAAACTTTTTCGGACAAAAGAAGAACAGCCTTCACCCACAAGTTGTTATCTACGGCCACGACAGCAAAGCTGGTCTGCAGATCAATCGATGGTCTAAAGGCTTGGACTCCGGGTGCGTTGGAGGTGGTAGGCTCACTGCCATGGTCCTGGATGCTCGAGGCAAGCAACAGCTTTTCCACGTTGGTTGCGAAAATTATCGCAATTGAGACTTTGATTCTATGGATAGAAGAACAGTCTAGACACAAGCAATTGTTGCGTACAAGCGAGGAGTTGGATTACTTTGTTGGCAGGATACCCTTTCGAGCATAAATATAGAGCAGACCTACGTTAGCGGAACTCTGGTTTGCATGTTACAAGCAATGTCTCCCCATCCCCGTTTACTACATCTATCAAAGATTCGCCGAACTCACCAGCAAATTCTCAAGCAGCTTGGTATTCAACATGGCAGGACTCAAGTCCTCAATCTTCCTGGCTCCAAGGAAAGCCATGTTCGTCTCCAATTCCTTTCTCAAAATCTGAATCATCCTTCGAATTCCATAATGACCATACCCAGCAGCCTGGCTGAAAAGAGTTGGCCGACCAATACCTACTGCGTTTGCACCTAGACATAAAGCTTTGAGGACATCCGTGCCTCTTCGAACGCCTCCGTCCACAAAGATTTGCATTCGTCGGCCCATGATGTGAGGAGCGTATTTTCGAATTTCGAGGAGGGTGAGCAATGGAGGTTGTGAGGTATCTTGCGAACGACCACCGTGATTGCCTGAAGCGATGATTAGCGAGCGAGGTACACACACACAAGGCGGTTTTCAGTGGCAATATACGTACTCAGCACAATCCCATCCACTCCATGCTCATACGCAGCAACCGCATCTTCCACACACATGATTCCCTTGACAACAACCGGCAACGTCGTAATCGATCTCAGCCATCGAATAATGTCCCAATCCACATCCCCGTTAATAAAACTATTATACGAAGCCGCGACTCCAGTTCCACCACTCTTCATATTATTCACGACTTCCTCTAAATTCTCTTCCTCTTCCAACTCGTCTACAGATTTCGATCTCTCGTCGCGTTCCCGATTCCCCGTCACGGGAGAATCTACCGTCAACCAGATCGCCTTCACACCACATTTCTCCACTCTTTGCACAAAAGCTTTACTCTTCTCCAAATCTCGATCGAGATACAATTGCCAGAAAACAGGTTGATCTTTCGAGACCCTGGCGTCCATAATCGCTTCGATCGACATACTGCTTACAGTATTCACGACTTGGATGATCCCCTCTTTCCCGTCAGCTTTTGCGATGTTGCATTCTCCGTCCGGGTGCACGAGTTTTCCCAATCCCACTGGAGAGGTGTAGATTGGAAGCGAAGATTTCTGGCCTAAGATTTTTGTGCTGAGATCGCAGGACCCGATCTTGCGGAGGATTCTGCCTCGGAGGAAGACGCGGCTGTATGCTGCTGCGTTTTCGTTCATGGAGATCTCGTTGTCAGCGCCTGAGGATACGTAGGCCCATGCCAGAGGAGTCATGTGTTTTTCTGCGAGTTTTTGGAAGTCGGATAGGTTGATCATGGAACGGAGAGGTGGTCGGGAGGGTTTTGAGATTTCGACATCTTTCTTGGTTGGAGGTTGAGCTTTGGGGATTGTGTTGACATCTATGCTGCCTTTTCGAGATCCGGGATCCAATGTCTTTTCTACGAGTTCCAGGTCGTGAAAGGTTGAGTATGCTTCTGTGGCATCTTGACCTGCTAGCTTTAGGATGAGGCTAGCTCCACCGGGATGTTTTTCGAGGAAGGATGTTACGTCCCATACTGTACCGTTGATCGCTATCCAGCAGGAGTCTTTTGTATTGTTCTTGGCCAGCTCTTCGCCATTTACCGAAGTCATCCTGGCGTCAGGACAGGAGTAAATTCCTGAGCGTATAAAAGATGGTCATGTTCCAGATGGCAAAGACAATCAGCGAGACGCGGATTGGATTGCCACGAGACACCCATGCCTGCAGTTTTTCCGATGGCTTTGGACGTGTGACGCGTCAGCTCAGTCACATGACAAGCACGTGACTTCTTGGCTTGAAGAATTTTCATTGTATTTTATTAGACTATAGAATAGAGCAGAATATAGGCAATCAACGAAGCTAATTCAACCGCCGGCAATACAGTATTACGTAAGTAATCTACTGCGCTATACGTAATAGTTATAAGCCCGGATTTAATTCGCGGTATTAGAGACTTCTATAGTAGGAAAGAATTTTCTATTCTACGAGACCTTTAATAATCGAATCGATAGTCTTAACGGCACTATAAAACAACTATTTAAGTATCTACAATCGCTTTAAAGTTAATATATCCTTAATAATAGCCCTCTTATTAGCTAGCCGCCTTAGTAGCAGCAAGTTTATTATCCTTTATAGACCTAACGAATAGGATCGATAGTTTAAGTAAACTAAGACGTACCTAACTAGATATAAGACCTAGGTCCTTACTAATCTATATTCGACTAAGCCTACTAAACTAGTATAACCTATTCTTCGGGAGTTCGATATAGAACAACTTATAAGCAACCCCCTATATTAGGCTAGGGCAAAGCTTACTAAGGAACACTTTAATATAAGGAAGGCGGAGTTTAAGCGCTTTAGGATAGCTTGTAATAAGACAATTAAATATCTAGCTACAACTATAGACATTCGCTATTACTTAGAGATTACTAATCCTAATATAGACAATGTAGTACTAACTATACGGCTTATTCTAACTCGATTAAAGAATAAGCTAGTACCTAATACTTAGTAGCAAAGGACTGCCCTTAGTAAGGAGCTTTACCGCCTTATAAATTCTAAGCAGGTAAAGGACCCTAAGCACTAGTACGAGGAATAGCTTAACCTTTATAAGACAATGAAACGTATACAACACCCGGAATTTAACAACTTAGTAACCTACCTATGTACTATAGTTACAAATATAGACAAGACCTATAGCAAAGGCCTCTATATAATACACTAGGCAGGGCTAATAGTAAACAACTTCTACTAGTTAATTAGTATAATACGAGACTACGCTCGGAATATAGCTAGTGCCTTAACGACTCGTAAGGGCTCATCCTTTAGTGTAGTCTATAAGCATAAAGATAATACTTCTAATACCGTACTATAGGGGGCTACTAGCGGTGCTATTAAAGACAAAGATAAGGACAAGCGCCGTACGCCTAAATCCTATACTAAACTTACTAGCCTTAGTAAGAAGAAGGCATATAAGAATCGTAGCAAGTGCTTAGTAGTTAACTACCGGCTACGTAATAAGGTAGAAGAGAAGGACAAGGACAACTATTAGCGTAGTAAGCTAAAGTTCTATAAAGGCTATCTTCGCCGCAATAAGGACTTCTGCTTAAGACAAGCTAAATTCTACAAGGATCCTCTAGCTATTAAGATTGCTAAGCAACATTATTATAAGGGCCGCGATAAGGATAATACTAGTACAGGTAATAGTTTAGGCAAGCTATTAGTAGCCTACTTCTATAATCCGTTACCTTAATCGGCTTCTTTAGCTGCTAATCTAACCACCTATATATTAATGATCGTATATAAGGGCAAATAGACCCTACGCGATAGACTAATATATAATAGTAGCTTAAACTGCAATATTATTAATTACCCTAGCCGTTTCAACTTTAAAGCACTCTTCCTTCTACCGAGAGCAACCGTAGCTACTAGAACGACCTACAATCGAGTCCTTACTATTAGAACAGCATTATTTATAGTTAAGAATACTAGCGGAAGTCCCCTAGAAATTGAACTAAAGGAATATCTCTATATCCCTAACTTTTATACTAATATTGCTAGTAGAACACTGTTCTATTATAAGGGGTTTAGACATTAGGAGATGGATAATACCCTATACAACCTATAGGGCAAGCCCCTAGTCAAATTTATTAGGCTAGACAACGATATGCCCTACTTCGATATAGAGAGTAGAGTTAACGACAACCTACTACCTAAATTATAGCTAATCGATAGTGAAGGCCGACTACGAAGTTATCCGTTCTTCTAACTTATATAGCGAGGCAACTTTACTATACGACGCTCTGTACGTCTACTGCTACCGAGGCAATTAACACTTAAGAAGATATATAAAGTGTTTAGACACCTAAGCGCAGAACGTGCTAAAGAGCTAGCTAATAGGGTTGATGGAATAATACGAGATCTTTTATACGATACTAAAGTTCTAAGAACGCCGCTATGTCTAGTATGTACTTAGGCTAAGGGCAAGAAGCTTATTTCTAGAAGGCTACGGAAATACGACGTTTCTATCCTTACTCTATATAGTTATATTGCCGCTAACCTACTAGAACTGGATACGGCCTACAATAGTAATAGGTACCTATTCTATGCCTACGACTTGAATATAGGGCTTTACTTTAGTTAGACTATTAGCAATCGAACTAAATCCACCTTGCTGTAATACTAGAGCTAACTAGCATTATTCGTACGTAGTATTAGTAGAGATATTATCTACCTGTTATCCGATAATAAGGGAGCTATTAGTAGAATGCGCTTTCGGTCCTATTTACGCAATAACTATACTACCTAGAGGCTAATAGCACTATATACTCCTAAACAAGACCTAGCTAAGCGAGTAGGCCGCACTATTGTTGAAGTAGCTAGGGCCCTTATAATACACGTACGCTTTCTATACAAGCTATAGCTAGAAGGAGTTTATATAGTAACCTTCTTAATTAATCGTTTACTAAGGTTACGTTCTACCGACTATGCAATAAGGATACTATTTAAGATTAGAACTAGACATAAGCCTAATGTAGCCTATGTGTATTAGTTTAGCTTACGAGCCTATCTATTGATCTATAGCACGGAGACAGACCTAGTATTATATAAGCGGAAGGACATTCTGCTAAGGACTATAAAAGTTGCCTTACGTACTTATATTAGATACTTATATAGTTATAAAGGTTATTCTATCTACCGGATCTAGGTACTATTACGTATAACAGTCCTAAGAACAAGGGATATTGTCTTTAATAAGACTATGTTCTATAATAGATATAATAATAATCTTAGAGTCAATCTTACTAACTAAGAGCTAACTTAGTTTAGTAATCTTAAAGAACTATAAACAACTGCCTCGGAGCATTAATTTAATAATCTTCGAGAAGTATATAATATACCCTTAGACCTCGTACGGTTTAGAGCTAAGGGGGTAGACATACTATTAGGACTAGGACGACTAATAATTGTCGACTCTATAGGGCTAGCAGATCTAGTCTAAGAATAGGTACTACTAACAATGCCGCTATTAGTTAAACAACTTAGCCTAGTGCCGAAGCAACTGCGACTATTGCCTAATAAACTAATAAGTTAGTAATAGCCTATATAGTAATAGGACTTTCCGATTAATCTACGCGAAGTACTAGAACCGCGTAATAATATGCTAGATAGATTAGTAGAACTAACTATCAATTAGCAACCTTAATAACCTAAGAACGATGCTAGCAATAAAGCCCCTACTAACGATATAGACGTACTAGGTTATACAGATAATATAGACTTTAACTTGCTACGTACTAAGCTAACTAAATTGCTAATACTAATTAAAGCCGCTAATATATCTTATCGTTACTTACTAAACATAGGAGGTCCGTACTATCGAGTTAATAATCCTTATAAACGACAGCGAGTAGCGGCTATTTACCGAGCTAGCCGTTACTATATTAGCGACCGAGACTAAGCGAGAAACCTCCTTCTATTTAGCAATCTCTATATAGCCGCCGAGTATAAAGCGCGCCTCGTATAGCCTACTCGATTTAATAAGTCTAATTCGCCTAACTTACCTTTACTAGAACCTTTACTAGAACTACTACTACTTCCTCGTAATAAAGACGACCCGACCCTTACTCCGAAGGTCTTAGACCTACTAGTAGAGCTACGTAACTAGCGCTAAGTATTAAAGAGTCGGTTTAAAGGGTAATAGATATATACTATAAGAGTTGAGTTTAATAAGGCGCTTAAAATGAGAATATTTAAATAGGTCGATATTAATATACTAGATAAACCTAACCTTCTTCCTCTTACCTAGGTATTTAAACATAAGGGTAATACGAATAGACGGCTAGTGAAGTTCAAAGCAAGAGTTTGTATAAGAGGAGACCTATAGAAGGGCATATACCTAGATACCTATACGTCAACCCTCGTAGTAAGGGTATTTAGAGCCCTAATAGCTATTATTGCAAAGTTTAATCTAGAGGCTAAGCAGATAGATGCAGTAAATGCATTTCTTAACGCTATACTGCCCTATATGCTGTATCTAAGACTACTAGAAGGATTTGTATAAAAAGGTAAGGTACTGCGCCTGCTTTAGGCATTATATAGGCTATAGGAGTCTCTTCGGCTCTAGTATAATCACTTTATAACTACCCTCGAAAACAAGCTTAGTATACAACTAGTAGACAACGTAGACTGCCTATATACCGACCTAGACAAGCATATATTTATCTTCTTCTATATAGATGATATAGTGCTATTATATTACCGTTAACACAAACAGAAGGCAATAGACCTAAAGTAGAAGCTAATAAAGGAATACGAGCTTAATAACCTAGGGAAGCTCTTATAGTTCCTAGGTATTAAAGTGAAGCGAGATCGCTCTGTACGACAGCTCTAGCTATCTTAGAAGACCTATATTAAGAAGATAGCTTAGCGATATAATATCACTAACGTTGGCAGAAGAGCCGAGTTACCGTTACTAACTAGATATAAGCTATACGAGAAGCTAGCCCCTAATAATAAAGATAAGGGCACTATATACCTCGATCCTATAGTAATACTAGCATATTAGAGCCGTATTAGATCGCTTAACTTCGTAGCTATATAGACGAGACTAGACATAGCTAAGGCAGTGTCGTTGTTATTAAAAGCCCTTTAGAACCCTAGGCAGGTTAACATAGCTACAGCGAACTAGTATATTAAGTACCTACTTTAGTTAAAGGAGCTTGCTTTAGAATATAACGACAATAGGCCTACGATTACTAGCTATACAAGCTACTAACTTGACGAGTTCTATAGGGCCTTAGACGCCTCGTATAGTAACTATAAAGGCACTAGGCAATTATTAGAAGGATGGCTGTTTAGTCTGTTTAACGGACTAGTCGACTAGAAGGCAGCACGACAGTTAACTATTACTAAGTCAATAATAGAAGTAGAGCTGCTTATAGCGTTATATATAGGATTAGAGATAATCTAGTAGAAGCGTTTCTTCGCTAATATAGGGCTTACCTTAAATGAGACCCCTATGCTATATTATAACAACACATAGACTATCCGCATTATTAAGGCTAATACTAGCAAATTGGATACGAAGCTCCGCTATATAGATATTTACTAGTGCTAGCTAAGGCAAGAATATAAGGCTAGAAGGATTTAATGTAAATACCTAGCTATATAGGATATACTAGCTAATAGACTTACTAAACTCTATAGACTATTGTAAGAAGGGTTATATCAGTAGGTAGATAGGGTAGTGGTAGGTACGAGTAGTATTCGATAAGGAGCTAGAAGGAGAGGGAGGAAGGCAGGCAAGTTGGCCTACTGCTAAGCGCTAAGCCCTGCCTAAGGCATCGAGACCCTAGCTTTACTCGAGCCCGGTTATATACTAATCACGTGTAACCTCTTTAGTCCTAACATACGCTTCCCTTCTAAAGGCCGCGCCCTCGTAGCCGGTCTTTGTTCTAGCCTTAACCTCTATTGCTGCTAACTCAGCAGGTCTAATAAGCCGCTTAGTCCGCGCTAAATCGAACGCACAACTACCGATTATATAACTATGTTAAACTTCACCTTTAACAATATAATGTACAACTCTAACTACGCTATCTCTATATACAATGAACTATAAAGTGATATATATCTACAAGAATTAAGAGCTATCGACTAATTATAATACGAGCGCGTCTTCCCTACTATAACAGGTAGACGTACGAGGTATTACAGTACTGCCTCCGTTCTAAGTAATGTCGTACGAGTTCTTTGCGTCTACTCTAACAGACCTAGAAATGTCCGCTCCGAGGGTTTGTCCGTTCCGAGGGTTGTTCTTGTTATTACGAGGGCTATTATTTACTGTCGTAGTTTCGCTAGCCTAAATTGGTTAGGTTTGGCAGCCTTAAAGTGTCAACTAATTATATCTTTTTAAAAAACTCAGTTCTTCTAGTTTCTATAGGTAAAGGCCATTATAAGTGTAGTAGTAGAGGTTCGCCTCGCTTAAAGGGTCGGAAAGATCGAGAAGTAACCTATTGTCCGCAAGATCGACCCCGGCTAGCTTAGCTCTATAGTTTTGCCCTTAGTTAGTCTATTAGTCGCTCAATCTTTTAACTTAGTTAAAGTTTTAACTTAGCCTCAAAGTTTTAATCAAACCTTTAATAGGCTTAAGGCTTTAATTAAAGTTTTGATTAAAGGCGCCTTAGGCTCGTAGTATAGGTAAGGTTGTGTCTATAAGCGTAGCGACAATAGCAAGTAATATTAACAATAGCAGCGCTAGTCGTCTTAGCGCTAACTTTACCTTGCTTTCGATTTCCTTCTTCGACTAATAATACACTTAGCAACACCGTTACTAATATAGCTATATCCTTCCTTTCTTAAATAGTAATACACTCTGTAACACCGTTACTAATATAGCCGCGCCGGCCGCGCCGTTACAAGCGCGACGCCGTCCTTACCGACCGCCTAGGCCCCGAGGCCTCGACAGAATAAAGGAGTAAGAGAGGGACCTATAGGGCGCGTTAGTAAAGAGGTAGATTCCTTAGAAGAGCATGCGATTAATTAACGCGTCGTAGCGCGCTTGTTAACACTCGGTACGCGTTCACTATAGTAGTGTAGTCTTATTGTCTCTCGTTACTAACAATTGCTTACAGCTAATTAGTTAGCTAATAGCACCCCGGGGGTAGCATTAATCCTAGGCCTTAATAGTAACATTATAAGCTTTTAGTCTTCTTCTTGTTCTTTACACTAGTCTAATACTTATCTAATAACTCAGTTATGTCTTCAAAAGAGTCTTTAGCTTCCTACGAGTCCTATTTAGGTAAATAGCCTTACTATCTTAGTAGGTACTCCTTCTTGCCTTGCCTAGTACGATGCTGTAGGATACGTTCTACAGACTACAGCTCTTTACTATTAGCTAAGACTTCTTCTAACTTAGTAGGCGCTTCATCGCCTTCGCGCTAGTAGTATAGTTTAAGGAGGGAGATATAGAAGGTGTTATAGATAGTATAATAGGGTAGAAGCTATAACTAGTAGGCCTAGCTATTGCCCTTCGGTTCTCGGATGCGAAATAGGCTAATATATCTTAGTGCGAGCTTAGGCCTTGTTTTGCCGTTAGGTAATAGGTGCTTGCGGATGCGGAGGTTCTTAGTGCTTAGCATAACTATATCGCCTTGTTTAAAGGTTATCGGCGTATAGTGCTTGTCGTAGTAGGTCTTTTAGTACTCTTAAGCCTTTGTCAACTTCTTAGCCATCTCGGCATGGATTTCTCGCATCTTCTAGATACGTTCTATTGCCGCTAGTGTCTCTAGTACTTAACGCGCTTCTCTTTCCTTACGCTCGGCCTTAAGCGAGGTAAATAGATCTTATAGCAACGCGGCGTTTTAACCTATTATAGCTATATATAGTGAAACCTTAGTTAATAAGTATACACTATTGTTATATACGAATTCTGTAGGCTATAGGAGATTGACCCAATCCTTAGGATTCTCGTTAATGTAACTGCGTAGGTACTGCTATAGGGTAGTATTCTGTCTCTCTGTTTAACCGTTAGTCTATAGATAGAAGGCTATTAATAGCCGATGCTTTAGTCTTAGCTATAGGCATATTTCGCTCTAATAGTGCGATATGAATGTCGTGCCCCTATCGGAGACTATCCCCTTAGGGGTTCCCTAATAGGTGCAGAAGATGTCAGTCTATAGCGCCTCTGCTATATTAATAGCAGTCCAATCCTTGCGCGCCGGGATATATCGAGCGCCTTTAGTAAATCGATCTACTATAATAAGGATAGTATTATATACATCCTTGCTGCCCCTACGCTTAGTAGGAGGAAGGCCTATAATAAAGTCTATTATAAGCTTAGCAAATAGTTTCTTTAGAATAGGGAGCGAGGACAACTCGCCGAACGGCAAGTGCTTCGGTGCTTTAACTCGCTAGTATACTGTATAGGTCTGTATATACTCCTTTATATACCGCTTACTATTTAGCTAGTAGTATATGCGCGATAGTAACTCGTGCGACCTCTCTGTACTATAGTAACTAGCGAGCTTACTATTATAGTGCCTCTTTAAAAGCTCTTATCGGATCGATTGTTTAGCGGGGATATAGTATCTACCCTTAAACTTTAAGTAACCTTTGTCGTCGATCGACTAGTTGTTACTCTTACTAGATCGAGTCGCCCGTCTACTTATAAGCTTATTAATGCACTCGACAGCAAAGGCGTCCCTCTACTAAGCACGTAATAGCTTATCTATAAACGATTAACTATCTCTATTTGCAAGGTCGTTTAATAGCACCCGTGCTATCGAACGAGGCACGTATTATATACATCTAATAGCACTAGCAGCCGGAACTACTACAACCTCTTCTATAGTGCTATCGCTATATAGGCTATTACTATAGATAGCAATATCTTTAATCGAGTTATTATAGCTCGAGCGATCTACGTCCTTTCTTTTAACGTGTACTAGAAGAACGACAACTCCGCTATAGTATTTGTTGTCGCCGCGGGGTCTAGAAGTCCGCTTATCCTACGCTTGCTTATTAACAACACGGACTATAGCAATCTTATACTATAGGGTTAGAAACAAAGAATTAATGTATTAGGTCTCGCTGTCGTAATTAGGTCGCCTCGATAGGCTATCGGTAGGGTTACTTACGCCTAGCCGGTATAATACATTAAAATCAAACCTAGCGAGGTAGACGGCCTATCTAGCCTGTCGACCTATAACCCTAGTAACCTTAGTAATGCTACGGAGGTTGTTATAGTCTATATAGACCTAAATAGTGTGCTGTACACTATCGAGATAGTGCCTCTAATACTTAAAGGCCTCGACAATAGCTAGGAGCTCTTACTCGTAGGTCTCGTAGCGACGCTCTATATCGATCATCTTTCGTAAAAAGAAGGCAATCGGGTGCTAGTAATGGTCCTTATCTGATTGCTATAACATAATAGCCGATACAGCGAACTGTAAAGCGTTAGTCTTAATACGGATCTGCTTGCTTAGTACAAAATAGTACAGCAAGGGGACATTAGTAAAGCGTTGCTTTAGGCCGTTAAAAGCGGCTTGTGCCCTATTAGTCTATTTGAACTCCCTAGTTAGGTTGGCCTTGGTTTTAGTAAGCTTAGTTAGGGGCATTATATGCCGTAAATAGCCCTTAATAAAGCGGCGGTAGAAATTGGCGAAGCCGAGGAACGATTAAAGTTCCTTAATAGACGTAGGAATAGGCTATTTAGTAATAGTTTTAATCCGATTAGGATTAGCCTTAACACCCTTAGTTGAAATAAGGAAGCTAAGGAATAACACCTCTTTAGTAGCGAAGGTGCATTTAGAAGGTTTGTAATATAGTCTATAGGCTCGTAGGCGGTCGAGGACCTTACGTACTACGGCCTAGTATTCTACAATATTAGGTAAATGTGTATAAACTAGGATGTTATCTAGGTAAACTATATAGAGATAGTCTAATAGGCCCGAAAGGGCCCGATTAATATAGGACTAGAATATAGCAGGGGCATTAGCTAGCCTAAATAGTATAACTAAGTACTCGAAATAGCTATAACGAGTGCGAAAGGCTGTCTTCTATTCGTCGCCCTTGCGAATACAGATGCGGTAATAGGCGTCCTTAATATCTAATATAGTATAGTAGTAGGTACTAGAAAGGCGATCGAGAGTCTTATTAATAAGCGGAAGTAGACAGCGGTCTTTAATAGTAACAGCATTAAGTCTACGGTAATTAACGTATAACCGTAGGCTACTATCCTTCTTTAGAACAAACAGGATTAGTGCACTAGCAGGGCTGTTACTATACCGAATGCGACTATTAGCTAGGTTTTCCTCTAGGTACTTACGTAGCACAGTAAGCTCTCGCTTACTAAGGTTATAGAGGGGGCTAAAAGGAACCTCCTTGCCCTCTATAATGTTAATCTTATAGTCTGTCTCTTTGAACATAGGCAATGTCGATGCTAAGTGGTGTTTGAATACATTAATATAGGTCTCTCGAATAGGTTCTAGTATGCGCCTAAGTTGTTTAGGATCTATACTATTAGGGGGCACTAGTTCATCGTTATTACTACCGAGCAGGTCGGCAGTCGGATCAGCTAAGGCAGGTGTTAGGTTGCTAATAAACAGGACCCTAATATCATTAGGACACTCGCTAACATTAATGTATTTAATGTCCTCTTTCTTAGCGATTCCAAATCGCTACTTCTAGAGGCCTAGGTCTATAGCCACAGCGTAGTACTTAAGAACAGGGTTACTAATAACAATATCGGATAGGAGGCTGTCTATATCTACTACGTAGGCAGTGAAGTCTAACAAGCGCTTATTTCCGAGGTCGTCCTTTAGAGCTATAGGAATATAGTAGGCCCTATAGGTCAAGTGCCGAGCGTTATTAAACCAAGCAAGGGTTAGCAGGTTAGTCTTCGGCAGTTGTCGAAGGTCTAATTACTTAGCTAGGCGATGGCTAATAAGGGCACTAACTGAATTTCCTAGATCTAGTATAACCTTAGTCTAATAGGTAGTACCCTTCGTATCCTATATAAGGCAGGAGCGTATTATAGCTAGTATAATATCGATGGTCTTACGCCGCATAAGGCTAATAGTTAGTGCGGCGCTTACTCTTTTTTCGAAGGTTAGCCTATAGGGGTAGCGTTAGCTACTAAGAGGTGCTTTCGGTATTTAGCGGAAGCACGATTAATTCGGGCCTAGTCCTTAGGTTTGTCGCATTGGCCTAGTAGATAGCTAGTGCTATCACAATTAAAGCACTTCAATCCGGCTAATAGACTACCGTAGCTATTGTTATTAGTTAAGCGGTTAGTACTATAGGGATACGAGCCCCTTCTACGGCCTCTATCGCGGCCTCCTCTATATAGCCGCCGGCTACGGCCTCTTCTACGGTCGTTGTTACTGTTCCTACTATTAGCATTGTTGTCCTAGTAGGAACCTTAGTTTCCTCCGCGGCCACGGTTGCTACGGTTAGTACTAGTTAGTCGGATCCTTAATTCTAGTCGTTATTAGAGCTAAACAGCTCGTTCGGCTGTTTCTACTTCGACTATAAATTGAATGCGTATTAGATTAGCTTGTTCGAACATACGGCGACGGTCCAATTCGAGGATAAGCTCCTATCTAAGTTTTAGGCGTATCTCGGAGATCTATATAGAATTAGTCTTAGGCGGAAGGTCGTCTTTAAGAGTTTTTAAATAGGCTTCAAATAAGCGAGCCGATTAATTAGTCTTTTATTTAGCTCGAAGATACAGGTCCTAAGTATATTGTTGCCTTAGTATAGGGTTTCTAAGGGTATCTAGTATAATAGTTTTGTAGGTCTGCTACTAAATAGCGGTCTAGTCGTCGAGGGAGTCGAAATAGTTATCCTATATACGCTTTAGGTCGCTATTAATATACTACATAGCGTGTACGACTAAGGAATAGTCGTCTAGTAGCGCTCTTAGTATATTGCGCTAGTTAAGTTTACAGTTACGAATGTAGTCGTTGTACTGCTTTCGACTAGAGCCGTTAAATATAGTACAGTCCTTAAGTTTAGCATCCTTCTTTTAGATAGGTAGTAAAGAAGGTCCTACTGCTAGCTTAGCAGTAGTTGTTAGAGATTCCTAGAGGCGGCGAATCTCGAGAAGGTTATCCTTTAGCTGTTATTCTTAACGCAAGGCAGTAAGCCTGTTTTAGGTAGCTTCTTAAAGCCTCGCTACTAGCTAGGGGCTAAAGGCCGGTTAGCTATATCGACGGTTAACAATATTGTTAAGAATGTCGTCGATAGGCAATTCTAGGTCGTTACCTAGAATTACAGGTTCTTCTTTAGCAGGTCCTATAGCAGGCTCTTCGGTAGGAGGCACTCTAGTAGGTGCTTTAGTAGGCCCTTTAGTAGGTACTGTGCTACTAGCGTTGTCGTTGCTAGCGCTGCTAGCGGTAGTACGGTTGTTGTTGCTTCGTAATAAGCCGGCTATTATAGTAGGGGGTAACACTAATAATGTATTATTAGCCCCTAAGATGCGGGTATAGCGGAATTAGTAGATATTAGTCTAGTACGATTGACTTAGTATAGTAGGCCGTATAGAAGGCCTTGCTTAATAATTAGTACGGTTGTTTCGATAGAATAGTACGTATAGGTCCCGTTCTTCGGGCGCAATATAGTTAGATTAGTCTTGTTCGTAGCTATACCGCTAAAAGCTTGAAATAAGGACTATCTAGCTACTACCCTTAAAGGGTAAATCGAATACTGTATAAGAAGGGTTATATTAGCAGGTAGATAGGGTAGTAGTAGGTACGAGTAGTATTCGATAAGGAGCTAGAAGGAGAGGGAGGAAGGCAGGCAAGTTGGCCTACTACTAAGCGCTAAGCCCTACCTAAGGCATCGAGACCCTAGCTTTACTCGAGCCCGGTTACATACCAATTACATATAACCTCTTTAGTCCTAACAACTATAGAACTAATAGAGGTTTATATAGCAACTTAGGCTATTAAGGCCACTAACTAATAGGCCGTAAAGTAAAGTAGGACTAACGTCTAAGGATATATAAGGAAGCAACTCTTCCTCTAATAACCTCTTCCTCTTTAGTAATACGAAGACAACTCTATATAATAGGTAGTAGTAGCCCCCCCCCTATTCGCTACTAATTGTAACTAAGTCGATTAAGTATACCTTTATCGATTAGCGCTAGCAAAAGTGTCTAATACGATAGCGACGACTAATTAGGGTAGCGGATCTAACCTTACTTCCTAATACATTATTGTCGCCTATCTTATTACTTCGAACGTTACTTCTACTAACTAATAACAAGTCTGCGGCGATTGTATTAGTGCTAGTAATAATAGTGCAGTAGTCTTAGCTAAGGGTAGCGTCCTTAGTTAAGTTACCTATCCTAATTTATTAAATCTGTTTAACTAATATATATCTTACCTAATCCTTTATCTAATTAAATAGACGCTACCTATGTAATTGATATAATAACCGATAGTAATAATGTAACGGGCTTAGTTTAGCTAAACTAACTTTACTAACGATACGAGTTCTTATATAAGGCTTAATAGTGTCGGTCCGTACTTAGACTACGTAGGAAGATAATAGTTCCTAGTAATAGGGACCGTATATAAAGGTGCATACGCAGTCCGGATTATGTAACGATATCCTTCTAGGGTAATCGGGGTATGAAATAAGACTCTCTTATATATAGTATAGATTTAAACCATTTTTTTAGTGTTTTAATAAAGCACTATATAAGGAGTTAAAAAGATTAATTTTTCTTTTGTTTATATATAAAGAAGTATTAACTACCTTACCTAAAATAGAAGGTAACCTCTTTTATATAAGCTAAGGGGGTGTATAACGCGTTAGCTTAGTTATATAATAAGCACGTAACTTCTTAGCTTAAAGAATTTTCATTGTATTTTATTAGACTATAGAATAGAGCAGAATATAGGCAATTAACGAAGCCAATTCTACCGCCGGTAATGTAGTATTACGTAAGTAATCCACTGCGCTGTGCGTGATAGGACGTCCACGGGTGTCTGCGGGTTTTGCTTGAAGTATAGACTTCGCTTGGCGGGTTGGGGGTGGAATTTGGGGGGGTTTTTCGGCTCCGCTCTTTCCTTGGAGTATCGGCAACTGAAGGGCATAGTAGCAGAGGTTACTCTTTCAGTAAGAAGGCATGCGAGTGAATGATTAAGTCGCACCGCACCATAGTCGGAGCACAAATCTTGAGGTAGTCAACAGGATCAGACCAAAGTGAACGCGAAGTCACAGTTCTCAGTGAGAGAGCAGCGGTTTGGGAAAGAACGATTTTCAACACATCATCTGTCGACAACAATTGCAATGGCGTCCGGCGACAAGAAGATCAAAGTCTTGTTATTTGGTCTTGGAGCGTGAGTAAGAATATGCATCCGATTTTGCGCATTGCTGAACATACACTAGAATCGGTGGCTTCTACGCTTTCGTGCTTGGCAAGAATGACAATGTCTCGCTCTCTGTGGTCGCTAGGTCGAACTACGATGCTATCAAGCGAGATGGCCTAACCATTGAAAGCGACAACCACGGCAAACACAAGGCCAGCATTGATCACGGTGAGCATATTCACTACCTCTCCGTACTACCATGCTAACATGCCCAAGTCTTTAAATCCCCCTCTGATGCGGATTTCAAATTCGACTACATTGTTTGTGCTCATAAAGCTATCAAACCAGCATCATTCCCACCTCTATTCAAATCAGTCGCCGATCAAAAAACGACATTCGTAATTATACAGAATGGAGTCGGTAATGAGGAACCTTTCCGAGAAGTCTTCCCTTCTTCCACGATTATTTCCTGCGTTTGCTGGACTGGAGCCACTCAACATAAATCAGGTATTATCACACATTCCACGAACGAACGACTCGAGATGGGACTGTATCCAAATCCAACGATAGATTCTGCTCTAGAGCAAAAACGATTGGACGGCTTCGCAAGCCTCCTCAAAGCCGGGAACAGCCCTTTCTCAATCGAGGAGAATATTCAGATTAAGCGTTGGGAGAAGGTTGTGTGGAACGTGGCTTGGAATCCCCTCACAACACTCACTGGTCTTCAAGTTCAGAAGTGGCTCAAGACTTCGCCGGAAGCCATGACCTTCACTCGGAATCTCATGGAGGATGTGATCAAGGTTGCAAGGAGGCTAGATGTACCTCTCAAAGATGGTCTTGCAGAAGATCTCATCAACAGAGTTCTACCTATGCCGCTGATATTCAGCAGTATGTATGTGGACGCCAAGGAAGGAAGGCCGTTGGAGATTGATGTGATTGTCGGATTCCCGATGAAGAAGGCGAAGGAGTTTGGGATGGATGTTCCGGCGCTGACAGCAGTCTATGCTTTGACGAGCGCTGTGAACGCGAGGTTAGAAGAGGCGCAGGCGCAGGCGAGCAGGTAAACATTCGCCTCGAGAGTGCTTCTGCAAGTGCAGGAGGGAGGCTGATAGACGTTCCAGTAACCGGCTCACATTGAAGCTCTAGATGTTATGATGAGAGATGTACGTAGCTACCTCGAATAGCGAATAGCGCTTATATCAGAGACGAAGGCGTGGTCTGCTCCCAGTGCTCGACCGTCGATGATGTTGATGCTGAAATAGATGAAAATGGAGAGTCATGGAAGAGGTGGCGTTCTGTGCACGTGACGTCCCAAGCCTCGTCCCTTAGTCAGCGAGGGCGCAATCGGATTGAGGCATCTGCATCTGCACCTCCGTTCTCCGTTCTGTTCTGTTCCTTCATCACCACCAGTGCCTTGCGCACTTTTCTTCCGCCTGTGTTATTATCGTCTTGCAAAACGTCTGCGCCTGTTTCGGAATTCGGACCGGCGACTGCGACTTGGACTGGCACCGGCACTTTTTCAACAGGCAGGCGGCGCACTGCCGCGGGACACATAATCACCATGGCATTTCAAGCGGCTCCTGAGATGTTGCCAGTAATGGTCGAAGCGATGCGAGTGTCACTCAGAAGTATTGGATCGGCGGCGGCGGCGGCGGCGAGGACGGAAAAGAAGGCAGTGAGCAAGTCAGAAACACATACCGACGCCGAGGCGAAACAGGTGCCAGTGAGGCAGAGGCAGCGGGCAGAGATGCCAGAATACATGTCGACCGCACCACTTGGAGCTCTTCGACATCAGATGCCCTCTGCGTCAGCGCTTCAGCCCTCATTCTCCACCGCATCTATACTTTCCGCCATGCCTCGAGGCACGCTCCGCTATGCGTCACCACTCACTCGCACTTTCTCATCGCTGACTCCTCTAGCCCGATCATTCTCGACTACCACCCGCTTCGGACCTCTCACTCTGCGCGCACCATCGAAGACTACTTTCGTGGGCTTCTCTCAGCAACGCACTCTCTTTGGCAGCTCGTGGGCATCCAACATGAATCGCAACCTTCTCGCACATCTGGAACAGACTGCCAACAACAATCCTGGCAGTGCAACGGCCCAGAATGCCTTCTATCAAGCTTTGCTTCGCGCCAACATGCCCGAGATTGTTGTCGAGCGCTATCAGACCGGACGCTACGCTACGAACCCTGCAATCGACCAGACCTACACCAAGGCTTTGGAAAGAGTTGGTGCTGCTGAGCTTGGCGGGAGCGGACTTGGTGCAATGATGGGACGTACACCTGCTGGTAACTCGCACAATCTGAGCAACGAGCAACTGCAAGCTATCGGCCAAGCAGCGTCTATGAAGGCGACTGGAGGCAATGTGAGCATTTCGAAGCAAGGTTCTGGCTCAAAGAGCGAGCCCTTGTACGTGGTCGTGGACGAGAGTACCAGCTCCACTATTTTCAAGTGGGTCAAGTTCTTCTTCGTCTTTGGCTTGGTTGCCTACTGCGCTCTGGTCGTCTTCACTCTCTTGATTGAGGCCACCGGCATGCTTAAGCGGGCTAGCGCTGCACAAATTGCCGAAGCGAAGCCTGAGCTACAGACTACCAAGTTCACCGATGTCCACGGCTGTGACGAGGCTAAGGAGGAACTGCAAGAGCTGGTTGAATTCTTAAAGGCGCCACAACGGTTTAGTACACTAGGCGGCAAGCTTCCCAAGGGTGTGCTCTTGGTAGGTCCTCCTGGTACGGGAAAGACACTTCTCGCTCGTGCTGTGGCTGGTGAAGCGGGAGTGCCATTCTTCTACATGTCCGGCTCTGAATTCGACGAAGTTTATGTTGGAGTCGGTTCCAGGCGCGTCCGTGAGCTGTTCGCTGCTGCTCGCGCCAAGAGCCCTGCCATTGTCTTCATCGACGAGCTTGACGCTATTGGTGGCAAGCGCCACGAACGTGATGTAGCATATGCCAAGCAGACACTGAATCAGCTTCTTACAGAACTCGACGGCTTCGACCAAACCTCCTGTGTTATCGTCATTGGAGCAACCAACTTCCCGCAGTCTCTGGACAAAGCTCTTACTCGACCTGGACGTTTCGATCGTAATATTCAAGTGCCGCTTCCCGATGTTCGCGGACGTATCGCCATCCTGAAACATCATATGCGAAACATGAAGATTGATGCCTCTGTGGACCTTGCTGTTCTGGCCCGTGGCTGCCCTGGCCTCTCTGGAGCCGAGTTGGAGAATGTAGTCAATCAGGCTGCAATACGTGCCAGCAAGAATATGCAGCAGAAGATTACCATCAAAGACCTGGAGTGGGCAAAGGACAAGATTCTAATGGGAGCTGAGCTGAAGTCGTTTGTTATCCAGGAGAAGGATAAGCTCATGACTGCTTACCATGAAGGCGGTCATGCTCTCGTCTGCATGCTGACCGAAGGTGCCATGCCCCTATACAAAGCAACGATCATGCCGCGTGGCCATACTCTTGGTACTACAACGATGTTGCCCGAACTCGACGAGATCAGCCAAAGCAAGAAGCAGCTACTAGCATCAATCGATATTTCGATGGGTGGCAAGGTTGCCGAAGAGCTCGTTTACGGCCCGAACAATGTTACAACTGGTGCATCGAATGATATCTCGAATGCAACACGCGTCGCATATCACATGGTTACCCAAGCTGGTATGAGCGACTTGCTTGGCAATATCGATCTCGCCGACAACTACGCAGAACTCTCCACCAAGACCAAGGAGCAAATTGAAGACGAGGTGCGGCGCATTGTCGAAGAAGGCCGTCAGCGTGCTGTTAAGCTTCTGACTACTAACAGAGAAGCTCTCGATCGCTTGGCAAAGGCGCTCGTTGAATACGAGACCTTGACCAGAGAAGAGATGGAAATGGTTGTGCGAGGCGAGAAGCTGCCTGACAAGATCATCAGTGCTGATGTTTCGGCACCGGTCAAGGCACCTGCAGCAGCAGAGCCTAAGGCCAATGTGATGCCGTCGCCTGTCGGTGGCAGTACTGGTTCATTTGGCGCACCTCCTGGCCCGGCCGGCGATGCTGGTGTGGCGGGTCGACCATGAGCTTAATGTCATATCATAAGCATCGACCATAGAACAAATTTCCAGCCTACTCGCGCTGTTATCTGCGCGGAAGGCAGGCTGAGATTGAGATCGAGCGATACTCTCGCTCATAGCATAGATGGAGTCCGGAGCACAGACGCGATGATGGACGAGGATCAGAATTGGACTCCCAATATCCGGACCATCGGATGTGAATAGTGATTCCATAAAGCGAGCGAGCATTTGTGTATGTATCTACGAGTACTCTTTCGTTTGTATAGCTTATTGCTATTAAATGCAGAAGGAATGAAGCAAAAGGCTTCACTCTTGAGTGTGTTCGCTTTCCATTTACGCCACCCTTGCTACGGAGGCTCTAAGTACATAAGCTGCATGATTGTACACGCACGCATCAAAGCTTCTTGCTACCAGTCTGCATGCACCAGAAACAAGGCTCTATCTCTAGGCGTCATGGTTGTGTAGACAAAATCTAACAGTGAACGATAATTGTACTCCAATCAGAACAACTTTTTCCACTACTCCGATATCTGACTACATGTATATTGATTCACCCCAAAATTTCACTCTCGACGAGGCTTTCCCAAACCGATGATGTCTCCCGCGCACCAGAGATCAGTAGATTGGACAATCATCTGGCCATTCCGGTGACTCAGGCTCAGGGTGTCGGAACGTATGGTTTAGGGTACGCTGTGGTCGGGTAGGAAGGAACATACTTTTTTGTTGAAGTTGGGTTGTATCCAGGATGCGAAGGCGAAGGCGAAGGCGAAGGCAATCTTGGCCATCGCACCGGGGGTCGAGGTGCGTCAATAGCAGTCCATTGCTGGTTCTTTACAATGATCTTCTTCGGTTGGCGTTGGGATTGACGGATAGGTGGTGTGGTGAGGATGGTAAGCTGCAGGAGTGGTGTACTTTGTTGTACTGTGCGGATAAGTGGCCGCTGCCGAGGTGTACTTTGGTGTGCTGTGTTGGTATGTGGCTGATGGTGAGGTGTACTTTGGAGTAACCTGTGGGTAGGATGGTGATGAAGTGTGCTGGTAGCGATAGCTGTGCGATGGCTTAGAGCTGCTATACTTTGGAGTTTGGCGTGCATAGCTGGATGTCGAGGGTCCAGTCGTAGCGTATGTTGGAGTGGTAATGTATGTTGGAGTCGTAACGTAGGTTGGAGTCGTAACGTAGGTTGGAGTCGTATTGTAGGTTGGAGTCGTAACGTAGGCTGGAGTCGTAACGTAGATTGGAGTCGTAGCGTATGTTGGATGAGAATGGAAGCCACACCACGGATCATTCGGCCGGCATGCAGGCATTTCCTCATCATCGGGCGAATCGCGAGGAGCGTGCGATGGTTCTGGAGCTAGTGACGATGTCGTCTTTGGTGAAATGTATGGTTGAGTAAAGTCCGATCCGTAAGAAATGCCTGTAGATGGAGACACCGACGAAGATGTGTTTCTCGGAACATGATGTGGCCGAGGAAATGGTGTGCAAAACTCATCTTCGGCATAGTAATGGTAGCAAGCCGGTGCTGGCTTGGGTCCAGGCTCAGTGGGAGTGCCATATGAATGATCTGTGTGAGTCGGCCGGGGAATTTGAGATGCCAGGTAAGACCAGAACGACAAGATTAGCTCAACTGGTTTTGGGGTATGAGTTGGCTGCGAATACGCTGCATAAGTACTGTGAGCGTACGAGCTGGAAGTTGGACCATAATTTGGCGTGTTGTGTGGATGAGCCGTAGTCGTGGGCATGGCCGACGACAGCACTGCCAGGCTGGCAACGCTGACGGTGAGTGTTGATCGCATGGCTGCTTCGGTCGGTATTTTGCTTACCACAAGTTGCGAAGGCGGGAGTTGAAAGTGAGAAAGATGAATCAAGGGTGGCAGACCTCATTAATGTAGTGTGAGCCTGCAAGTCTTTGGTACGCGTACGTGTGCAGACCCACAGCCTTGCTCCATAAGGCTACCGCTCAATGTCCACAAGCTTTATCAAGCAAAGCTCCAGTGGAGTAATTTCTTGCTTCAATAGTTACTCGAAAGTATTGCCTCGCAGTCTCGAACTTGTTCTGGTATTGTTGCGCTTTGTATATCAACCAGATGCGTTACCTCGTGTGAGTATTGCTACCGATGCGGACTGCGTCTTGTGGAGACACATCATAATTCTCAGCCAACCCAGTTCAGGGCCTTGAAGCCGTCCTAAGATGGAGCTGCTAGCTGCCAATGCGCGCGATACTCATCACGGCCAAAGATTTCTCAATTCTCATGGCGCCCCTTTGTACGCAGCTTGACTCTTCTCCTTGGAGATGATCAGTCTCGCCTGCGAATGCGCTGAGGCCCTCTCATAGTGATGGCGAAGATGGTGTATGCTCTCAGCTCCTCGAGATTGACTGTGCACGCTCAACTGCAACGTGACTTGCGTCTTAAACCCCGTTCCATGGAGTGAGAGTGCGTGCAGAGCTTGCATGCGCCGGAAACTTTCTCTCGCGCCTGAAGTCAACGAGTTCAGCTGCAAAGGAGTTACTTTCGCTCTCAAATCAAGATAATGTCTTCAGCCAGTGCCCAATTATCACGCAGAAAGTCTCCACTCATCACTGCTGCCGAGGCCACGTAGCATTCGCAAAGCAGGGCGAAAGCGTTAGACTTTTCCGTCACTTTTGGGGCTGCGCGAAGAACCACCGGAACGTCACCACCCATGATAATTGCAATACAGTCCCCTTCTCGAACACCTGGTGTAGCATAGCCAGTATAGGCCTTCCCGGTAGTGAAAAAATGCCTGCCATAGCGAAGCTCGGGTGAGTCCGATGCATCTCCATCCTCATCAAACGAGCCAACGAGTACCTGGCTGGTGTTCGGTGTGGGCAGAGGTGTGACTTCGTGAACAAGCGTAATTGAATCCAAAACCAAGGCGGTCACTTTCAACTGGCCTCTACTGCCTTCCCGGATTTGGAAGGTCTCCCTCTGATTACCGCCTGCGCGATATTCGCTCCGAATGCCCATGCTCCATTCATCTTTCGACGATCGACTTCCGAAATTGGGTATAGGCTGGCACCACACTGGAGCAAGATGCCAGCTGTACGTCCAATCTGGAATCCAAGAAGCGTTTAGTCCAATTTCTCGGTGCTGATGAAGTTTCCCAGCACTGTACAATATGCTCATGAGTTGGAACGTCTTCTGCTCTTCGCTCAGAGCATGGATCGACGTATATGAGTCATAATCTAAAATATTCGTGATGTACAGGTGGATGATATCGACGAACAGCGGTGCAGGGGGATCGAAGTAGTTTGGCTTGGTGCTCAGGTAGGTGAGAGCGTAGAAGGCATAGACCTTGTCGCGAACGTCTGTCGCATTACTACTTTTGCTGAGAATGAGCAGCTGGGATATATCCGTATGGTCTCGGGACTTCTTCTGACTTGCTATCATCTGCGCTATGATAGCGATACGCTGTCGCGTGTTGCCAAGAAGAGACACTTGTTTGTCGAAGCCGGAGGACATGGCTGGAATGGTGACATCTCGTACAAGCTTGATTAGATGGTCCCTAGTGCGATCAGCATTCATTTTTGGTATCTCAATGTAAGCCTGAAATGTGAACGAAGTGCTCGACGGAAAAGGAAGCAGATATGTTCTGCGATGATAGCCACGAAACGGGCTGTCGCTGCAGCTTCTGTCATAGATCCGTCGAATGAGATGACCGAAGGCGAAGCCGTGAGCGGTACATGCTGGGCAAGAACAAGAATCTCACACTCACCAGCTGATACGTGCACGCGCACCTGTTGCAGTGGTCCAAGCGACAGTGGTTTGTTTCGAAAGCACTACTTCAGGGATAACCCAAACTCTCGAGAACCAAGGTCGCTCCAGCACGCTTTGTATGGCTTCCTTGAGCTTGGTCTTGTTCAGAGGTCGTTTGCTGGCATTGGCCTCGCCTCGTCGAAGTGTCTTCGCAAAATCGCAAAGCATTCTGCTGCGATAGTCTGCCTCGCCGAGCCACACATGCACCTTGCGCGCCTGGTTGAAGATGTGTTTCATGATGGAGACCTGGTGAGCGCGTTCGTTATCATCGGCCTGGTTGATACATATTTGATCGATCTGAAAGTGGAGAGAGAAAAGGCGTCAGTACTGCGCAAAGTATTCCATCAGCAAGCATACCCATATCAGAAGCGTGGCTCTCGGCTTCCGTAGATTCTGCAAGGCGCACAAGAGATTCTTGGTGACGGGAAAGGCGAAGCCATCCACCAGGATCATTTCGTCTCTGATGTTGGACTCCCAGGCATAACTCAAGCAATCATATGCCCTCTCGGGATGTTTGGAATTCTCCCAAAGCATTCTGCACTCGATGGGTTCGAGGCCGGTGCCAGCGTGCACCTGAACAAGACGAAATGCTTCGCCATCGGCCACGGTGCCATATTCGAAGATGTGTCTGGCAGCAAAGAAAGAGTCGCTGTCCCTTTGCCGTCTTCGCCTTCTCTGTACGCTAGGGTCCGGAGTGCTGGCAAAGGCGCGGTCGTCGTGGTACTCGTGGTCGGAATATCCCGTAGGCTCCAGAGCGAGAGACTGAAAGGCGAATGCAAATCGTGGATCAGAAACGAAGCATTCAGACTCTGAATCGTATTCCAGGTCGTCCGACAAGCGCGGCGATACGCTGACGACCATGGCATTGGAGATACATACAGGACCGCACCTGCACTGCCCGGCCCCAAGTCATCAGTCAGGCAAAGAGTACCGCAGCTTGTCTTTTCGAGCCTCAGTCGGCTCGGCTCGGCTCGGCTCGGCCCGGCCCCTTCCATCGATGCCGGCTCAACCATCCTTGCTCGGTAGAGCGCAGGCCGACAGACAAGCTTTGCTGAGCTTCCGGAACTTCCCTCCCCTCCCCCGGCCCCTTCCCTCGTGTGCAGCTTCTCGAGATTTTTCGCATGTGGCGAGAATGCCATTCCATTGCAGCTTCCTGTTCCTCAGTAGCGCCACATACGCACGCTGTCCGGTAATCGAATCGAGTCATGGTGACAGCTTCTTGTCATGTCCACGGAGCAGAGTTCACCTTCCTGCCCCGCCCCGCCCCGCCGCCTATCGCGTCGAGACTAGGGCCTGGTGGTAGGCTGGTAGCATGGATGACGTGCATCCTAACAAACATTTGGCAGTTGTCCGTCCAGGCAGGCACGGCGGAGATAGCATTGATGCCGAGTGGAACATTATTAGAAATGCTTCCACCTTGCTGTCTCTTCTCTCCTTCCTGATCTTCTCTCCCTCTGCCTCTGCCTCTGCCTCTGCCTCTGCCTACCTTCTGCACATTGACCGCCATACCCCCACTCTCAGCAACACTTCAGAAACACCGCCATCATGTCTGCAGTCGAGAGCAAGTTCGACCCCAAGGACATGGTATGACCTCCCCCTGCGTGCGGTCACACCAATACTAGCCGAGCCGCAAGCCGTCGAGGTCAGCTCGCAGCTAACATTCTTGCAGGAGTTCCGCCACCTTGGCCCTACAGGTCTCAAGGTGTCAGTCCTGTCTCTTGGAGGATGGCTCACATACGGTGGCACCCAGAAGGGTAACGTGGTCAAGGACTGCATGGAAGCCGCTTGGGTATGCCACTCGCTCATCCATAGAGAGTCGCATCAGCACTGACAAAATGCGCAGAATGCTGGAATCAACTTCTTCGATACCGCCGAGATCTACTCAAATGGACAGTGTGAAATCGAAATGGGACAGGCACTCAAAGAGCTTGCATGGCCGCGAGATGAGTACGTGCTCAGCACCAAAGTCTTCTTCGGCACTGGACGCAAAGAGCCAAACACCCGCGGCCTCTCAAGGAAGCACGTCGTTGAGGGTCTCAAGAGCTCGCTCGCACGTCTTCAACAGCCATACGTCGACATTGTCCTCGCGCATCGACCTGACGTGGGCACACCAATGAAGGAGATCGTAGAAGCATTCACCCAAGTCATTCGCAACCTCAACCTCGCATACTACTGGGGCACATCAGAGTGGTCCGCAACTCAGATCATGGAGGCAACTCTGATTGCCGAGAAGCACAACCTCATTGCACCAATCGCCGAGCAACCACAATACAACGCCTTCCACCGCCAGCGATTCGAGGTCGAATACGCCCCACTGTTTGAGCAATTCCAGTACGGCACCACCATATGGTCACCACTTGCGTCTGGTCTCCTGACCGGAAAGTACAACGATGGCATCCCAGAGGACTCTCGCTTTGCCACCAACAAGGCATTCTTCGAGGGCACCATCAAGTCGCTGCAGAGTGAAGAGGGCAAGGCCAAAATCGCCAAAGTCCGCAAGCTCACCGAGATCGCTGAGAAGCTTGGAGGCAACGTAGCCCAGCTTGCACTTGCCTGGTGTGCCAAGAACCCGAACGTTTCCACTGTCATTCTGGGCGCCACAAAGGTTGCACAGATCGAAGACAACGTCAAGGCTCTCAAGCTTCTACCGAAGCTGACGCCAGAGGTGATGGAAGAGATTGAGAAGATACTGGACAACAAGCCAGCTGAGCCAAACAGTTTCGGTCGTAAGAGGTGAGCGTGTCCACGGACAATCATATCATGAATTGGCATGAAGCTTGATGTGCACGAGGCACGTGCTCATAGCTACCGTTTAGAACGCCAAAGAAGCGCACAGGCAAGCTATAAATGGCTCTATAATCGATGAACCACGATGAGGAACTTGTTCGAGTCTCCCTCCAGTCATTCAGTCGTCCCATTTCGACGCTTCTCCACGCTGCAAACATTGGGTATCTTGCAGTGGCAGTGATGAACCTCTCTCTCCACGTTCTCATGCTGTGTGACAGACTTCCAAGACTGAGCAGCGCACCGGCTACATAGAGCAGTGTAAATACAACAAGGAGTCCGGGAAGCCTCAGGCATGGTTAAGGCTGTGGAATTGTTCCCTGGTGTTGTCCGCAAGTGGTTCGTGAAGAGACGTTGACAAGTTCTCAAACAACGAGTCTGTGAAGTTGAAAACTGGAAGCAGGTTGAACCGTTGAAACTTGACGCATGAAAAGAACAGACGTGCAAGAAGACCAACCCTTCGGAATCGGGAATCTTGCCCGAGCCTCAGATGTCTACCGTGCCATCACCAGTTGCAGCGTAGCTTGCCTAGTCCACGATCAGCAGCATTATCAAGCGCAAAGCCGGGGCTTTTCATCTTCTTGTCTGTTGAAAATCGGCCCCCTCATAAAACGCACGAAAGACAATGCTGGCCGCAGCATCCGTAGAAGTGGGGTAGAATTTTATCACGGGCGCAGGTGGGTACGTACAACGGGCCATGCAAGACAAAGGGCATCTCTCTGTCCAGACCTGCTCTTGTGCTCGACCTCACCTTCACTGTCAACATCTGTAGGACTTCAGAGGTACGAGACAAGATGTCTCAGAAAGTGATCCTTGCGGTCTCGCAATCCCGCACGCTCTCAACCCTCCAACAGACCCTCGACTCCCTCGCAACAACGACACAGCTCGCAGCCTCGAAGAATGTAGACCTTATTCTCTTTCCTGAAGCCTTTCTAGGCGGGTACCCACGAAGTTGTGCTTTCGGTGCGACTATTGGATCTCGAACAGACGCGGGCCGAGAGCAATACCTCCAGTACTTCAAGTCATGCGTAGACCTGGGAGATACACCATTGGGAGCAGGAGATGAGTGGATCGAGAGGAAGCTTCCAGTCGCGAAGGGTGAAAAGTATAGAGGAGATGGGACAAGAGAGTATCTTGAAAAAGTAGCAAGGGAGACTGGAGTGTTTGTGGTGACAGGTTTGGTAGAGAAGACTGGTGGCACGCTTTACTGTGCTGTTGTGTACGTTGATCCTCAACGAGGTGTTATTGGAAAGAGACGAAAGGTTATGCCCACTGGAAGCGAGAGGCTGGTTTGGGGACAGGGCTCGCCCAGCACGTTGAAGGCAGTTACGACCATGATCAGAGGAGTGAAGATTACAATGGCAGCCGCGATATGCTGGGAGAATATGATGCCGCTTCTCCGATACAGCATCTACTCGCAGAATGTGAATTTGTGGTTGGCACCTACGGCCGATGCGAGAGATACTTGGCTGCCTTTGATGAGGACTGTGGGCAACGAGGGGAGATGTTTTGTGCTGAGTGCCATTTCATGCCAGAAGAAGAGCAGCTTGCCGGGTTGGGTCACTGGAACCTCGAAAAGCTCGGCAGAGCCAGCCCTGGCGAATGGCTCTCTATCACCAGCAAGAGGAAGGAGGAGATCGACCTTCACATGGGCAGATGAAAGGCATGAACTCGTCTTGCCCACCACGGATGAGATTGCCGACCCTTCCTCAGTGCCTGGTCCGGGATCTGTCGTGAGGATGGAAAGCGCAGCAGTGAACGGATCACATTCGGAACTGAAAGATGAATTCGCCTGTCGTGGGGGGTCCTGTATAATTGGGCCCATGGGCCAGGTCTTGAAAGAGCCTCTATGGGAAGTTGAGGACGGTGGGCTACTTATCCAAGAAGTCGACTTTGAAGATTGTGAGCGCGGTAGACTGGACCTGGATGTTGCCGGGAGCTATTCAAGGAATGATGCATTCCATTTGACAGTAGACGGCCTCGATCTAATCCCGCCACCGTAGGATATCCAAGAAATGTTGAGGCGCAGTAATGCCCTTCCGATGCCCACCATCTTCCATATCTCGCTCCTCGTCCACGGTTCAAACATCATCTGGTCGCCATACCCAACGGACGAACCCGAGCTCACCCTGGTCAATCAATTATCGCCACCTGCAGCAGATCTAGCCTGCTCCTCCTGCCGCGCTTTACCCGAGAGCACCTTTCTCATCCGCATGGTTACGTTATCCTTCAGCCACATAAGATCCTCTCTTGTGAGCTCTCCTCGCTGGATAGGCTTGCTATTCCCATCCTTCAGAAGGATAGTAAGCACATCCGTGCGAACACCACACAGATTTCCAACGAACCCGTCTTTTGTCCACGTCCGCACTAACGTCAAAGCGTTCTTCTCGTACTTTTCTTCCGAGACATCCTTATCACTGATCATTGGCAGCGCAGCTGCCAATCTAGACACCGCGGCCACCGCCCGCGAAAATCTAAGTTGTCCGCCAAGACCGAAATGATTGGCTGAGAAATTTCGCAGAAGTAATATACAATCAAAGATTGAAGGGAAATTTGACTTACCCCGGATTTCAGCGTAGAACGTCAATCGAAACAAAGATTAAAGTAAAGGGGAATTTAACTTACCCCGCATTTCTTAGCTTATTAGCTAGGGTATTAGCTTAATAGTAGTAATATTTAATTAAAGATTTAAGTACATTTCCTATTAATTGGGTATAAAGGTGTTAGCTTAATAGTAGTAATATTTAATTAAAGATTTAAGTACATTTCCTATTAATTGCGTATAAAGGTATTAGCTTGATAGTAGTAATATTTAATTAAAGATTTAAGTACATTTCCTATTAATTGCGTATAAAGGTATTAGCTGAATAGTAGTAATATTTAATTAAACATTTAAGTACATTTCCTATTAATTGCGTAGTAGTAATATTTAATTAAAGATTTAAGTACATTTCCTATTAATTGCGTATAAAGGTGTTAGCTTAATAGTAGTAATATTTAATTAAAGATTTAAGTACATTTCCTGTTAATTGCGTATAAAGGTATTAGCTTGATAGTAGTAATATTTAATTAAAGATTTAAGTACATTTCCTATTAATTACGTATAAAGGTGTTAGCTTAATAGTAGTAATATTTAATTAAAGATTTAAGTACATTTCCTATTAATTGCGTATAAAGGTATTAGCTTAATAGTAGTAGTATTTAATTAAATATTTAAGTACATTTCCTATTAATTGCGTAGTAGTAATATTTAATTAAAGATTTAAGTACATTTCCTATTAATTACGTATAAATAAAAAAAATAGCTAGTATAGGACTCGAACCTACGACCTCTTAACCCCTATCGATCTTATAACTCCTTTAAGATATATGCCTTTATATAGTAGGGACTATATTAAGTAGTATAGCCGGGAGAAATAGAATTATTAATAGTTAAGAATTAAGTTAGAGCTAATACTAGCTAATCCCTACTAATACTAAATTGGAAGGTCGTCGATTTATATAAAAGTTTTACGTTCTATAGAACCGACCCGCGCGGTTCTAATAGTATAATTTTTATTGAAATCGGATTAGTATTTATCGAGATATATATAGGATACTCCGTATTCTATAGCTATCTAGTCTAGGGGCGCCCTAATATAATAGCCTATAGGGTACTAAGTATTAGCCTAATCGGGGGGGGGGGGCAATAGTAAGGCTCTAGGGCGTCTAGTAGGTATATCGACTTTTTTTTTATACTAGATATATAATTTTCGCTAAGTCTACGAGTTAGTTTCGAGGAGGAGGAGTACTTTATATATTAATCTACTATATATAGTTTTATACTTAGACGGCGTCTAGGATAGGAGGTAGTAGTACTACTATATCGGAGTTAGGTTTTAACTTTCGAGGAGGAGTACTTTATACATTAATCTACTATATATAGTTTTATACTTAGACGGCGTTTAGAATAGACTGTAACTACTAAGAGGAAATTCTATTATCGAGTTCCTATCTAAGTAACTTAACAGGTTGCTAGACTATTATACTAACTCGCGCGGCTCTAATTCTATAATTTAAGTAAACGTATATATTTCTTTGATTTTCGAATATATCTAGGTTATATAACGGACTAAGTTGTCCGGTAATAAAGGTATAGTTTCTACTAATATTAGCCTAATCTATCCTAATACTCTTATAATATATTGTATACTAGCATTATAAATATATACCTGTAACTAGTATATTTACTTTCTATATATACGTTTATATATACTCTTTACTATATATGCTATCTTATTATATATATATATATAGACTTCGAAAAAAACCCCTTTCCTAAAAAGTAAAAAAAAGGGATCGTAAAATATTTAAAAATTAATACCTTGAACTGTGCTATTATTATAGCGAGGTCCAAAGTATTAAATAGTCTGCCGCCGGAGGATTATAACGCTATATAGTAGCCGGACACCCCTGCTCCCGAAAATTTCAGGCCCTCAATAAAGTGTATAAGGACACTCGTCAAACAGCAAACCAATTCAAATGATTGGATGCCGGGTTGGAATTTAAGTTCGTATATAGAGTGTACACCGTACCTAGGAAATCCGGGGTAGCCTAGGTTAGGGAGGTACTCACCGCCGGCTTTTTTTAAGCAACGCCAAGCCGAAAATTTTCGAACGTGGATAACCTCTGCGCTGCTACTCTTGGAACGCGCCCGCGGTCCACAACACTTCCTAGTTCGTCGGTGCAGGACCGACACCTTTGGTACACCGTCCTCATCCTGTCCCCTCATCCACGCGCCGTCACCTGCACAGAGCTGGTCTTTCGCCATCTCAAGTCTGCCACCGTCTGGCCGAATAAGATGTACTTTCAGCTTCGAGACGCCAACAAAGGCAGCAAGAATCTTGTCGTTGCCCCACTCGCGGAGGTCATCCTGGGATACCTCTGGTTCGGGTTCCTCTGCACTTTGACCTTGAAAGAAGAGCTTCTTGTCTGCGGCGGTGAGGTTCTTCTTGAGCCAACCGACGTCCTCATTCGTGAGATGTTCTCGCGCTAGCTCCAGCCTATTCCCATTCTTCTCGACAACCAGGTAGATTCTGTCATGCGAGACCTTTTCAAGCTCTCCTCTGACTTTTTGAAGCGTCCACTCCCTCGTTGGCGTGCCGTACTCTCCGTAGCGCTCGAACCATTTCGTCATTCCTTCGACGCCACGCCGATTTGCTTCAGCAGCATCTAGCAGGGGTACGACAGCCACGTTGTTGAGCATACATCCGACTTCTTGCACCGGCTTGTTCAATTTTCGTGCGATTTCCGTCAGATCCACCGTCTCTAACCACTTTCCGAACTCCTGGTACTCAGAGGGTGTCCATTTCTGCCAGCAAGGGGGCTTGAGACAGAACTTTCGCGGGTTGCGATATTCGACCCCGAGCTCTGTGGACGTCAATGGTATGTAGCGGTCGGCCAGCTCTGGTAGGTCGCACAACGGAGTATCTTTTGGTAGGGTCGCCGGATGGCAGGTGGCGAAGTGGACTGCGCGGGTCAGTGAGTCTTGCCCTCGTTGTGTGTTGATTGGAGCTCCGATGGGTGTTGGCGTTGCGGAAGCTGGTCGTGTTTCGGTGCGGCCCAATGTCGCACTTGTTGGCGCTTGGATATGTGCCGGCGGTGTTGTGACTGAAGCGGCTTCGATGGTCTCTCTCATTTCGGTCTGGGTGAGCGGCGTCGGATCGTCGCTGAGATCCATCGCGGACTCGTAGGCGCTCATGCTGCGGGTATCAGTCAAGCGCTGCGACACGTTCAAGCCGAAAGTTGTTTGTCGTCACAAACTTTCTGTTGGGATGCTTGGGAAGTGGGTGAGATGAAACAGATACAAGGTGGCTGGCAACAATAGGAGCATTGACGAAGTGAAGCAAAATCACCGCCAGCGCACGGCCAACGTCGCAGCAGCAGCGCCATCACATGCATGCCCCGTAGTGCATAGAGCTCCAACGGCATTGACTCCCAGTCACCACCTGCTTCCCTATTCTATTTCCATCTTTATCAGAGGCGATGCTGCTGCCTTGTCGGGGACGGATAATTTCTTTTCTCGGAGTCTTCCAATGCAGCAGCGTGGTGCGACCGCTGAGAAATCTCAGCTTAAGTATTCTACCACCAATCCAGCTTGACTTCTGTGATGCCTGTATCTGAAGACGACCTTCATGCATGGTGATTCAAGACAGTTTCATGTGGTAGTAGTCATCTGGTTTGATTCTACATACCTATGCCCTGCTCGAACGCCATACAAATGCCAAGTTCTTTAGCGTGGTGCCCAAGACGCCGCCCAATGTACATTGTCGCGATGAATTGCGTGTAACGGAGGTCTACTCTTCATACTGGCCTCCTGGTATCATGTCACGCCCTTTCTCTAGCACGCCCTTTAAGTACTCATACACAGCGAACGTGACAGCTTGACCAGGAGCCACACGCGCCACTCGTGGTGTGATACCCATCCAGAATGCTCGGGGTCCTTCTTGCTTGAACATCTGCGATCCAATGTTCACAATGCGGCCCATTGCAGTTTGGCCAGGCTCAGCAGGCGTCCTTTGTAAACGAGTCTTGATCGTGTCAATCGGGGCATTGCAAAATGGTCCTACGGCACCAGAGATAAGTCCTATGCCAGCTGTCGTGTAACCTGGCAACGGCTTTGTGGGGTCGTCGCTCCTTTGCTGGAGAATCTCCTTCAGTTCTGTGTATGCTGTGAAGTTTGCCGCTTGATTGGTTCCTTGTCTCAATGCTGTGAGCGAGACACCGCGATAGAGAGCACCCACACCTTCTTCCTTGATCACAGTGTAGCAAGCATGGGCAGCGTTGCGATATTTCGGAACGTCAAGCGGGTCTGCCATACTGTGATGTTGTGCTTGTAGTCGAATCTTTACGACCTCCATAGGACATACCACAGCCACAGCTTCCGTTACACCAGCTGCCAGACCAGCGAGGAAGTTGCTACTGCCACGAATTCTGCCCTCCTTGTCCGCCAACAATTGCTTGTACCATTCGTAGCTGGTAAATCTGATTGCCATCTTGGGCACGATACCCGTCAAGACAGCACCAAGACCTTTGTACAAACCAAGGGGCGTTTCCTTCCGTGCGATCTCCATACCAGTTTTGATAAACCCTCGTCTCTTCTGGCCAGTTCCACGTTGTCGGCGTGACAACTGCATACGAACTTTGATTGTGTCAAGAGGGTGGCAGACGAGTGCTTCCATCATTCCAGCTCCTCCACCGGCTACTCACAGTGAGCTTCCTGCAGTGCCATCGTGCGTGTTAATGCTTACCGATGAGATTAGTGGCCGCAGAGGCTGGCTTCTTGCCTCCTGGGCCTGCTGTGCTTTTTGCCGACATCTTGCGAAAACAATCCTGCTGAAGCTACCATGCAAAAGGGTTTGGGAAGCTCGTCAATTGCTTTAGAAGCGATCTCAGATTGTGTTTACTGGAATTCTTGAAGCCGACCACGATAGCTGCAGCTCGAGCGAATACCAGAGATCATCAAGTCTACAGAAGAGGAATTCGAGCAAGATCAAAAGCCCAAAATTGTTGCTCCATCGTTCGACAGTGACCGAGGCTCACATTACGTAGCGTCACAAGCCGAGCGAGTCTGAGATGCGAGGCTGGTCGCGGTCGCGCGGGACCAAACCTGTTCCTGGGCGAGCGGAGAGATACCTCGGGCATTCACGGACGTCCCATGACAGGCTTTCCGACGGATTTCCGACGTAAGCACATGCTAGAAGAGCGTCTTCGCTCAGTATCCCGAGGCTTTTTCAAGGTCATTTGGACTGGGTGCTGCTTGGATTTCGTGGTGCAAAAGTGATAGAGGCGCTTTATTCATGTGAATTGGGTTTTGTGGTTGATGCGGGGCGACCGATGATCGGAGGATTCCGCCAAAGAGCCTCATCAGTCGCACGTGGTCGTCCTTCAGCGAAGATTAATTGTATAGACCAGGTCCGAGCTACGTGCGCTGGTACAGTTGGAAGTCCAGCGTCACTTCTTCATCTCCCACTGATTGAGGGTGCGGGCCTTCCTCAATGGCTTCGCCTACGAAGTCAACCAACGCAGCATGGTCCGCTCGTTGCCATGCAGAAGCCTTGGGTGCTGCATCGTCCAATTTCGTAGGAAAGAAGGTGTCACAATCATATTCTTTACCAATGCGAGTGAGAAGAATGCGATTGGTCTGCGGTAGTTCCAGTGCAGACTTGTAGATGCTTGATCCGCCGATGACGAAGATTCTTCCAGCTGGCAAAGCTCTGCCATCTCTGATCGACAGCTCGAGCGACCTCAAGCCAGACAAGATGTCAGAAGCAACCACTACGTCGTCTGACACTCCGTCTAGCTGCGAATGATCCTGTGAACTGATGACAATGTTCGTCCGATCCGCCAAAGGCCTTCGTTTCGGGGGGATGCTCTCCCACGTCTTGCGGCCCATAATCACCACATTTCGGCTCGCACCTGACAGTATGCTCTCCTTTAGAGCATCTGATTGCGCAGAGCCAGTAGCAGTAGGGATTATTGGGACGCGCTTCGTGACGCGAGCAAAGAATGCCATATCCTTCTTGAGCATCGGCCAAGGCAGACCGTTGTTCTTGCCGATACCATTCTTCGCCGTCGCCGCGACAATAATCGTGAGAGGTAGCTGTGAGAGAGACATGTCGGCCATGCTGAGTTGTGTTGAGCGGAAGGACGAAACCAGCGCCACTGCTTGCTTGCAAACAATTTGATCTTGAGGCCACAAGTCGCGTCGTCCCATTGTGGCATGGTCACAATTGTGGCTGCCTTAGAATAATTGGTGCCTTGTGCCGCGCGGCGCAACAGTCAGGAGTCAAGACCTCCACACTTGAGCTTCCGTGGCCATCTTGACCTTATCACGCATGGTCACCGATGTCCTGGCATCTGCACTGCACAACTCAGAGATGCTTCTTCGCGCGAGGATGGTAGAGTACCGAGCGTCCCAAAATGGCAAGACTTTGCATTGATGAGACGACATCCAATCTTGAACAAGACAGGAGTGAGCGCCGACATGAGAGTACTGCAGCGAAACGCCGTTCTCTCTGTGCCGACCGCTTCGGCCTACGGTCAGACTGTGGCCATTGTGATGTGCCGTAGACCTCGCCAGGTCAGGTCGCACATGGCGCTCTCACACATGGACAGCCGACCCACACCGTGACCCTGCAGCCTGCAGCTCAAATTGACAAGCAACAGGACGCTGCACTACACGATTTACGAAGCGAGCAACGAGACCGAGTGACCACCAACAACAGAGCGGGTAAAAATCGACTCAAGGCTCGGCTGGGTACTTACAGGTGTCAGAGCCCCTACTTCTGTGATTGCATTGCATGTGAAACTGCAATGTGACGAAAACAATGCCATTGAGGCATGGTGGACACGACGAAAACAAGCAAGAACCTGACGAATGGAGAGAGGTGATGGTTACATGTGGAGGCTGACTGAATGCCAAGTCAGTAGGACCGCCCTGGATCTGTCGAGAAGAATATGTTGCACTCAACCTGTCACCTGCTTGCATCCGTTCAGGACTACTCGCAATTTGGACGAGTCTGGTGGCGACTTCATGCAGCTCGTCCTGCTGGCGTTTCCCTAGACAGGCTCGCCAAGTGGGTGCGTGATGGGCCGCAATGCAATGCAGAGAACGTGGTGTGTATTGCACGGCTACCTGCACGGAGGAAACGCGGAGTCGACAGGGAGAATGCTGGCTCGGAGGTGTTGCCTGAATAATAAGGTATATATTGACGTAGGTCCAGAATGCTGTGCTCAGCGAGCAACCAAAGTGGATTTGGCGCCATTGGCACACGTGGCCAGACACCTCAGAGCCGGGATCTCATGTGTGGACAACGAGCCGCTTGTGCGACGCATCATGAACACCAATAATGACGCAAATGAGTCATTACCCAGTCCACGGCATGAATTCAATACCCATTTGAGTTGCGAAGACAGCTTATTGCCCTCCCACCAGATCTGGGTCCGGCGCTCCAGGCGGCCAAATGGCAGGTCTATCAGTGAAGACAGGAGGAGAAATGAGAGTGCTTGAAGGACTACCGATAGATCGACGCCCAGTTCTGCATGCTCGGAGGACAGAGAGGCTTCAATTTCATGATCTCCAGAGTACCGTGGATTGGCCGCCAAATGGACCTGGTAAAGCAGCGTGATATCTCGGGATGTCGCGTGGCAGCCATGTGGACAGTTTCACAGAGGCATCACGCGAGGTGACTCGAAGTAGAATGCAAGGGGGATCATTGGCTCTTTCCTTGCTGACTGAGCATGATTATACGCCATACGGATGAGAAGTCGGAAGAAGAACTGACAAGCTACATAGGGGCGTGTAGCGGAAGCGGGATGGGACAATGTGATACGGCAGGCGTGACGAGTGTCCTTCTGAGGTGTGTTGGGGAAGGATGAACAACCCTGAGCTATCCCTGCCCGTGTCCAGCTCGACAGCGGTCGCTTGCAGATGATGGCGTCCAGAGGAAGTTTTGATACGGAAAAGGCCTCGTTATTTCTGCAATCGTTGGCCAATGGGGAAGCCTGACATGTCCTATACGAACCGAGACATTGTTGTAGAAGGGCGGTGGCGGAGATTAGACTTATTGCATGTGCTGAAGCAGAAGTGCCATGTTGAAAGTGTGCATGTAGCTTTACATGAACCGCGTCTGCTCGCAAGCAACCTGAATAATGCATGGATTCGTTATGATCGATGCGAGGCTTCGCGAGCCGCTTCCGCAGTGCTGGGATGTTGCAAGGCCTTGGAGCGAAAGCAGATGCCGGTCCGAGGTGCTGCAGGTGCAGGTGCCGGCCCCAGCGCCGAACTAATGTCGATAGATTGCGTACTGTCCACTGTATTTCCAGGTTGACGCGTGCACTGCCAATCATCGACTAGAGGCGAAGACGCTGTCGGGCTCTCCGATATCAAGCCGCGTGTGAGGTTGCTGCGTGCGTTGGCCGTGCGCGCCTGCGCCACGACGATTGCCGATGGCGTCGCATCGCATCGCATCGCATCGCAAAACAACCCAGATGCGGCGCAGAGTGCAAAGCTTTGATGAGGCCGGGAGCGAGCGTGTCGGGCATGACTCTCTTTTGTCGCCGCTAGATGGAGACGGCTGGCCCGTCGTCTGGATCACTGCATTATTTGCCATGTGATGCTTGAGTGGCTTCATCGACCTTGTGTTGCCCACCGTCGCAGGGATGGCCACGAGGCATGGCATTCATTGGCGTTGGCGTTGGCGTTGGCATGCGAGCGGCCACGGCCATGGATGGCAAAACGTGGCTTGTGTCACTGAAGGCACATCAGTCAACGGGCAAAGGCAGTTTTGCGAATGCTGTGACTCGCAGCGGTTGGTGTGTACATGTAGAATGCTCTGTCCGCGGGAGTGCATTTGTGCGTCCTGCAGTGATCACATATGATCCGAGTGCTCTGCGCAAGGAACCCTGCGCGGTGACGGGCCGGTGTTGTCGCCATCCATCGGCGGCGAAGCTCCTGTCGAGGGCGAAACTCAATTCGCGGCGGACAGGCATCTCGGAGCAGGGATGCACGCAATGCCAACCCTGAAGTAGGCATGCATGCAAAGATGATTCGGACAATCAGATCAATGATACCGTACGCCTCGTATCAACGATACCGTACGCCTCGTATCAACGATACAGTATGCAAATACCATATCAACGATAGCCATTCGCAAGCCAAGGCATTGTCTCCCTCCACCCCCCCTCCCCCTCCCCCTGCTCCGCCCTGCTGCTGCTGAGCTGCTGCCCAGTCCCGCGTGGCCTGGCGGATGCTCCCGTATTGGATGGTGCGTCACTGGTGCGTTGACTCTAGTCTTCTCATGCCCGCCGCCTGGTCACCAGTTCTAGCTTGCCGACGACTTCTCGCTTTTGCTGTGCTGTGCTGTGCTGTGCTGTACGTCTGTCCGTACGGTGCTCCTCGCCGCCGCCGCCCCCACGAGCCTCTGCTCTGCGTCCGCCGGGAGTCAGGACGTCGCCATTTCCCACAGCACGCGGACCGCCGGATCGGTCTTCCGACTGCTGGCCAATTCCTGGTCGGTCCATTCGCATTGTCCAATGTCCATGCTGTAGGCGTGGCGGTTGGTAGCGAGCCGGGACAGCGAGTAACCTTCTGCAAGCCAACCACCAACCAGAATCGCCCCAGCAGCTGGGCATCTGTACGGCCTACAGAGTGCAGGCGTTTGGCGCCTCACGGCCTCACTCATCAATCCATCACGAATTTGCATGTGCAGGGAAGACGTGCCCTACAGTCCTGCTGGCCGCGCGCCGCCTGCCGTCCTGCAACTGCAACTGGCAACTGCCATTCACTGCGGCCACAGCTGCTGCCCTTGCCCTTGCCCTTGCCTCGTGGTCAGCTTGCTGGGCAGTCACTCGCGGTGGGGCCTTCCCCTCCTCTAAAACCACGACGCGCGCCGAGATCCAGAAGACTCCCATCGTGTGCATCGACTTCTGAGACCTGCATCCATCTCCATTCATAGCCGCTCCAATTTGAGACCGGTTGACGACATCTTTACCCGCCACGTCGATCTCACGACTGCCAAAAGCCCCCCCGGGGAGTCGGATATATCTATCTGGTAGCACTCGCAGCGGCCCGTTGCTGGAGTCCTTTCGACCCTCCGTCTATTTGGCTTGACCAGCGCCCGTCGATCGGAGAGTCGACAACGGACGACAATCTAGGAAGACAGCAGCCGACTTTGCCTCGCCCTGAGTACGGCCTGGATCTTGGTTGGCGACGGCGAACTCACGGGGAAAGGTCAGGGTAGCCGCAGATTATTGCGCAACACCCGTTGAAGGCGGAACAGGAGCCATACCGCTCGCCGCGCGCTCTTGGACGGCCCTGGTGATTGCATACAAAGGACCACCACCGCACCTCTTCTAACCGTCGAGCTCCCATGTCTTGTGGAACGCATCGCAAAGCTTCTCATCTTCACTACGACTCACATTGCGCGGAATTCTCAGCACGCCCAACAACTTGACCAAGCTCTCACTGGATTGGTGCGAGTTTATTGGTGATTACCACTTTCCATACAGGATACGACTTCCCAACTTGCCCTCCACTTCCCATCGACAGCTGTCATCACGTTGCTCGACTGCCTCCTGCTCCGGTCCCCCTCTTCAGCGACTTCGGGAACGGTTGGCGTCTTTGCCCATCGTACCACGTCACAACAGCTTGATCGTTCATCACTCGGCCACGGCCTCATAACCCCCCTCGGTCTTCCCTGGAACACTTATCAACTTATCCCGACTCTGTTGCATCGGCTTACCTCCCCAGAACACCAAGGTACCAGCAGCGGCCAACTTGTGCGCTGTGACGGGATCAACCAAAAGCACAATAATGATGGCTAGGGAACAGATCGCAATGGTAGTGCGCCAGCAACCGCAGCGAGCACAAGTCGTCCAAGAGAACAACCCCAAAAACCGAAAGCCCATCGATCCACCACCTATCATCGAACTCAAGTACAACGATCGTGATGACCCTGCCAATGCACAATGGCTCGTCAGCCCGAGGACGTTCATGATGGTGACTTTGATCAATGTGAAGGAGACCGATGAGTTCAATCCCGGAAAATACTTGATCGGACAGACTGTTTCATCGCTACATCGATTGAAGGACATCAACAACAAAGGTCCGTCCACGCTTGGCTCAAGACGATGATACCAGCCATCATCACATCCATCCAGTATGCTAATCACACCTCACAGATGGGGGCTTCTTTGTCTTCGGAGACATCTCAGCTCGCAAGCTGGGACACTACAAACTCCGCTTCAGCCTCTTCGATACCAACAAGGAGTCTGAGCAGGTGGTCTTCCTGGGGTCAATCGACTCGGACGCTTTCGCGGTCCTCCCACAACGTGACTTCGGCAGCATGTCGGAATCCACCCACTTGACCAGGACATTCTCCGACCAGGGCGTGAAATTGCGTGTGCGAAAGGACAACCGCGCAATCTCAGGGTAAGTCAAGAGCGTTCTTTAGAATCACGACAGGAATGCTGATCGACGACAGCATCGGCCAAAAGCGATCGTATCAACCATCGCCTCCCGAAAACAATTCACCGGGCCTACAGACCGGTGGGCTGTATGGAGGCGCTGTACAAGACTATGGGTCAGTGCAGTCTCCAGGGATCAAACGACATCGATCGTCTAGCGAATACGACAACTCTGCTGCATACGCGGGCATGGTCAGTGAAGCGCCGATGCCTTACACCAACAACGGCATACCCAGCGCGTCACGCTATGAACCGCGGCTCAGTAGTAATTACACATCGCCAATGTCCATGTTAGGTCGCAGTCAGACCATGAGCGTTCCGACACCGAGCCAGTACGCCAACTTATATCAGTCATCACCACCCGGTGTAGCTGCACAGCAGCAACCATACTCGACCTTTGGCGAGCCTCAGCCCACACTGCCCTCGCTAGGGTCTGCAAGCACGGTACCACGATATCAGACGCAATATCCATATCATGCTGGGACACAGTACGGGGCGTACAGTTCTGGAGACCAGGGGTACGCAGATCCGTATGGTTCTGCGGGCTCTCACATGAGCAGCATGGCCCTAGGATCAAATGCTGATTCTCCCTACGGCTTCCCGCAGCCCGTCAGTTCGTATCCAGAGCAGGGCGAGGCCCAACGTAGCTACGCCTATCCGGGGACTTAGGGATCTACGGGAAATACCGTAGCGAATAGGCTAGCAAGATTTCGCGCGCATGTCATCACGAATGCTCCCGCAACACCACATTCCTTGTCAACGACGGGTCAGGACGACAAAAGACCGAAAACAGGATTGCACGTGATCCGAGATAGCCCCAGGGACGAGGATGAGCCTTCACCAGATCCCAAAGACTGATTTGGTAGCAGCCTCCCAATTGCAGCATTCATCATAGCGCAGCCGGCTCATGCTGGACGTCTCCAGCTCGATGCATTCGTCCAGATGGTGCGAAAGCTCTGGGATTGTACAGCAGGGCGGCTGCTTGCACGGTTCACTTGCAGGCTTCCGGAGAAAGGATTGGTTACGGTATGGAATGCACGATTGCAGCTTCGTTGCTTGTTTCGAATTGTCGGATACAAGAAGATAGCCGAGTGGTGGAGGGTGGAAGTGGATTCAATATTCTTTTGCTTTTTTGGCATTGACCAAGCACCAGCGTGGCGTTCACAATGGGATACTTATGGGGCTGGCAATCTGAGCGTTTACTGCGTCTAGATTTCTGAAGGCGGTTTTTGACGGGGACACAGCACGGACAAGCCCTTTGGCTTTTCTTGTACATATACCCATTGAACAGTACATGAAGGTCTTCCCAGGAGAGAAGATGCTGAAAGAGCTTTCATTACAAATAGCATTGCAGGATCACATATGCAACGTTCTGATAGAGTTTCGCTTGGAAAAACAGGTGTCACAGATTGCGCAACAGGCGCATATCAACGGCAGAAGCGTCCAATGCAGGCATCGAGGTTTCACTGTCCGGCGTGGCGAGCCACAAGCGAGTGAAATAGCAGAGTAGTGTGAGTGAGGGTTGGGACACCTCATCAGCAGCCCTACAGCAACGGCGTTCCTTTCATCACAAGCACCTCGCTTGCTCATCATGTCTTTGATCCGGATCCAACCCACGATCGAATACAGTAGCGCCGAAGTCAAATGGTTGGAGTTCACGTCCCAGCATGGCTTGTTTCGCGATCGGAAGCCTCCTCCCCGAACGCCGGCTGGCGGTATGGCTTGGCTTGAAGCCCTCACGATACGTAGCAGATGGGGTGGTTGTGAGGGTCTTCACTTCGACGAAAGCGGAAAGTGTCACCCGCCAAATGAGGCATGGCCAGTCAGCCAATGTCATGTCATGCTCTCCGACTTCAAGACAATAATTCCGGATTCAATCCTCGGATTCCGCCCAGGGGCACGATGGATGCAAGTCCATTGCCCCTCTTCATATGGCTGTCAAGATATAAAACAGCCGCCCACCGAACCAGACCCAGTTCCAGAGCAAGCTTCACTGCTCTGTACCACATCGATGACCACGCTTTGCAGGCTACGCTAACGTGGTTCAAAGACACTTCGACATGATTGCGCAACCAAGTCTCCGAACAACGTAAGTATTGTCTACCTGACAGTCCCACACGGAGAATTCATCAAACTTCATGAACCGTCTGCGTCGTTGAGGAAGAATTAATAATACCAATGGTCTTTGCCGTTGAATGCAGCCATCACGTAAACAACACAAGCGTCTAGAACTCGTCAGTGGGACTCAGGAGACAGGTGGTAGGACGACGCCAACACTCTCGGAACGGCAATGAATGACAGTCAAGTCACACACATGTCACACAACCTCCAAGTTATTCTAACCCCCTCGCTTATAATGTCTTTGAAACTTCGCAAAGAAAAAGGTGCTCGTGCTATACATACATATACGCCCTGCATCTTCAGCAGCATATGCAAGACGCAGGCCCAGCAGACATACATGAGTGCACACCCCCCATATTACAACCGAGCCCTGAACCTTGGAAAGAAAAAAAAACACCATCTCCGGGAGCCTTGTTACTTGCGCAATGCTCGAGCATGGTCCACCATATCTCCAGACTAACTACTACCAGTTTTTTTTAAACCCCTTGCGTTAGAACACCATGGTTCTATCCTCCAGAAGAACCATGATCTGCAAGTCATATCACCGACTTACATATATGCATGCACGCTCATAGATGATGATGATGATGATGATGCTCAATAACGTAACTTGTATAGTAGGTTGGTAGTATACAATGTCTTTCGTTCTTTCTGTTTCTCCTATTCTGTGATCCCTCTGCGGCAGCGAGCCAAGGGAGCTTCGAATCGTTTCGTTTGCTTAGTGTTACAATACAATCATGTCATGGATATGATGCGCAGCGGCGGCGGCGGCGGCAAGCGAGCTGTCATGCACCCGACCCATAACATACCATACAAGCCACACCCAAAGTCGCGCTCGACGCGCAGTTGTGGGTGGGTAATCAACAGGTAAACAAGCAAACAAACAATAGTCCATTCCCTCCTCCCATAGAGTGCCGTAGCTTTCGAACGTCATGTATGCCAAAAAATTACGATCGACTTTGCTCAACTCGTCATCATCTTACTCATACTGGATCTCTTCATCGTCTTCACCGGCAGCATCGGCTTCGTCATCGTCCTCGATCTCACCGGGAGCGTCCTCGTCTTCGCCTTCCTCGTAGTCGCCATCGCCAGCAGCAGTCTCGGGAGGATGCACAGCTGCATCGTCATCATCTTGCTCCGCTTCCCCAGCGGCGGCTTCTGCCATCTTGGCCTTGTAGCCTTGGTCGTCTGCTTCCCCGGCGGCATCGTCTTTCTTGGCGAAAGCCACAGTGACAGTATCGCCAAGCTTACTCCTGCCACGGCGGAGGCTGCTCGTGGCGGCATTTCCGCTCGGACTCTGTGCTCCACTTGCTTGTCTCCTGTTTGAAGCAGTGCCGCGGCGTGCAGGGGTGTTGTACGTATTCCTGTAGCTACTTCTCCTTCCAGTAGGTCTGCCGGGACGGCGCCTCGCAGCGCTTGTGTGCATGCCAGGCACGGGCGGGAAGATCTCGAATCGTGTAGGCGGGATGAGTCCACCGGCGGAACCCGGTTGCGATCCCGAGCCGGATGTGGTGGGCGTCGCTTCCCCGGAGTCAAGATGTGAGTTATGAAGACTCGATGCTCGATGATGGTGGTGCGTGCCGTTTGGCGTCTTACGCGGTGATGACCGACGTGAAGGCGAGTTCTGGCCTAGAGTGCTGGTGGCGCGCTCGAGGAAGGAAGGCTGAGGTGTCAAAGCCAGTGGTGGCGGAGTCTTTTTGCGCGACTTCGGCGAGATTTTGGTCATGTTTGCATCGGTCGCAGGAAGTTCTGTTGTTGGTGTTGCATTGCCTGTATCCTCGGCGTCTTGGACAGCTTCCTCGCTGGCTTTCTGTGCTTGTTTGTGCTTGACATCTTCTTCTGGTCGATCGGTCTGCTCCGTTGGATCCTCTCTGGCAGCGACAGTTTGCAAAGGCTGATTCGTCTCTTCCCCCATTGCAAACAGGTTGGTAGGCCTGCCCATGACATACGGCGTCCAGCACAAGCGATCAGGATTGATTTTGATCGTAGCCTTCTTCTCGTGCTTTTCCGCGTATTCCTTCATGTAATCGTAGTCCAGCCGAAGAGCGTATGTGCCCGAACGCGGATCGCGGACCAGGGCGCGTAATGCCTCGAGGCTCGCAATGATATCGTCAGGAGTCATGCCAGTTTCCTTGGCGATTTGAACTATTGTCAGTTGCGTTGCCTCGCCGGTCTCGCATTCCCTGTCTCTATACTGCAAGAAGAGCTTGCAGAGGACAGTCCTCCAATATGAGCGATATGAGACGAGACCCATGTCAGAGAGTGGCTTCTCAGGCGATCCAGTCCTACCTTCGACCTTGGTGAGAAGGTAAGAGAATTCGATTAATACTCTTCCAAAGCCGCGCCGCATGTGGACGGGTAGGACCAAGATGCAGCTAACGTTGTTGCCCGGGTTGACGAGAGCAGGATCTTGCGCAGTTCCTTCGAGCTGCTGCTGCGATTTTTCTGAACTGCCACTGGAGTGCGCATTTTCGTCAAATGAGGTGCGGGGCTCAATAGGTGGTGCAGGAGGTCCGCAGCCGCGTTTCTCTTTCGAAAAGTAGCCAACAAAGTGGCAGCCGAACTCATCGTTTTCTGTCATGATGTAGAAGAGAAACGGTTCCACATCATAGTACAGAGTCTTAGAACCCAAGAAGAGCTTGGCCAGCAAGCACAGATTTTGACAGTAAAGTGGGTTCCTTCGGCCATCGACTTCGAAGAAGGACAATGTCGTCTCTTGGTTGGTCTCTGGATTGATGATGGTGTCGCGATAGATTTCATCACCTGGTGGGTGTTTTGCAGAGCATTTGAGCTTGTGTCGCCATGCGACATAGTCTGAGCTCATGTATTTTAGACAGAATTCGCAGATGTAGAGATGCTTGTTGCGGCTGTACTCCTCAGGATACGGTGCTGCATGCCATGTGTCGATCTCGTACTGCCCAAAGTTGATGCACTTGATTTTGCTTGCTTGTCCGGCCTGCTTCGACCGCGCAGGAGGCTGGTTGTCACCATTCATCTGGGCGAGCTTCTCTTTCCACGCCTCTTCTGCCTTTTCTCGGGCATTTTGGAATGCGGCGCGATCTGCATCTTCGGGATATGTCTTCTTGGTGTCGGCTTCGGCGTCTGTGAGAATGCCGCCATAGGGTCTTCCCTTGTTCTCATCGACCTCACGATCCTGGAAGGGAAAGAATGGATTATTGTAAATTGACGTCTGCACGGTTGGGAAATGAGCAATCTCTTCCGGTTCAGCAGTGGCAGTGCGGCGACTATTTCGAAGCCGTCTGAGGCGGTCGCGCTCACGTCGCTTCTGCTTTTTGAGCACGTCTTTCTCGATCGTCTCCCATTGAGCAGCGTTGACGGGAATGGCCAGGACGACACTCTTTGGATCTTCAGAGCGGGACACAATCCTGGCACCTCGTTTGCGAGTCCTATGGCGCTGAGGTCTGCCAGACCGTGACCTCGGCGATCCCGGTTCCTCGTCGCCATTCTCCTCGTCGGCCTGTTCCTCCTCGACCACGTCAATGGTGGGAACATCTTGGTCTTCCTCTGCTACGTTGCGTCTTCTTTTCCGAATTGGCGGTCGAGGAGCATCATCTACCTCCTCTGATGGCGTCTTACGCTTCCTAAGCGATCTCGATCCGTCCATCTCGTCGTCTGGCAAGATGAGCGTGTTGAAAACTGAATGCGATCCTGGCTTGATGCCTCCACGAGCTTGCGGCAAGAGATCTCTAGCCATCTTGGGCGCCGAAGATCGCCTTCGAGAGGAAAGTAATTGAGGAACATCTTGAAAGTCTGCTTCCAGACCATTTTCTATGCAGCCTGAGCAGCGCCAGCGAGTTGCATCTGCGGCAATGTGTCAATACATGTTTTTGTTTTGAGCAGAGACATGGCCATATGCATGACACGAGCAGATCTGGGTACGCACCTTCGTCAGCAGCTAGCGAGCTTGCTTCTCTGGCACATTGCCGGTGGGCTGCAGGAACGGAAGTCAGCGCTCGGACCCTTGAAGATTGATATCATTTGTTACTTCGCCGCAATTCTTCCACTTTTCCATCACGAACCTGCACATGGATTTTGGCATTGGGCTTGCAATTGCACACACTTACCATTGTCGCCGCAGACTGAGCATGCCAGATACTCCTCGAAATCTTCACCTGGATCATTTTCTTCGCTCTGATGACAGTACCTGGAATCATCGTCAGCAACATGCATAGCCCGGCTTTCCATAGCACTTACACGCAACGACTGCCGTCTGGATTTTCGACCTTTGCATCTTCCTCCACATCGTCGGCGGCCTCCCAGTCTTCTTCTCCTCCTCGAGAGCTTTCGCCATCTGAATCGTCTTCCGCGCCGCCAGATTCGGCCTCCGACTCCTCGTCTTCAGCATCTCTACGAGATCTAGTCCGACTTGAACGTGTTTTCACGGCTCCGACGAATTCACCCTCGTCATCGTCATCATCATCTATCTCTCCTTCAGCGTCGGCTTCGGAGCCCTCATCTTCCTCCTCGCCTTCCGCATCGGCTTCATCGTCGATTTCTTCCTCTTCCTCTATCTCCTCCAGTTCCTCGGCAACGGGCGCGTCGGCATCTTGATCGTCAATCTCCATCTGCTCAGCTTGATGTGCGCGATAGCTGACGCCGCGGCCGCGCAGCCTGGAAGGCGTGGACGCGGGCCGGCTTAGCACTATGGTCGCCAGCTTGTCGAGCGGGCTCTATCTCAGCCCATATGATACGCCCGCACTCTTCTCTGATATGGGGAGCTGTCGCGGGTGCTCTCGCTGAGCACCTTTGCCCATGCGGTCACAGCCTGGTGGCCGCCTCGAGCTCTCCGCCAAGACCGGTCTCGATACGTGATTTTATGATTTCTTGACGCGTTGTCCACTTCGTAGATCGCTCCTGGTGACTCTCGCGGTGTACTCTGTACAATTGCGCGCGTTGTCGCTGTCGTTGCAGGCAAGCAGCGCCTGACTAATCAGCCGGCGCGGTCTTATGATTTTGGTCGTCGTCGCAGGCTTCTGCGTGCAGTTTCTTCGGCCCGATGGATAGCTGTGGCGGTCGCGAAACCAGCAAAATTGTATTGATGGGTATGCGCGGTGTTGTCGATGGTTGATGGCCGGTTTTGTCTCTCCCTACTCGCAGCGGGACAGCGTTTGGACCTTTGGGCACACAGCAAGCACCGTAGTGCCGAAAAGTGCCGGTCGCGCAGTTGCGAGGCGCCTTTCAACACGCATGAACATCGACGCCTGTGACAGAGTAAATCAGCATAACTTCTGTCGTCCTTTCATCTAGGTTGCTAAAGACATCCATGAGACCAGAAAACTGCACATTTGCATACCTGCACTGTGCTGTAATGCCAGAGCAGCCAGACTCTGTTGCTCTCGCCTGCCAAGATATTTGTCACCTCCGAGCTTCTTCGAGCGCAACTGCGACATCACACAACCATCCACCTCTGCTCTGTGCGCAGACACGCCATTGACCACAGATCTCCAGCTAAGTCAAGATGTAAGGCACTCTAAGCCGCAATTGAGAGTATGATATACTGACTATGTGCGCAGGGGTGTGCCATTCGAAGCCCTCCTTCCGTATGCAATCTGCATTGGCGTATGACAACCCCGACCTCTCGCCCACAGCAACCATTGACACGGCTTGTAGTTCTTCTCCCTGACCGGTGCGGGTCTCTCAAAAATCAGACACATGCAAAATGGCGGAAAGCGACAGCGGCGTTCGGTGGACCAGTGGGACAAGCAGAGTACGTGCGGAGCATGGATGCGGTGACAGGGAAAGAAGACACTGACTGGCTTTTACAGTGATGGATAGAGACAGGCGGCTCACAGGATTTTTGAGAGGGCAGACGGATAACGCGATTGCGCCGAAGGGCTTTGAATTGAGCAATCCATGGAGGGTAAGTACTTTCAGATGCCCGGAGAGGCTTGAGATGTGGTGTACTAATTCTCGTATAGCTTGAGCCTGGCACTTCTTAGGCCCTTTGTGAAGATGCAGATACCCCGAGATGCTCTGAGAATTCTCGGCATGAAATGAATATACCAATTCTTGACCTTCAATTTCACATGTCAAGTTCACATATCCATTGGAACGACCGCTTGTGAGAAAATCCTCGTGAGGCCAATTGAACTTTCGCAGCGAGATAACGCACTGCATCTCAAAATTTCACCATAAGCGCAAGCGTGGTTGTCCAAGGATGTGCTGATGGCACTCCATTTCCAGCCCCTGCCGGCTAAGAAACGAATCATGTATAAAAAGACAGATTCAGAGTCTACAAAGTGCAATACGGGGTATCCAGAAACAGCCTGCACTCTGTCTTTGTTGCCTTGTCTTATCCTCAAGATGTGAGCTTGACCTAGAAGTGAGATAGCTCAAGAGCATGAAATGTTAACTAGGGAGGAATTTTCATCCTTGCAAAAACATTCGCAGTTGCCTACAGCGTCAACGCACATCGGAGTGAAAGTGGATACCAGCGGCCCGTAACGTTAGAATCTGAGATTTCTGATTTGATACGAACTATGAAGTCCAGGATTAAGTTAACGTTAGGGAATTTAGCGCTTTCACTCCGATGTGGGTTGCCGCTGTAGAATCGGGCCTGAGGCATACCTGCTATCAGAAGCAGATGCAATCTTGTATGGAGTTGCGCAAGATACCTCATCAAGACTGCGTTGGCAATCCAATATATCGCAACACCACCTTTCGATTCAAGTGGTCGGTCTTCATCGGCGGGAGCCATGGACAATTCCTAGACAGCACTTCTTCGAAGCATGCTCTCGTGAAGCTGCAGGTGGAAAACGCAGTGCTAATTCGTACTACTGAAGAATCCTTTGATGATTAACAGTCATCGACCTATTATTCCCAGGGCATCAGACAGGGAGAGATACTGGACGCGAGGTGAGCAGAATAGGGCTCTGTGTTTGATTGTAACGTTACCTTAAAAAGACACCTGCATCTGGGCTGAGAGTTGTCTCCTGCGTGCGTGGGGATCATGGATGTGTTTCTCTACGAGGAAACACTAAGCACGGCAAGTCGGCATTGATATAAATCCCAGCGCGCACGGCTCACTGTACCATAATTTCACCGTCTCTGATAAATCCCATGCGGACAGAGATTCTTCGAGCATTCCAGGCGGTCTTCCGGGACTTGCAAGACACTTTGAGCCAGATCTAGACGACGCTCTGCAAAGGAGGACCGGCAGAACTTGATGGCACCACCCAAGTGAACAATGCTTAAACCCAGCTTGCACATGCCTGTGGATGCCGCAAGACATGGTGGGGTATGTGCAGGGGAAGTTTGGGAGTAGAGTCGGAGGGCCGCCAGTATCTTCATCAACGTGCTGGACGTTCAGGTATTCTATGTTGTTGAGTGGGCGCATGGGCGCTTCGAGCAATAACTGCTTCTGTCTCTTGCTGCCTCGCGGCAGTTGTTGAGACGTCTTTGACTCTTTGCACGACGATTGAAGCCATGTCCCGAGAGTCCGGATAAGGTTCTGTGCCTCAGCATAAAAGTAGACAGGGAGTTCGCATTGAGGCTTGAGCGATCAGGTGTACATGGATGCAGCCTGTTTAATGTGCGTTATAGGCTCTCTTATGGCTATTCCTGGTATTCAAACGTCAACAAGACGCCCACCATTGACTTTGACTTTGGGCGTTAAAAAAACGCGACACGTACGAGGTAGGGCGCAGGAGGTTCACGAGTGTTTCTGCTCGCGCCCAGCACGCAATGCGAACTTCGTCGTCGCCGCCGCCGCCGCCGCCGCCGGCATGCTGCTGAAGCTGGGTGAAGGCGATGCAGATGCGTCATGAGCCGCGGAAGGCAGTGCCCAGTCTTGAGCTCAACGCGTCGCGTCGTGACGACGGTGGACGAAATTGCGGTCTGAGGAAAACGCGGTGGCGTGATGAGGCTGATCAGGAGAAGCGTGGGGTGGGGAGGAGGGTTGAGTCAACGTTGGAGAGTGCTAGAGGCGGCAAAAGTCTCCTGCGGCGAATCATGGCATGGATGGACGCAGCGCAACTAAAATTGCGCGTGTGTCGTGATGGACGGGCGGCGTTGAGCAGTCGTTGTATCTCCCGCGGCCTGCTCGTCCTCGTCGTTGCAGCCAGATGCGCCGGGTCTGAAATTGTTTCTGGCATTATTGCGACAGGAAAGGGCGGAGGGCAGATCGGAGCCAATCAAATCCCTCGTCGACACAATCTGGCCATCCCTGTGTGCATGCATGGGAGTCCAGCCGGCCTCGTGCGATTTCCCGAGTCGCGACGACAGGAGTGAAAGTGTGCAGCGCAAAGTCGCCCAGGCCATATCATACCATTCGCTCTACTACTGCAGCATCCGCGTCACTGTCGTCAGCACCGAGGCTGCCCCGACGCTCACTTTCTGCTGACGCTCGCTTGCACCGACTGTGCCTTCCTGCCAGCTCGTATTGCCTGGACTGCTGGTCCATGTATCATTGCCTCACCAACCTACTCCCATGCCAAGAGCGGTCGTGAGGGTGCAGGGCGCGCAACAACGGACCTACTGGACGCTGGACAGCGAAGGACCTGAGGACGAGAATCTGCCGACGTACACGCCGCGAGCAGAGCAAGAGGAGGATCGTAGTCGTGGTAGTGTCACGATGCAGGGCAATGGCCAGTACTTCGACCCGCGCCATGAGCCGCCCTTGCCACGATATGAGAGCTACGATGGGAGTGGCTACGGCAGTCCGGACTCCAGCCAGAGGAGCTCGCTGCAATATAGCAAGCAATCCGCTCCCGCCGTCCACCAGACGAATGCGCTCTACAACGATTTCGCTTTCGATGCCACTTTTCCACAGCCACCACAAGGCGGCCAGCAACAGCAAAGACGCATGCATGGGAATGGGCATAATCCCTTCGACGATATCAAATTCGGTCTCGACCAAGTGCACGCGCATAATATTTCCTTGAATACGAAGATACACACGCAAAGCCAGGACATAGTTGGACGGCATTTGTTATATGAGACGGCATTATTGGATACGCAGTCATACGAAATTCTGAGCATCGATGACGTGGATGAGTTGAAAAAGGAGCATGTGCGCCTGAACTCAAGGATAGAGGCCGCAAATCGCAAGCTTGTGCTTGAGAGCAAAGTCAAAGATGCTGCACAAAGTCTTCAGAAGCTCTACAAGCGGCCAGACACTCCTCAAAGCCCAGACAGTCCACACAAAGACCGGAATAGTCTTCTGGGCAATCGGCGAAGGGCTGAAACAGCTTCCAGCCAAGATGCACAGCATCAAGCTGAAGATGAGCTCACGTTGGCAATCAAGAAGGTCGACGAGCTGAACAGCCAGATCAAAGAGCTGATGGACAGGAGGCTGGTCGTCGAAAGGAAACTTTTGAGACACACCGCTGCTGTGCTTGCAGAACAAGCGAGTCAGCGCAGCGAGACCCCAAACACGGCCCTCACCAACAATATCATCGATGACGATGATGCGATTGCCTTTGGACCTGACGACTTTGACGGAATCCGCGATATCCTCAAAGGGAGACCGCTGCCCACAATCAAGCCAGAGGAGCTAGAAAAGATGCAGGAAGGCCACGAGAGGCAAGTGGCCAACCTCAAAGGCCAGCTACAGTTCTACCAGGATACGCGAGAAGAGCATGAGCAGCAGCTTGTAAGCATGAGAGAACAGCTTCAGACGCAACAAGAACAAACCGTGACAGCTATACGTCAGAGGTCCGAGCAGCAGCTTGCGAGTATGCAGAAACGACTTGAATCACTGAACTCACAGCTTCGAACTATCATCACGGAAGCTGCGCGGACACGAGGTCAAGAACCAGAGCCGCAGCCTCCGATACAGCAAAGTGACAACATCGAAAGCAATCTCGATAATACCTTCATTCTACTCGAGAACAACATGCAAATCATGGAGCAGGAGCATGAGAAGACGAGAGGCCATTACAAGAATGTTCAAGACAGTGCGTACATCACGCGTAACACGGTCGAGGAACAGCTGGAGGGATTGAACAACAATCTGTTCAAGACTTTGCAAGCTTCGGCTGGCATGCACGCTGTAACCGAGCTGCATCAGCCGCCAGAGATCAGCGGGCATGGCTATCAGCACCAGCTGCAGTATCTCGAACAGGCTCTTCACATGGCAGATCAATTGCTGCAGGAGCATAAGGGCGAATTGCATGCTGCTAAGGAAGCGTCGAGAAGTGCAGAAGAAGCACAGGAGACTGCGAGGAAGCTCACCCAGAAATCAGTCGAATACGAGACAGTGCTTGCCGGCCTATGGGAGATCGTCAACTCGTCCGATGCAAAGTGGAACGGCCTCGAACCTCGCGCAAATATCGATGTGCGTGGCAGCAGCGCCAGAAGCTCGGTATCGCAATACTCGCCTGTCTCGCCAATTCGGGAAGACTTCTCGTTGCAGGCTTTCAGCTCCCGCGTCCAGCATCTTTTTGATGTCGCGAATGGAGCAAAGGAGCAGCAGGACATTCTACGTCGACAGATTCAGCAACAGCGAGACTTGAACGGCAAGTCTGACATGGAGAAGGACACGCAGATCGAAGAGCTGCAAGCTCGGTACGAGGCGTTGAACATGTCATACGATGCTACCCAGCAGGACCTTGCGAAAATGATGGCTGGCCACGAGCAATCCCAAGCGGAGGCACTGGAGTCTCGTAACGAAATGCAGAAGGTGATGGAAGAGTTGGACCACCTTCACAAGACAATCGATGAGACCAAGGCGCGATCAAAGGAAGTGGACGAACGCCACCGTCAATTGATTACTGAGAAGAACCAGCTTTCTGCTGAACGCGACGCTGCGCACGAGGAGCTCGATGGTGTGCGGAAAGAGCTCGAGAATCTTGAGTCAGAGGTCGTGCGACTCACCACCGAGCTGACCATGGCCAAAGCAGAATTGGAGGGCGCATACGGCTCCCGCTCTGAGAGGAAGAAGGAAGCTGGTGTTCAAGAGAAGGAGATGGAAGCTCTCGCCACTCTCAAAGATCAAGAAATTGCTCAGCTCCGTCGGGAACATGCAGAGAAGACAAGACTGCTTGAACAAGAATTGCAAGACATGATGAACGAATTCCAGGAAATGACAAGAGAGTCTCTGGAATTGGAGAAGGAACGCGGGCAACTCGAAGGCTTGATTGACAGCCTCAGGGAGAGAGCCGAACAGCTCGAGACTCAACTCAGCGATGAAAAGGCCAAGTGGATGGGTATCAAGAGCCCAGGTGAAGATGGCGGTAAGAAGGAAAGCACTAGCGTCGCGGTGCTGAGACAAGAGTTCAAAAAGATGATGAGAGAGAATCGCGCTGAAGGTGTGCGGCTACTCAAGGTATGTTGCTAACAAGCACTGCAGCACCGTGAATATCCACTAATGCGCACACAGATCGAGCAAGAGGAGCGCCGTCGCCTTGAGACCGAGATCCGCAAGATCAGGCAGGCCACATCCCCACTGGGCCGTCGGCCTGGTCATCTCGCGACCAACAGTCTCGCCCAAAGCCATGCTCGACTTGGCAGCGTAGCCTCATCCAGTGGCGGCGCGCCAACAATCAACGGACATTTGCAAGGTTGATCTCTACTGCATCCTTGCAGTGTCAAAATATTTGTGAAACTCACGTGCATAATGCAACTTCTGCTAATTCGCACTGTATATTATTAGTTTACTCTTTTTTATCTGCGGCGTCATCAAACAGGAAGTGCCCATTTGGATCGGGCACGACGGAGATGGAAGTTTCATTCCTGTCCGCAACCAGTGGAGGAAAGCCCGCTACGTATAGAGGCAGAAGACGCATTACCGCATCTTCCACCAGGCCTTGCTTGTGTTGCGAGCATTGTGCTTTTTGTGATTGCGGACTTTGGTGTTGAAATGCATCGGCACGAGCAAGACTTGGGATTGGCATTTTGAGTTGGATTCGATTCTGCACCAGGCAAAAGGCATTAGGACGTCAACAGGACGCATAAATAAAGGCATTTGAGGCGGAATGGATAAACAAGACGCGCCTTTCCCAGGCGAAGAAGAAGTTTAAGGCGCATGATAGGGACCAACCAGGGATGTTAATTTATGTTTGAAGGATTTTATGTCCGAACGGGATGAGGGTAAATACGTCTGAAGAATACAAGCACGAGAGTGTGCGACAGGGCCTTTCCGGTCGTTCCTATGCTTCTTTCCCATTGATGGCGAATGACATCTCACTTGACGACCAACTCTCGGGCAGGGAGGCAGCATTTACCGCATGTCGCGACCGTGTTTCTGCCACATATGAGCACCGACCATATCACAGCTTCGTAAGTGTCACAAAGCGTCCACGAAATTCAAATGTGCCTATCTGACGTTCTACAGATCCGCGACAAGATCTACGATGAGCTCCTAATCGTTCGCAGAACTCCAGAAGACGAGGAGAAGTACGACAAGATCCAAGCCGGTCTCAAAAAGGGCACCCACGAGTATGAACTTGAGCGCGAGCTTGACTTCATGCTGCAGGATTATGCTCTCATTCCTGACAGCTCCGTGCCTAACCACGGCATGAAATTCATTGGCAAGAATAAGGGCATCTTGCTGGCGTGCAAGCAAATCTACGAGGAAGCAACCACCACACTGTTCGGCAAGAATATTTTTGCTGCTTGTCCTCAATCCGAGCGCGTGTGTTCGTTCTGGCGTTGCAGCATTTACTGCGGCTGTGTTCCCAAGGACAGACCATGTCTACATCCCAAAAGAAGAGGTCTGCAAGGCTTATAGCAGGGTCGCATCCTGGCTGATCGCCAACTTTACTTGCAGATAGTTACGGGGTAAGCATTGCAGGTGTTGGCGTAGAGTACTGGACGACGGGGGAAAAGAACAAAGTAGCGAGCCGGCGGAGTTTCGACGGCTTTCCGCTGCACGAGCAGACCGAGAAAAGTGAATGAAGTTCACTTTAGGCATATCTCTTCTATTGCCAGGTTCTCATCAGTGTGGACGAATGTTCCGAAGGAAACAGTTTAATCCGAGTACACGGGGTTCAATATTGACCCCCAACGCCGCTGCGAACCCTCTATTTTCGCCACACACGGTTCATCCAGGCGTGGAGAAATGTATATTGGTAGAAACCTGAGATTCGATCCGTCTTCATAGCAGAGATGGTTAGGTGCACGCTGTGCTGTGTGCCTCCTAACCATGAGTAGGAGATGGAGTTGAATCCTGAGGCATGTGCCTAGGTCCGTGCACACACGCGGCACCCTATTTAGCGACTTCTCGCTTCTTCCGTAGACACTCAATCAACCATCGAACACACACACACTTCAAGTGGTTATGAGCCCTCGACTGCTACCGCAGACCTGATCAAGACAGAACACCCTCCTATAGAAGCAGGGGGTGCGACTAGAGACAAGAACAACACCCTTCTGCAGAAGCAGGGGGTGCGACCGACCGACCAACCAACCTGAACAGCCAAGATGGCTGCCACCGACTCGACCACACTTCCGGCCACTGGCATTCGGAAACTGACACTAAGCAACTATCCCCTCTGGAGCGTCGACATCAAAGCGCTTCTAAGGCGCGCTAAGCTGCTGAAATACACTACGACCGACCGAGTTACTGCACTCAAAGATACGACTCTGCCCGACTATGACGACAAGGTGGCGGATGCTGCTGATCTAATTACCCTCACTCTGAGCGACTCGATTAAGAGCCGCCTGTCCGCATCTGATGGCGACTTTGACGACGGCTACAAGCTGATGACCAAGATTAAGGCTATGTGCCAACCAGATACGGAAACTGAATACTTCTCATTGTGGAGGGAACTGTTTGAGCTGCGATACGACGGCAAGGATATTGAGGCTCATATTGCTCAGATTCGGACACTTAGTGACCGCATTGAGTCGTTCAATACTGAGCTAACTGCTGATAAGCGTAACCTGCTTATTCTGCTGATGACAGTTGGCCCCTATCACGACACACTTGCTAACTACTAGACAGTCAACCTGAAGGATATGACATTTGATAAGGCCTGCTCCAACCTGCGTGACGATATACGCCGTCAACTTATGACCTCCGCGGTTCAGACTGCCAATATGGCTCGGACAAATGACAATGCCAAGAAGACTGAGAAGCAGCACTGCAGCTACTGCAACAAGAAGCATGGTCCAACCTGCTTTAAGAAGAACCCTGAACAGGCACCTGACTGGTGGAAAGAAATGCAGAAGCAACAACAGTCCAATATGGCTATTGCTGTACCAAATGACCCGCGACCTGATTCAGAGCCAGCAACTGGCAAGAGCTGGGCCTTCTGAACCGACTGAACCTGAACCGACTGAACCTGAAGTTCCTGAACCGACTGAACCTGAACCGACTGAACCTAATACGACTGAACCTGACACGACTGAACCACGACTGAACAAGCTGCTTTAAGCACCTACCTGCAAGAAGCAGGGGGTGTCGTGGCTACTGACTGAACCGCAATCAACACTCAAACCTGCTGGATGCAGGGGGTGCGGCGGACTGACTAAATAGCCATCTAAGGGCAAGATGCCTGGGCTACTGACTAACTGAACAACCAATGAAGGGCATAATGCCTGGGTTGCTGATTGACTGAACTGAACAACCAATGAAGGGCATAATGCCTAGGTTGCTGATTGACTGAACAACCAATGAAGGGCATAATGCCTAGGTTGCTGAAACCGAACAACCATCTAAGGGCAAGAAGCCTGGGTTGCTGACTGAACTGAATGGCCATTGTAAGGGCAAGAAGCCTGGGCTATTGACTGACTAAATGGCCATTGTAAGGGCAAGAAGCCTGGGCTATTGACTGATACCTCTTTGTTTGATTTGAGCGACTTTGTATTCACCAACGTGCCTTGCATGTGCACGAGGGGGTGAGTTGAATCCTGAGGCATGTGCCTAGGTCCGTGCACACACGCGGCACCCTATTTAGCGACTTCTCGCTTCTTCCGTAGACACTCAATCAACCATCGAACACACACACACTTCAAGTGATGGTTCCCAGACTCTCACTCATGCTCACTGAGGTGCTTGCCCGTATGGATCCCGTAATGTCGCACAACGGCTAACGAATTTCCATGCCGATGGACGATGGAGCTACAGTATTCAGCAGTGCTCTGGTCATCGAAAGTGTTGTGGTGATGTACAGAATGCCATGAAGCAACCGACGCTGTAGACGCTACGCGAGTCATGCAAAGTGAACCCTGCACGCACGCTCTTGTGTTCAAACTTTAGAACTAGAACTGCTTTCCGCGACAATTCACGCATCGAATCACGCAGACTAATCCTCAGCACAACCTCCCCACTCTCCACAGCGTGTGAACATATCCAAGATGGCGCGAAATTCCGAGAAAGCACAATCCATGCTGTTCCGCTTTCGAGCGCAACAAGCATCAGATCTAGGCATAATCGACATCAATCGCACGCGCCGACCAAAGGCCATTTCACAACAAGAACACATTCCCACTTGCGAACGATGGCGAGGCCAAGTGCTCAAGGAAATCAGTCGCAAAATCACAAAGATCCAGGACCCTGCGCTTAGCGACTACCAGATTCGCGACATCAACGACGAGTTGAACAAACTTTTCAAAGAGAAATGGCAGTGGGAAATGCGAATACGAGAGCTCGGTGGGCCGAATTACATGCGTGGTGGGGGGAAGATGACTGATGATGAAGGACGCGTGATAGAAGGTGGTGGGAAGGGGTATAGGTATTTTGGCAGAGCGAGGGAGTTGCCTGGCGTAAAAGAGCTGTTTGAGGCTGCGACGCAGATGCCGGAGAAGGAGACGAAGGAGACGAGACATGATCTGAGAGTAAGGGTGGATGCTGGATATTATGGATACAATCTGGACGAGGAAGATGGCAGTCTGTTGGAGTACGAAGCACGCAAGGAGAAAGAAGCATTTGAGGCGCTTATGGCACAGGGTGACGAGGTTGGAACAGAATTTGAGCCTTTACCTGGTGACTCGGGAGACGGTGTGCCTTGGAAGCTGCCTACGGCGGAAGAAGTCGAGACCGAACTCCTGGACAGGCGAAAGAGGAAACTACTTGACAAACTCTGAGAAGCTGTATACGCATCTTCGGAGATAATACACCAGCCGCATTGGCGCAGAAGGAGATGGGTCTCTCGCCCGATGAAATGCTTCGGAGCGTGCTCTAGCAGACATGCAGTGAGCTGTGGCGTTTCTGTTGCTTTGCTCTTGGTACTGGCACAAGAGCGCGACATTCTGCGCTATGCCAGCTCGTGACAACCGAGAGTCGCAAAGGACACCCAAGCTACCAGCTATTCGCTTCGTGCTGTTGCCAAATGGTTGAGCTTCCAGAAATATCATTCACGGCACACGATCTCAGCCACCGTAGCCACTATCTACCATGGCAGAACGCTTGAGGATGTAAGTATAGGACTACGTGGACAACGTTTTCTGGGAACAGAAGCCAAGGTCTGATGAATACCGCCAATTGTGGCAGATACTTACCATGAACCATTGCTGTAAGAACGCAACGTAGCGCTCCATTCGAGCATCAACGAACGGCTTCTATATTTCATCTCGCCCCCACCTAAAACCCGCAGGCCTATCTTTGAGAGTCTTCCAGTTCACCCGTCTGGTCGGCTTCAAGCGCCATCGCGGAGAGCAAATGTACTGTATATCCATGAGTCGCGGCATCACTAGTTGCCTGGGACCGTAAACGCAGTTCGAAATGCATCAAGGTCGAGCAATCTATCGCGTCGGCATAAATTTGCCTATGCCTCTGGAGTATGCATCAACGTCGAGATGCTTCGTAGCTGATATGCCGGCTGCAGCTGGATCATCTGTATCAAAGTCCAGGCGATCGGGCACCTGCAGGCCATCATTTGCATACCTCGTCAAGACGGTCACGCTCTGGCCATCTCGATACAACCATAGATCACCGGTAAGCTTCTGCCAATCCGAGACCTTCTCACGCATACGCAAAAGCAATGCATTGTGGCTCTCATCACTTGCTAGATTGTTAATCTCCTCGGGGTCGCGTTCAAGGTCATAAAGCTCCTCAGCTGGACGAAAGAGATAGCTCTTCAGACTTCTCTTTCCTACCATAGCCTCTGGCTTCATTTTTCGGATGCCATCAAAGCTCAGACTGGCATAGAGATCTGCTGCAAAGGGGAAGTCTAGTCGCCATGCTACATTCCGGTGATACTTGTATCTCTTCGTCCGCAGTACTCTCGTCGGCCAGTAGTTCTGCATCTCGTGGAAAGTATGAGAGCCAAATATCTCCTGCTGCCAACGATCTTCGTTCAATTCATCTTCAGCCTCTACGATCTCCAGGAACGATCTACCTCGCCTCCGTGGCGATTGACTTCCCGGCAACCGAAGATCCTGATCTAATCCAGCCCAGCTTAGGAATGTTGGCAAAACATCGATGAACGAAACCATGTTCGGATTTTTTACTCCAGCTTTTGCGCCTGGCTTACGGACAATGAGAGGCAAATGAATCCCTGCGTCGTATAGGGTGGTCTTCGAGTTGAGGAATGGAGGTCCATTATCACTCGTGAACATCAGCTTTCGGCCTCCATCTACGATCTACGGCTCTGATGTTTAACTCTCCGCTCAATGTGAGGTGAGGTGAGGGGAGGTCAATGTGGTGTGGCTGTGGAGTGTGCTTGGTCATGTCCACCGTGGCGCCCGCCTCTTCTTTCTGGGGCGCCATTGCTTGTTTCTTCGCAAAGACTTCACCTCCTCTGCATCCCCGTTCGTACTCGTATGGCCCTACTCAGCCTGTGTCGCTTCCACCATACTACACGAACTCAGGGCTTCTTCGGAGGATGCAATGCATCCGCGATACGCTGCTACCAAATGTCGGAGCTGGAGGCACGATGGAAGCCGCTAAGCGATTTATCGTTTGGCTGGTTGTTTTGTGGTATGAGGCATTTATTTCTCTGCACAGCCAGCCTGCACGCCAATGCGAGATCCGAGCTTCGCATGAAGATGACCAGTATTGTCACGAGCACCAGCGCTTGCCTGGTTGCATTTCGCGCATGTGGACACATGGGCGTCGAATCGTTTGACATTGCGCTATCCCTCGTGGTGTCTGAGTGTCGATCGCTGTGTCAAGGAAAGGGATAGCACGTGGGTAGCACGCCCAGTTCAACTCAATCTCGGTGGGCTCGAGCTCTCTTCACATGCTCAGCATGAAGGCGAGGTATATAGAGCTGCTCCAAGTCGACCTACTTTCTTGCCCTCTCCCCTCCCTCAGCACTTTTCCATAGTCAATTCTTCGTCCTTCAACTCCCTGCTAGCAACATGGACCACCAGGAAGCCAAGTCGCCAAAAGCGCACACAGTCATCGCTGCTCAGCTGGAGCGCGTGCAGACTGGAGAAAGAGGTCGAGCCATCACATATGCTACAGACGTACGTTCGAGACGTGTCAGCACAGGACGACTGGAAGGAGGCCGCGGAAGTCTCGCTCGATCACGCTCCCGCGACTCCTCAATGTCAATACGCACGGCTCGAAGAAGCGTGGATCCTAGCCTTGCTTTGCCGCCAGCATTCAGAACGCTATCTTTCGGCCTCGAGGAAAGCAAAAGACGAAGCTTCGTTAGAGATGAGAGGCCATCGAAATCAAAATCGAAGAGCAAGAAGGAGCAAGCGCAGATCGAATTTGGAGACGCCGACTACCACCTCACGTCTCCTGAAGACCTCCTCCTTCGCTACGGATCCTCACGGAACAGTGGTCTATCTGTCTCTCAGGCAGCACAGCAGCTCAAGACAGTGGGCCGCAATGTGCCATCTCCACCGCCATCGAGATGGTTCCCAAGACTGATAGGATATCTCTTCGGTGGCTTCGGTGCCATCCTCTTCATCGCCGGCATTCTTGTCTTCATCGCTTGGAAGCCATTAGGTGAACCAAGTCCAGCAATAGCCAACTTGGCTCTTGCGATTGTCTTGGTATGCGTATGGCTGATTCAAGCTGCCTTCTCGTTCTGGCAAGATTTCTCGAGTTCCAAAGTCATGGCTTCGATTACGCAAATGCTTCCGGAAGAGTGCATGATAATACGCGAGGGACAAAATACGAGGGTCGACGGCCGCGATGTTGTGCCAGGAGACATTCTGAAGATCACTATCGGCAACAAGCTACCGGCAGATGTGCGATTTCTGAACTGCTCTTCGGACGTTCGCTTTGATCGATCGATTCTCACCGGAGAGACCGCACCACTTCTCGGATCCGTTGAATCTACCGATGATAACTACCTGGAAACAGCTTGTATTGGTCTCGCTGGAACACATTGTGTTTCTGGCAGTGCCTTGGGTTTGATTCTGGAGACTGGAGACCGAACGGTATTCGGACGAATTGCCAAACTGACGAGCACACCAAAGAGCGGTTTGACACCACTCCAGAAGGAAATCCTCTATTTTGTACTTGTCATCGTCAGTCTCATGCTCACTATGGTGATCATTGTCATCGCGGTCTGGGCAGGCTGGCTACGTCAGGAACATCCAGACTGGATCAGCGTCGCTCAACTGATCGTCAGCTGCGTTAGCGTCGCTGTCGCCTTCATTCCAGAAGGGCTTCCGATCGCCGTCACTGCGTCGCTTACCATCACCGCGAACATCATGCGCAAGAACAAGATCCTATGCAAGAGCTTAAAGACTGTCGAGACTCTAGGCGCTGTCAACGTTATCTGCTCCGACAAGACCGGAACCTTGACGAAGAATCTCATGAAAGTGACGGATTTCATGGTGGGCAAAGCCACAATGACCGCAAACGATGCTCCAGATCGATTCAACAGATTTGAAGGTCTTCGACAGCTTGCCAACACCTGTGCTGCATGTAATGAAGCAGAGTTTGACGCTTCAACGCTGGACAAGGACATCCATGATCGCAAGGTGAATGGAGATGCGACCGATTCTGCCATCCTTCGCTTCGCAGAGACGATGCGGCCTGTTTGCGAGCTTCGCGATGCGTGGCGGTCAGTATTCAAAGTGGCATTCAACAGCAAGAACAAGTTCGCAATCAACGTTGTCAAGGGCGAGACATCCGAGAATCCATTGCTCATGATCAAGGGTGCTCCCGATATTCTGCTCCCTCGCTGCAAGTCTTACATTGACGTGGATGGCTCGGTCAAACAGATGACAGAGCAAGACACGCGAACACTAGAGAGTATGAAAGACTTCTGGTCGAGCCAGGGAAAGCGAGTCATCCTGCTTGCTGAGAAGCCGCTTGACAATCTGCTATTCGACCACGTGCATCAACCAAGAGAATATGAGCGAGATATCATGAGCCGCGCGTCAAATGATCTCATCCTGTCTGGCCTGATAGGAATTGTTGATCCTCCTCGTCCTGAAATCCCAGAGGTTGTCAGCACTCTTCGAGGAGCTGGTATCCGTGTCTTCATGGTTACTGGCGATTTCAAGCTCACTGCCGCCGCGATCGCCGCCGAATGTGGCATTATAACGCAGACACCTAAAAACATCGACGACGTGACACACCTGGCTTTCGATGAAGGCTATCTGGAAAGCGCTGGCATTACAGTGGAAAAGTCTCCTGACACTCTTTATTACAAGACCAAGTCAATCGTTCTCTCCGGTGCCGACATCGAGACTCTAGATGACAGCATGTGGGACAAGCTAGCAAAATACGATGAGATCGTCTTCGCCCGCACGACGCCAGAGCACAAGCTGAAGATCGTTCGCGAGTTCCAAGCTCGCGACCTCACAGTGGGCATGACTGGTGACGGAGTCAACGACGCACCCTCGCTCAAGGAAGCAGACGTCGGCATCGCTATGGGATCTGGAAGCGACATCGCCATCGAAGCCGCGGATATGGTTCTCCTCGACTCTTTCTCTGCCGTCATCGAAGCCGTCAAGTATGGCCGTGTTGTCTACGATAATCTGAAGAAGACAATCTGCTACTTGCTGCCAGCGGGATCTTTCTCAGAATTCTGGCCTGTCTTTACCAACCTCTGCTTCGGTCTTCCACAAATCCTCAGCTCCTTTCTCATGATCATCATCTGCTGCTTCACTGATTGCGCTGCTGCTACTGCCCTGGCGTACGAGAAGCCGGAAGCAGATGTCCTTACTCGACCACCACGCAACGCCAAGAGGGATCGTCTTGTCAACTCCAAGCTCATTTTCCAAGCTTATGGCTTTCTCGGTGTTCTAGAGACTGTGAGCTCGTTCGCAATGGGTTACTGGTATGCTCAACGTCAAGGCGTTCCATTCTCAACCCTCTGGTTCGGTTTCGGCACAGTACCAGAAGGCATGACCAAAGCACGATATTCGGACATTCTCAACGTCGCTTCGTCAGTCTACTTTGTGAACTTGGTGGTTATGCAGTGGTTCAATCTTTTCGCGATTCGAACTCGTCGCCTTTCTGTGCTCCAGCACAGCATGAACTGGCTCTTGCTCCCTGCCATAGCCTTTGCTCTGGTCATCGCTATCTTCTTCCTCTACGTTCCATCGTTTCACAGCCCTCTTCAGACGGCGATTATCCCGACTGAGCACTGGTTTCTCCCAATGGCCTTTGGAACTGGCATTCTTCTACTTGACGAGGGGAGGAAGTTTTTGGTGAGGAGATACCCAACAAGTTTGATTGCCAGATGCGCATGGTGAAGTACTATCGATACATGGAAAGAGAGAGGACCAGTGGCCTTGTCTCAAAGCGAGGATTTGGCGGGACTAGTTGCGTCGATACAAGAATTACGGAGATAGATTTGAATTAAGAACTGAGAGTCGTACATCGAAACGCCATGCGCAAAGTGTCGATCCCGGTCGACTTTCTTCCGTTCTTCATGCTTGACAAGCAGCTCTTTGTTCATATCGTTGAATAACACATGTACTCGTACGCAGTCGGCTCGGAGTAAATGCCAGAGATGAGCAGATCTTGTGAATAATCGAGCGAGTATTTTACAGCTGCGCCCCTGGTCGACCATCCAGATACGGCTCCAGCGGCTTTCCAAGCAACTCTTTCTGAATCTGCAATGCAACGAATCTCGAGAAGAACCTGGCCAGTCGAGCTTCCGCGCCGTGGTAAAACAGGTTGGGATCTATGTCTCAGTCAATACACGAGCAGTCGCAAAGATTTCCCAAGATACCTACGTCCAGAAAGGCGAGCATAGCCTCTAAGCTCACCTTCACCGTCAGGCTTCCAGAAATGGTCCATCTGGTCAGCACTATCTCGCCCGATAACTTCAGCAGCGTCTTTGCGGAAGTCATGATTGTAGCCGGTGGCTAACACGATCAAGTCGGCCTTAAGCTGACTTTCGTCTTCGAACACGAGACCATCTGCTGACAGACCTCGGATAGGCGTGGTCTTGACCTTGATCTCGCCTTTGATGATTCGCTCGGAGGCTCCAATATCTACGTAGTGTCCACCATATCTGATGTATAGATGTGTGAAAAGATCGCCGTATCTATCAACTTTGAATCCAGCTCTCTCCAGGCCATCGAACAGCTCTGGATTACGATCAATGCGGTCGTGGACGGTCCGATTGACTATCTCACGACTGACCTTCGTTGGCATCGTAACCTGTTCGCGATCTGCTACCTCTGTCATCTTCTGCATGTTGTAGTCTCGACTCTCCGCTGCGACGAGCCAAGCCTGCGGAAAGACAAATGTTGAATTTCTTTGACACATTGTGACGTCCATTCCGGCATTCGCCATATCTTCAGCAACATCGTGCGCAGTATTTGCAGTTCCCACGACAATGCCACGCCGTCCGCTAAAATCTCTGACATTGTGATAGTCCGCAGAGTGAATTATCGTGCCTTTATATCCGCTTGCCTTGACCTTGGACGCAATCGCCCAGTCTGGAGATACAGGCACCTTGTGACCAACCCCCATACAGAGAATGAGGTATTTTGCTTGCCATTCGTCAAGCTGGCTGCGATCTGACGCCCTCGAGGTCCTGACTGTCCACGTGCGAGAGTTTTGATCCCATCGTGCATGTTCTACAAGTGTGTTGGCTCGTGCGTTTATTGCATGCTTCTCAGACCATTCCTTAAATCCAGAGGCAATACGGTCTTTTGGAAGCTCCCGAGGGTCGCTCTCGTTCCAGGTTCGTCCGAAGGGCAAGTTTCCATATTCTCTGATTGTGTGAAATTTTAGTGAATCGTAGCGATGTGCCCAAGAATCTCCGATGCTAGGACGATCATCGAAAAGGATATAGTCAATTCCCAGGGCTCGAAGACGTCCTGCTACTCCAAGACCAGCCTGGCCGCCTCCTACAACAATGACATCAAAAATTTGCTTATGACACGCGCCGTTGCGTCCGTTCAGCTGAGTGGAACCATCCACGCTCGGGCTTCGATCTGGATCTCCGTGGCCAGCATATCGCTCAAGCCAAGTTCGCAGCGTCCAGATCTTAAATCGGCCAGCCGCATCAGCGATCACAGATACGACTCCAGAGCATTCTCCTGTCAAACCATCATCGCGGATCTCGAATTCGAAATCGATATCGATCCAGCTAGATTTTGGTATGTTAACTATTCGAGGCTCAGTAGCGGAACTCCGGAAGGGCGAACACTTCTTGCGTTCACGGAGCTCTGACAAGGTCTGGAGTACAGATGTTGCAGATGAGAATGTCCTGAAAGTGTCGGTCAGAGATAGAAGGTCTCGCCATGTAGCATCGGCCGCGAGGTCATCTTCCTCAAGGGAGTTCAGGCTCTCAATCGCAGAATTTGCAATGCTCTTCAGGTCAACATCTGCTGGGATCTGGGTCGCCGGGAGCTGTCCAGGAATGTCGTCAAAGACTGCACTAGCGGTTCTCATTTTCATCGTGGCCATGACGACGATGCTGGATGTGTAGTAAACCTGACCAGTTTTATGCGTCCGCAGAGAGGAATATAATGCTCAAAGATCTGTAGACCTTGGGACAAGTTCGTCTGAGGACATATCTAGATTCGCAAATCTCCAGGTACGAGGATCCATTGCACACGATCTGATGGTCCAAGATGGATCTTTCTTCGTTGCAGGGGGCAAAGCACCACTTTACTTGGCCGGCATCGTTGTGATTCAGCATATACGCATCAGTCGTCAATGTGGATGATTTGCTTTCGAGACCACATGATGGTCATCAACGATCGGAGCGAAGGCATTGAACAAGGTGAGGTGTCGCAAGGCGATGGCGACGGCGATGTTCTCGGGCCGAGAAGTACGGACTCAATATTCTACACTACGCTCGAAGATAACATCCTCCCTCATCAATCACACACACATATGCCTTACGGAATACCATATATCTCAATCACGCCCGACACCCATTTTCTGCTTTCCTCAGATACCATGGATCATTCTCCGGCATCACGACATGCCCAAGATGATTTCTACCGCCATCTCACGTGAGACACGTCTCAAGCTTCTTCACGCCCCAACGAATCGAACGTCGGATAAACAAACGTCTGTCGAGTGAATAGAAAGAGCTACGCCGTCAAGATGTCGAGATATTGCGAAGTTGGTCGCCTAAGGAGACTGAGGAAGGATCGCAATCGTGAAAAGGGGAATTACAGTAGCCTCATACACTCTGTGCTGCCTCTGCTGCATCGCAAGACGCCGTTGAATACATCTCAGCCTTCTATCCAGAGTGCTATCGCGATCGCTGACTGGCGTCGTCGTGCAGCTGTCCTAGGTCAGACGCTACAGATATACAGCATATGCTCATGTACACGGGCGGCTCTTTCGATGCTGAACTTGCAGGACAGTTGTGCCATGTGCCGATGCCGGTCTGAGCATGCTCATCACAGGATGACCCGCCTGTTTCCGGATCTTTATGCTCTCGTCTAACTTATTAGGCCTGCTCACGGCCTGCGAACTCTGAGAACATTCAGAACAACGATTGAACCCTTTGGTCAAGCGAGAAACTCAGAGGTCGGCACAACTCAAAGCCATCAGATGGCCATACCGTGTAAGTGTCATAGACTCAAGGCAAGTGTCTGCTTTGGCTGCGGCCGAAAGTGCTATGGCTCGCTTCGCTCTTTGCTCTCTTGGCCTCGCTTCAATCGTTTGAACAATGCTCCGACCAAAGCGGTCAGAAGTCGAAAAGAGGTGAGAGCAACTGTATCACGATGCTTGTTGATATTTTGGACCCCGGTAAAATCATGAGTCTCGGTCCAAGATAGCCCGAAGCTACATACATACTTTGGGGCATGGATGCTCGAGCGGAGGTTTCATAACATCACTGACACTGGTGAGAAGCGGTCAAGAGGTTTGCCATTCTACGGAAGGCTTGGGCGAATATTCATGCGAACATGGTGAAACCTTTTGATGTCCGCTTCGAGCACCACGAAGCAGGTGCCATTGGAATTGGAGAGGATCGGCCTCGTATATCCTGGAGCTTCGAGGGTGATGAAGAGAACTGGTCTCAGGAGGCTTACGAGTTGGAAGTAAAGTGGCAGGATGGAAGTGTTGAAAATCACACAGCAGCCACCTCTAAAATGCTTGTGCT